AACTGTTCGTAGTAAAGCAATCACATGAATCAACAAAAAATTTAATTTTTGACGACCTTGATAGCACAACTCTCATAAAGCATATTTTTGATGTTGTTGGTAATAATAGAGTATCTCTATGAAGTAAGTCAGTTCTTCGATAGAGAAAACAACGACAAAAACAATACTTTGTCATTGGGAAAACAGATTTGTTTCACAATAGTATGGGGCTGTGCGGAAATTTTACCAAATATTGCCAAAGAGCTGTTTAAACTCATAACCACGATCGTGCGCGAGTATATTACAACTCACCTGCGATTTCGGCCGATTTTCTGTCAGCATCGTCGTAGGTAAATTCAACATCGGGCGTGGAATCTAGCTGGCCCTATCGTGAAATGAAAACATTTTAGAGAAGGAAAGACAACTTGGATATCTATCTGCTTCTCATTTACCTCTGATTCTCGTCTCTGCCGTCGCAAAAGATCTCTCAGTTTAGGAATTCCTCTCTGTTTACGATCAATACTACCCTCCATCTTGGAAATCAATCATTGTGCTGAGGAACCACGCTTTTACATATTAAGGCCCAATCCCTACCGTCAAATTTTCGCAGAATAACCAACTTGAGATGTGTGACATGGCAGGCACACCAGGACAAATGAAAGCAGTTGAGCGTCTCATCGACCTCCCTGGAAACGGTGAAAATTGGACTTTGCTGAAAGATAACCCCTTCTGAAGAAGAGCATAAAATTTCTATTTCAAAATGTTAACTGCAGCTTATAAATACCTGACATTCAGAATACATCTATAAATATGACATGAATGAAAGAACCAGTGAAGAATAAACGCATAAACAGATGAAAGGATGAAAAACTGAACAAAAGAACAAATGAACGGGTGAATGAATAAATGGATAAAGGAATGAAAAAGTGAACAAGTGAAGGAATAAACGGACGAAATAATGAACGAGTGAGCAAATAAATAAAAGGGATAACTTTCTAAAGAAATTGTAGTCGATGAGGAGTATTACAAGACGATTTCGTTTTATCAACTGAGTTGATAATGTCACTTGTCCACCGTAGAGAGTTTCTAACAATGGCGTTTCGAGCGTTAACCCTCCATCAGGGCGAATGAAAAAATGAATGGGCAGATATCCTATTTTATCAGTCAAAACTGGATCAGACTGGATAATGCAATTCAAGGGTTTTCACTGGCCCAGACATCATGGGCTATGAACTATTATGCTATGCGCGCGCATTAAGACGATTTAAACGGGAAGTGTTTTTGTACATTGTAACATTCCGTTTGTCCCTCCCAAATAACGTTTGGGAGATTTATGTATATTTTGGGGCGTTTTTCATCAAACAATTACTCCACTCGCGCTTGTTGGATATGAGATGATTATCGCTAACTCAGAATTTCGGGCCTCGTTCGCCCAACGCGCGTTCGGGGAATGTTCAAGTTGTCGCAACCTGGAGCTGTGTGAAAAGAGAAATGGTTGGCGGGTATGACCGCTTGTCACAAGGACTCTCTAAAAATCATCTGAGTCTTAAAGTCGTAGTTTGTTAGTTAAAATTGGAAACTTAAATTCCGGTATCAACAGTTTGCATGACGTATGTTGCTTTTGGGACTAATATCTGATGCCCCCCTGAGACAACAACCCTCATATGCATTGACGTGGCCCTCTGACGAGGGTAGCGGGAAGTCTTTGTGATATTATTGCTTCCACCACGTTTTGAGTCATTTCTAAACCTGACTAAGGTAGAGAACATTTTGATTAAGTATCGAAGAACCAAAGCCGTTGAAGAAATGACATCGACCAGACAGAAAAAAACGAAAATATAACAAGAGGCTAATCAGATCTCGAAGTAAAAGCAAGCGAACTAGTTGAAGCGCTGAAAAATGCAAGTGACTTACATGCGATTGATTTAAGTTCTGCATCTGATTGGCTGATGCGATGGCGTGAGTTATTTTAGACCAATTAGAAAGAGTGGAGTGTCCAAACCACAAGTTAAAGGTCACGGAATTTAAATCACTCCATACACACAAAGGAATCATTGGATTGTATTACCAAAATAGAAACACACCAAAGAGTTAAGATTAGTTTATAGAGGCAGACGGAGTAGAGTGACATGAATTTTAAACAACGGACCTAAAATGCTTTTAGTTCAAATTTTTAGGTCGCCAAAACCGAGATTAACTAATATTTTTTATTACGTGACTCTCACACAGCTACAAAAAAAAACAACACGGAAAATTTAGCCTACTGCCTGACAATTGCGTCTTAAACGTAATCACACGTAATGTTAAAACAATGGATATAATATCCATTATCCTTTACCTTCAGGTCAAACATTCTTAGCACGATGATATTTTGGTTGTTTTTATATCTAAATTTTGCGAGGGTCAATGCTACAGACATTTTGAAAAGCTTACATTTCAGTGAGTCAAGTTGTCAAAATGTTTCTCTGTACTGTGTATTCATTTATTTGCTCGTCTGTTTGTTTACATTATAACGTGGCCCTCAAACAGAAACCGTTTAATTAAAATTGCGCTTTGTCATCTTTGCTTTTCGCATAATATTAATTGTCATAGTTGACTCACAAACCAATGCGACCCAAACAATAACAATATTTCAAAAAAGCCGTGTGATCTTCGAGTCGAAGATAGCTTATCTTTTGATATTTTATTTACTAGAGTGTAACCTGTTCCATGGGCAAAGTTGGTAAAACGAAGCGTTATGGCAAACGGCGCGATAGTAGTAAATGAGGGAAAGACTAGGGAAGAAGCTAGGCCTTCCCTTGCTTTTTTCAATTTCGCCATTCAATATCTCGCTCCGTTTTACAAACTTAATCCTTCGAACAGGCTACTAAAATCATGATTTATTGTCATTTTTGTTTCACTGATAACGGAATAGCTTAAATGTGTTTTCTCTCAACAAAAGTTATTATGTCTTCCGCTAAGTTGCTCTCCTGGGTGATTAGAGCTGATAAAAACAGGGGTAGTCGTTCTAAAACACTTGTCGCTTTTGTCTCTCATTTTTACTAATAAGATGTCATCAGAGATGATATTGCTCTTTGTTTTTCTCATAACATATCAGTTTTAATCGGCAGCGGATAATTATAACTGAATATGCTTACGTGCCAACTTTTCTGATCTTTAGAAAATGAATGGGACTTAAACAATGAGATGTTGCTTGATGAATTACATCCTACGTAAAACTGAATGTCATTGCCATTTCAAGGGAAATAATTAATCAGTGTAAATTTAGTAATAATTTCACCGAACTGCCTTCTTTAGGAGCTCGTTAAATAGTTTAGAGGTGGAGAAAACCTTGACATTCATCCCTGATAAGATTGAAAGATTTCGGCGGTTTCGGTACTAATCGACTCGAACTGGCTTATCCATGGCTTTTGTGTGTTCTTCTCTTGTTCGGCTAACCATAAAACCAAACATTTTGTATTTCAGTTTGTTTTTAATAGGTTTTATTTGCGTCAGTATACATTTGGCTTCCCCTGCACAGATGTCATATCATTGCGATATCATAGCTAAGGAATATTGTTATTTGTTTATCTACGATAAACAACGGCTCAACAATTTCGTTCAGCCGTCATTTATGCGGCGAAATTTTTTATGCCGTTACAGGGTCTCTCGAGTTCTTTAGTAATCTATGAAGCAAAATCCCGTTGAGAGCATCAACATGATGGATAAAACGTAATTTTCTTATTCAGAATCCTTACAAAAATAGTTTTTTTACTGAAATAGTTCTACGCAAAATGACAGTTCATTATGAATTGTTTGAATGAGGCTATTAGTTGTGCTGTTTATAATAGTGATATTGGTGAAATGGGTTTGGGTTAAATTACGTAACACTGACCGTAAAAGGATTCCTTGCACTCATTGATATTGTTAGAAAGCGTGTTGGTCTAAAATTTCGGAAATCGTTTAAGGCGCTATAAGGCTTGCTTAATTTAGCCTGAAACAAACTTGCTGAATCAAACAGGAAAAGTTGTCAAATGAATGCAAAAATGACTAAGCAAAGTGAGAGAATTTTGGCAAAGAGTATAAGAATTGAGCATAAATAAACATTGAAAATACTAATGTATTTAAAATTCTTTCTCCTGACCCCTTGCTTTAAGAATGAATTGACGAATTGTTCAGTTATCTTTTGTGTCAAGGACCCTGCAGTTAACCAGACTACAATAATAAATATTCGTGAATTACAAAAATGAGGTCATAAAATCAGAGGAATAAAAAGATGGCATCGCTTTCAAATCACTGACACTGGGCAAAATCATTTGGCATACACTAAAAATGACAGAGAAAAGCGGTGTAGAGAGTCTCGGATGGCGTGTTTGATTTGGAAAGATTCCCGTGTCATTGAGAAGGAGGTCACGTTTTTGAGAGTTCCGCGCCTGTGGGCAAGCAAATTGTTGCACGGTACTCCTTTATTCAACAAATAAAATAGAGAAGTTTAGAAGATTAAATAGGTAAAGTGAGTCAAATTCTTGTATCTGTTATGTTGGTGAAGATTTAAGAAAATTTGACCTTTCAAACCAGGAAAAAACAACAAATTTTTAATACACCTGTGAGCTGGCAGTAACCAAGTGTGACGATTATGTCCATAAATGGTTATAATGACCTTATTTGGTTGATTAGTCGGTAGGTATAAATTTCGTTCTCCTTCTCCTTCGTCAGTAGTGAATGCAGTGACATTCCTGAGGAACCCACCGACTAAGTTTGGATAAAGTGATCTCTCTCAGTTTACGAGGCTTGTTCTGCAATCCGTTTGAGGTTTTTCTACGATGGAGCTTGCTAAGAAGTGTCCATTTTTGGCTCGTGTTCCCTCGTCTTTCGTTCGCAAGGCGAGAGGCCCAGTGCTCGTTTCTTACGCCGAGCGTTGCCCCGTGATGTCGGAGGTTTTGAACAAAACCGACGAAATTCCCGATAAGAACGAAGGTAAACCTACATTTTTTGTGTTGTTGTACTTTTTTTTAATTTGATTTAACGTTTAAACAATTATGCCGAGCGATCGAAGTTATTTTCAAGCTCATGTAGTATAGTCAAGTTGCATAACATGTCAGCTGAATTAAAACTTCCTTTCATCACAGGAGCTAAGACCCACGGAGCCGCAACATCAGCCAAAGGTTTGTATTCAATCTCAACTTTTCTAGCATTAAGTCTTTCAAACGAGAAGGAAAATTTCTTTGTCGACCTTAACTATTGGGAGACCTATTCATCTCTTCGTGTTGTGTTTGTGTGATTTGTGCGTGGTAAGCTGAAGTCGCAATTTTATTGTACAATTCACTTGGTACACGACATCAGTAAGATCCCACATTATTTGTTTTTAATTTAAGCTTCTGTAATGAGTAGGAATGCATTGAAAACCTGTGTATTTCCAATATTTGGGCTTTTTTGTGATTTGAAGTGTCTCTGGCAATTTGAAACATTTCCAAGCCGGCTTCTGTACGGTTCTGTTTGTCTGCGTGTCATCGTCCCATGACAAGGCGGAAAATTAATCTTCCTTGACGGCAACAACATTTGCATTTACGCATTTTTCTTTTGTTTGGCATATTCTGTGGGACATGGTTGATTACAGACATTCTTGTCGGCGATTGCTTTCCAAGCCACTTTTTCCGTGTTCCGAGTTTGTTGTTCGTCACGCAGTCGATCTTGTTTTTCTATATTTGAATCGGTTACTAGATTTCGCCACCTCGTTTTCTTAAAGTGTCGCGGAAAAATATAAACATCGACAAAGATTGCTGACTCACTTGCAACGGAACTTAGATTAAAACCTGATTACAAAGGAGGTCATTAACAATTTCGGCTTAAAAAAATGAATATTTGGAAAGGATGTATCGATATTGTTCAGTTAACTCGACATCGACTCCATTCAAAACAGCATAGCAACAAATTATCTAAAAATATTTGTATCACGCATCTTTTTTAAGAGTGATTGAAATTTATTCTCGCAATTCTTGAAATTTGGCCTTGAAGTGAATTTTAAAAAAAAACTATTAGCAAGTTGAGTTGTTAATAAACCTCAAAAAACGGATGTGCATCAAGAGATGATATTGGACGGTTTCCTTGACAATGACTCTGCAGCTCTTAATTACCTATTTGGGAATGAGGTGAACTCTAAAAGTAATCGTTAGCAATCCTCTGCTTAAAAATGGATATTTCAAAGATATAAACAAGTTTCCAAGACAAATGAACATAATAATGTGCCACAAAGTGACACAAAGTAATTTTTGATGTGTCAAAGGTTACATAGCCTAAATTATTGGGATAGACCCAGTGTATTGGACTTTGCAGTGTGAAACACTGGTAACCTGTTAGTGTCCTACATGTTGAAGTAGTATGATTGCTTGTAGATTTGCATTTGGGTCAGTCTCCTTGCTCTCTGTGTAACTTACTAGCAAGTGTCACCATGGCTGAATATTTAAAATAATTTTATTTAATTTACATGTACCTAATAATTACTTAGACTTACCTGTTTCAAAAATAAAGGCTATATTTTCAAACCCACGCAAGTTTTAAAGAAGAATGTATTTGCGTGATAAGTAAATAAACTTTCAAAATATCATGTTCTCTGTTAGATGTGATCTTCTTGGTAACCCTTAGACAGCAAGCAGCTTTACTGGGAGATCCTTTTTCAACTTAACTTTGTTAACATTTGCATTTGAGTGAGATATTTTTTAGAAGGTAGATGGGCCATTATCTCATAATTAAACATAAAAAAAAAGAAAAAAGTCCTGGGTTGAAACCACAGCAAAGCTACAAAGTAGGAGCACAAAAGCGCAAAACTTAAGAATGTTCTGACATGCCAGGAGTTCAAGAATGTTTCTGATATTTTTTACTTTTTTTTCATATCTTTTTGCCTGGGAACCAAGAGATGTTTACTAAGAATGCTAAACTTAAAAGTAAAGGGCTAACCTCATCTGTTTTCCTTCTTTTGAATTGTATTTTCAGCTGGTAAATGTCCAGTTATGCACAATGCCACAGAGGTAAACAATAATGAACTTGTTACCTGCGCCTGTGATTATCAAGAAGGAACTGGGAAGAAGGATACAACCTTGGAGTCAGGTATCGAAAACAAAAACTTGTGTAGTTGCTTGAGTAATTTGTGATTGCTGTTGTATAAGGTTTTTTTTTTACGTATAAGAAAAAAACGTTATAATTTACTGGACTTGTAGAATTAAAGGCTTGAGTTTTTTTAATTTCTTGTGCCTCTAGGGGTTTTATTAACCCTTGAACTTCTAAGATCTAACTATTAATTCTCCCCTCCAGCTGTTCCACATTTTCTTGTAAATTAGCAATGAGAATTTAGAGCAAGATAACAACATCTAAGTGATAAGTTTGAGTATCCATCAGATACTATGTAGAGTTTATAGGTCTAGAAAAAGTTACATGTGAATCACTTCTGGGAATTAAAGAGTTAAGGGCCAGCTATCATTAGGCTGCTGCTACATACAAGTTGTCTTTCCACAATCTGATGATGCTTTATTTGGAAGAATTTATGGACTCTTTCATAGTCTTAGTCAGTGTGAACAGTTTTCACCTGAAAAAGCAAATTTTCTCTACCATATAAAAAATACATGATTTCTAGTGGTTAAAAACTCTTCATTGCAAAATTTAAAAGCTTGTCTTAAATTAACCTGTGCCATCAGTTGAAAAATTCATCCAGTATAGTTCTGTTTTAACTGAAAATAAGAAGCCAGCAGTGAATAAAAGTAAGTAAAGAATGAAAAAGCTAGCAGTCATGTTAAAACAGACTTGTAACAGATAATTATCTTTTCTTTCAGCTGGGAAGTGTCCTTTCTCAAGTGGCAAGTTAGTTGTGGATGCTGTGCAAAAAATTCACCCTACCCCTGCAATGAAGGTGGGAAATGTTTTTGCCCAGGCCACTGGAGTGCGTCAACTGGTCACCATGCCCCTTGCTGTTCAAGGTAATTTGAAAACATGTCTGGAGTGTATCTACAGTCAAAGTTTCTTTTTCAAAGGTTAACCCTTAAGTCCTGTTAGTGACCAAGACAGAATTTCTCCTTACAATATCAATACAGTATCAACTAGATTAGTGATGAGAATAAAGAAAAATATCAATTTGGGGATAATAAGTTGATCCAATACAAATTCTCTGAACTAACGTTATAAAAATTGTATGGTTGACACTAAGGACAATTACAAATTTGATCTGGGAGTTAAAGGGTAAATTGAATATCGTTGCGATCTTGTTCCCACTCGGTATACTTACCTACTGGTTTGTGTTTTTAATTTTTCAGGTCCTGCACCCAGCATTGAGGCCTTCCAGTCTCACTTTGATTATGACCGATTCTTTTTGGATGAGATTGAGAAGAAAAAGATGGACAACACCTACCGTATTTTCAAGAGGGTGAACCGCCTGGCTGAGACTTTTCCACATGCCAAGGATTATAGTGATACTTTAGCTGGAAAAGATGTGTCAGTTTGGTGCAGTAATGATTATCTGGGGATGAGCCGACACCCAGAGGTGCTGAAAACTGCAAGGTAAGGGAAGTGAGAAGCTGTATTGAGGGTGAAATGCTAGTGCCTTCCATTTATTAAGAAGGCATTGCAAGAAACAGGCTGTTACAAACATGTCACCTCTGTTTGAGCCAAGTTCAACTGTTACAATAGGGGAACTTTTTTGTTTTTACAGGGAGACTATTGACAAGCATGGAGTTGGTGCTGGAGGTACTAGAAACATCTCTGGCACAAGCAGTTATCATGAAACCTTGGAGAAGAAACTAGCAGAAATACACAAGAAGGAGGCAGCACTGCTCTTTACTTCTTGCTATGTAGCCAATGACACTACTCTGTTCACTCTGGCTCGTCAATTACCAGGTGAAGACATATCCTAAGTTTGGTAACGGAAAAGATTTAGAGTGAAACTTAACACTAGATGAACTTGTGAAGTATTTTTGTAATGTTGTGGTGTTGATAAGAAATGGCTCACAAGATGAGAAAAAACATGAAATTTGAAAGCAGTGTGATTATTACAGATTTATAACTGATTGGGCTATGTGCTGTAATCACCATTTCTGTTTTATCTTAACTCCTTAAGTTTCTTCAAGTTGTAATCAAGAACATGTTACCCAAAAAATATGCAGATTTACATAGAAATGTTCATTCTTTATTCTCTTGACATGAACTTACTACTGTTTTAAAATGGTACCATTGTTGTGGAAACATTTTTAATAGTGTTGGACTGCTATTCTTGTTACAGGCTGCCTGATTTTCTCTGATTCTGGTAACCATGCCTCCATGATCCAAGGTATTCGCAACAGTGGAGCAAAGAAGTATATTTTCCGTCATAACGATGTAGAGCATCTAGAGCAGCTTCTGGAACAAGCAGACCCAGAGGTGCCAAAGATTGTGGCATTCGAGACTGTGCATTCCATGACAGGAGATGTATGTCCATTGGAAGAACTGTGTGATGTAGCACACAAGTATGGGGCTCTGACCTTTGTGGATGAGGTAAGTAGTCTGGGATTGATGTCGAACCTTTCAATCTGACAGCTAAATAGGAATGGTTCTTTATACTGTCTTTTGTTAATCTTTTCATATTTTTATAACCTGTCAGGTTAACAATCTATGGAGATAGTGAGAGAGATTGTTTTGTCAACCCAAGCCAATACGTCAGCTTATAAGCAGTATATGATTATTTCTGGACTGCAGTTTTGATTGAGAACTATGTCAGTCTCCAAACCAACATTGTTGGCTCATTAATTTATAGCTAGTAACGGCCCTAGTGACACTGTCATAATCACATTAGGGAGTCAAATAGTATTACAGCCTGTAAAGGAGTGTTTAATTTAAGGATATTAGAACTGTTGTTTTTATATTTTTGTATATTTTTCTTACACCTTAATTGGTGGGACATGCCTTGCATGGTGCGCCAGCGCTTTTGGTTTTCTCCTTCTCCACAACTCTTCTTTATTGTAGTGATAAATTTAATTTAATTTATTGTCTATTTGTAATGTAGTGGAGTGAATCTGTAATAAATAACAGTAACCTGTTCAGGACCGGAACGTGGCCATTAATTCTAGCGTCTATCTCTAAACCATTGCGTTGCTTATAAAGATTATTGTAGCACTGATGAATTTTTATCAATCAACAGGTTCATGCAGTGGGTATGTACGGTGACAACGGTGCAGGCATTGGCGATCGAGACAACATCATGCACAAGATGGACATCATCACTGGTACCCTTGGCAAGGCCTTTGGATCCATTGGAGGGTACATTGCTGCATCAGCTGCCCTTGTCGACAACGTGCGCAGCTATGGCTCCGGTTTTATCTTTACCACCTCCCTTCCTCCTGTCACTGTGAACTCTGCTATTACATCTGTCAGTATTCTAGCCAGTGATGAAGGACGCAGTTTGCGTGAAAAGCATCAGAATGCTGTGCGCACCTTGCGAAACAAGTTGGTGAAAGCTGGTCTTCCTGTGGTGTATGCTCCGAGTCAGATTATACCGGTGCATGTAAGTGTCTGTAATTCATGTTTTGTCGAGAAAGACCGTATTTTTAAGTTATTTGAATGAAATTTGAATGAAATCTAACTAATTATAGGCTTCAGACAATTTACGGACCATTATCTTTTTTTACAAGTGAGTGTTAATCCTTGTGTTGCAATGGCAACAACATTTTAGACTTTCTGAAAATGTTCCTATAAATCAACTTTGTAACGAATGCATTTGACTAAATTGGAGAAGCCATAAAACGCGGTGAGGATTAAATTTATATTTGGTTCATCCGCAGGTTGGTGATGCAGCCAAGTGCACAGCCATCTCCAACGAGATGCTGACCAAACACGGCATGTATGTCCAGTCTATCAACTACCCAACAGTTGAACGCGGCAAGGAGAGGTTGCGTATCGCTCCCACTCCTGAACACAACGAAGCCATGATGGACAAGTTCACCGAAGCTCTGGTCAAGGCATGGAAGGACAACGGGATGCGTTTTCTGACCCCCCATTGCACCACCGCATGCGACTGTCAGGAGCGCTGCATCACCTACAAAGAGCTGGATTGCAACAAGTATGCTTCCCAGGTTGGAGCCTAGAATGCCGGCCAATATTGCTCTCCGAATCGACTTTTCCAGTGGGCGTGTAAAGCTCTTAAAATGGAACTATATTTAAGAATTGTTAAATGTAATTTTCTGGAGAAATCTGAAATAATCATACAGTGAAATCATCACGTTCTTGTGTCTGTGTGTTGGTTGTTTACTTTGTTCCATCTTGGTTGAGTTTCCTTTTTGTTTATGTCCCCGTGTTTTCACTGGTAAGACTTAAAAACTTGTGTTTCTTTGTGTTCAGTGTTTTCAATTCTGAACCAAATCTTTGGAGTTCTATTGGTTTCGAGTCATGACACCTTTATCTACTCAGAGATGCTGCCCTTATGCCTTTTGAAACCAATAATGTCTGTTGTGTATTATGTGAGCCTTTTTCTGTTGGTGACTGCCTTAATGCCGGTACAGAGAGTGCCACTGTCTTGCTTTGACGCAAGGTATCCCGAGATACTACCAGTTGTCGCCTTTGAAACCAATACTGACCAATGTAGGATCTACTTGACTTGTTATTTTCAAGGAACTGTGACTGCCCTTATGCCAAGACTGTGTTAAAACAGTGAGTTTTCTTGCTGTTATGGACTGCAATGCTGGTTGCTGAAAACATCCTGTTCGGAGGCCGTCAGTGCATCTTGCGCTCTGAAGAGATGATTGCGCTTATGCCAAAGCACTTGACAATGAACCACAAAGCTGGTTCTACGCATGAAGAAAGAGCCCTTATGCCAATTGGTCAACGACGCTCTAGAACTTTAGACTGTGGCCAACTTGTTCGAAACGTGGTCCTTAACGTGCCAACTAAAGGGAATTGAAAAGTTCAGTTTAGTAACGCTGTTATTAGATTAGATAATGGGGTGACTGCCTTTTATGCCAAAGCCGTTTCGGCTACGTAGAGAGTGGACAAATAATTTAATGACACTGCTGTGACCCTACAGCTACGAAATGGAACTCTTAGGTATAGATAAATCGATTCGCGGGGAGTAAGTTATGTAAAATTGGAAGAGTTTTTCAGGACAACGAGCGAACGATGTTGGTTTTCGGATTTCCATTTAGTATCTGTAATGACCCTTTTCATTCTTGAAGCGGTTCATAGAGTGCAGAAGTCGAAGGAGATAAATCTGAAAAGACAATTCTAGCGGACTGGCGATTTGAAAAGAAAGATATGGGGACATAACAGTGGGACGCCTTGCCTGTGTTCCCTGATTCCTTTCTTTACGTATTTTTTACTTTGTAAACTTTATTAATAGCACAGCTACGAAATGGAACCTCCGGGTGTAGTTGAATCGATTCGCAGGGAGAAAGTGGAGTAAAAAAGGGGGAAGTTTTTCAGGAATAACGTGCGAACGATGAAGGTTACGGTTTCCACTTAGTACCTGTGTTGCCTCTTGCCAATTTACAATTAGCTTAAGAAGATTTACACGTCTAGGGAGCTTCATTCGGAGTAGCAATTTAGCGGATTTGTCGTTAGTGAGAAAAAAGAAACCGGATATGTCCTTGGTTAACAATCGGTGTTGGGTTTTTGTAGATAGTGGTAAGTTTTAGTCTTCTTTTGAGTGAAACTCGAGATTCAAACTTGCCAATTAAAATGTATTACTTTCATAACCAAAAGTGTTCTTGACGCATTACTTTCTAGTTCTGAACAACGTCGCACTTCTGATAACTTACTCGTCGTGACTAAAAAGCTCCACAAGTCCTTTACCATCTCTCTTCCCAGCTATAGGTTGCACTCCCGCTCAACACATTTGTGGCCTCAGGAAGACGCATGTGGCTACTGATAAAGGGCAATTTTTAAAGCATCGAAAGGAACTAGGGGTTTTATGGTGACGCTAGAAGGTAATGTTGCCCAAGATTTGTATTCGCATGCAAACGGTAAACCTGCCACACCCCACATATCCTACACACCCGCCGCCTGTTAAGCTCATTTTCTGTGTAGGGCGCCAGACCACCTTTCGGGAGGTCGAGGGTTGACACTCAGGGTCTTAAAGTAACTGAGAAGAATACGCTACCTTAGCTATGACATCTGCAGATGGTTGAACATTCTTGTCTTCTCAGATAAGGACGAAAAACCGAAGGCCCTGTCCCGTGCATGTCCTCTGCGCTGCACAGCAGGGGACTTTGAACAACCTTCGCACTTCTCGGTGATGTGGTCTGACCTTATTTCCAAAAATCATAAATTGGGGGCGCCTGCGAAATTCCCTTTCAAAATGTTGTAAACTGCTCAATGCAGTCTGACTAAAGTCCCCTGAAAAGTACTGTAAAGCGCATTAGAGCGTATCCATATGGAGAATGCGCTAAAGAAATTCATCATTATCATTATACGTACTATGTTCCTTAGGAGAAAGATGATTCAAGAAAATAGTGACTAATTGACATTCAACCAATGATTAAATAATAACAAATGATGAAAATAACGATAGTAATAATACTAATATTGATAAGTATATGTAATCACATGAGGCCAAGTAAAAATTTTGAAAACTCAAGTGCAATTAATCCTTAATAGTACGAGGTCTCATGGGATTACTTGTTTATCAATAAAGGGCAAAATTTATACGAAGGAAAATCACGCGCGCAGTCTATTTTTATCTGGGAAGCCTGTTTAGCGCTACGGCAAATCATCAATCAAATTGAACTGACCAATCGATTCAATGAAATTTTATTCTCCAAAACTGTGTCGTGATACACTGCCAAAAGTCTAGAAAACAAAGCTCATTTCAACAGAGCGTTTCTGCCAACAGAAAAACAACAAAGTGCCTTTAACTGAACAAGGTAATCATGCCCTCTCTTGATTACTTAAAATGCCCTCGATTAAGAAAAAATGCCCTCTCTCTCAACCAATCAGCGCTCAGTAATTTTGCCCTTTATTGATAACAACAGTAATGGTGCTGATAATTTAAAGGTATCATACCACCTTAAAGGGGCTTGCCCAAGAACCTCATTGTTCCTCTATACTCAGCTAGGCTACATTAATGACTAAACTATGCTTTTCATTTTGCCTTTTAATTATCAATTACCTTATTTCATTGCAATTCCATTCTGTTTCATACAACAAGGAATTCCATGCTAAAGGATATTCCTCCATTCCATCATTCTATCATTTCATCAAATAGCGTCACCCTGTAAAACTTCGCTTCGCGAATTCATCGGCTCTTTAGAGCATTATTCGCTGGTTGAAATGGTAAAACGCTCTCTCTCAAAATTGGCCACAAGTGTCCAAAATCGAAAATCGGCCACTAGGGTCCAAAATCCGTCATCGGTCACTAAGGTCCCAAATTGAAGATCGGCCACCAGTGTGTAAAATTCAATATCGGCCATTATGGTCCAAAATAAAAAATTGGCCACTAGGGTCCAAACTGAAAAATCAGCCATTAGTGTCAAAAAACTAATAGCGGCCACCAGTGTCCTAAATCAAAAATCGGCTTCCAGGGTCCAAAATGAAAAATTGGCCACTAGTGTCAAAAATCTTATATCGGCCACTGAGTGTCCAAATTCCAAAATAGGCCACTAGTGTCCAAAATGCAATAGGGTCCAAAATGAAAAATTGGCCACTATGATCCGAAATCCAAATTTCTTCCGTTCTCCAACGTTGTCTACTCCGACAAAATTTTAACTTCTAAGTAGAAAATATCAGTATTACGTAAATCAGCTGTCTTCTGCTGAAGTACAATCATATCCTTGTATTGAATACAATGATTTGTGAGTGCGTATTCGACCGTGAACTGCATAAATTAACACAAATTCTCGGCAGAAACATTGCCATCCATGCCAACGGCGCTCGATATGCGGTGAACAAGTTTGCTAAACTTGAACAATTCTCCGTCTAAATAATGACCGAAACGTTGCCACATGAAGTTGCTAACAGCAAAGAAAGTTTCCGAAACATAGCCTGCTTCTTTGTGTTTGGAATACTGTCGTTAATCTACGATGAGACTTCTCTCGCGGCGGCCGAAGATGTGTTGTCGGGCAGTAAGATTCCCACTACAGTTGTTATAATTGCCATCGCCGTACCGGTTCTCGGTGTAAAAATCACCGCGCCGTGGTTTCTCCAGAAGTGTCCATACTTGGTCAAGGCCTGCCTGGTTGTGTTGCTTCTTTTTGCGGGATTAATCGTGGTTGTAACGGCTTACGATGTTCACTTGAGGTTGTTCGGAATTAGCGTCATCGAATCGGGAGTCAGTTTGAGCGAAATAACTTTCTTGGCCATGACTGCCTTCTATGGCGAGATGACAGTCAGTGCATTTGTAGCGGGGATCGGCGTGGCCTCGTTATTGGGACCATTTTATTACACAGGTTTGACCCTGCTAGTATAATCTTAATTTTATTGACGCGGAATTTTGAAAATTAACAGATACTTAATCATTATCGTAAAATATATAGTGGTTATTCACTATTTTAAGTAACACTTCGTGGTCGCTTCGGATGTGGTCGCAGCGTTTCGACTGCATTCTGCCAGTCTTCTTCAGGGGAATGTCTTCAAACCGAGCGGCGGGAGACGATTAAGATTAAGATGTTAAAGATCAGAAGAGGCGTAGATTTATATCGCTTGTTCGCTAAGGAGTATTTTTTTAAATGATTGTGAATATATGGAAGTCATATATTTGAACTGCGGTTAAAGACGTGAATATGAAAGCGATCTTCGCAGTAATGAACACTACTTAAGTAGTAGTTGTGAAAAGAAGAGCTTGTTAGCTCAGTTAGTAGAGCACTGAACCGGTATCGCAGAGGTCATGGGTTCAAATCCCGTACAGGCCTGAACTTTTTTCAGGCCTTCTTTTCACCGCTACTTAAGAAATGTTCATTACTGCGAAGATCTCTTTCATATTCACGTATTTAGCCGCAGTTCAAATATATGACTTTCATATATTCACAATCATTTATTCACCATTTCACGCGTTTATTTAGAACCAACACATTGACCAGCTCCCAGTTGGCTTGTTAGCTCAGTTGGTAGAGCACTGCACCGTGACCGGTATCGCAGAGGTCATGGGTTCAAATCCCGTACAGGCCTTGAAAAAAGTGAAGAACTGACATCCTGACTGAATATTATTAGACGTTTTGATGTGTAGTATCACTGAGTAATTTTATGAGTTGTGCCGTATTTTGACGAGCCCCTAGGGCGCGAGTCGAATTACAAACAACGAATAAATTAGAGAAAGATGTTTTTTTTTTAAATGCAAATTCATACCCGGCACGAGAAGAAATTTCTAGCGATGACGGAGGCGGACCACTTCTATTGATCATGGAAGATCAAGAAACTTTGAGATTTTCATTTAAAAAGATAAGTTTGTGTCCCAAAGTGATCATAAAATCAAACTTTTTTAGGCAGATTCTTATACTTTACTTTTTATGTAGCAATTCATTTATTATGATTCAAGTGATTGTCGAAAATTCTGGTGGTTTTCAATACTGAATCTAATCCGTTTGAGTAAGATTTACAAACCTAGCCGGGCCTAATCGGTCCCAGTCGTTCAAAGGGGAGATAACGCTGTCCAGCGGATAGCCTTCGAAACACCAGGGCCCTGATCTGTTACGGAGTATGAACTTCAGAGACATTTGCTATAGAACAGGACATCACATCTTCAAAATATTAGCAGTTATGCGATTTTAGACGACGATATTCTGCCTCACAAAATGCGTCAGTAAAAAAAATGCTTCTGTGTTAAGAGGGTAACTGTGAGAGGTGGTTGTCGTATGAGAACGCGGTAACAGGAACTGCATATTGAGCTGAAATTCAGCAAACAGTGTGGTTTAAATTTTTTGACCCAATCTACGGCACATAGGCACGTGTGCCTCCACTGATAAAGTGGAAGAAAAGCGGGGACCTGGGACAGGAGGGGGGGGGAGGCGAGGTTAGTGCAAATTTTTAGGTTACAAGGTACAGCAAAGTATAATCAATGTAATCCTCAATTACTTTCTTGGCTGTTACATCGAAATTTCTTCATGTTTAATAGGTATCATCGCAACCTTGCAGTTCTTTACTAAAATGATTGTGACCTATATCTTGCAGGTCTATCAACATGGCTGTGTCTCGCACCGAAAAAAACACTTTCAACAACATTTCCTTGGCCATTTCTTGTCTTAGTTACGTACTTCATCTTGGAAAAGAAAGACATTGATTCAAACGCGAAAGGACACGGAGGCGGTGGGTACGAAAAACTTCCCTTGAGCGAGAACACTTCTTCGGATGAACAAAATGCTACTCCTGAACACGGCTTGACTTGGGAAGAGAAATTTTCCGTTACCAAGCAGATTTTGCCTTATATCACTTTCTTGTTTCTCACGTATTTTGCAGAGTATCTCTCTAACCATTCCGTTATTACGACCCTAGCTTTTTCAAACTCCTCGTTCAGTCCGCGGGACCATTACCAGTACTACATAGTGTGCTATCAAGTTGGAAAGTTCTTAGGAAGGTCCCATATCTTCCTGCTCTCTTGCACCTGCTCAAAAGTGGTCCCTTATGTGCGAGTTAAGAAAACATGGATTTTCGCTTTGGTAGAGATAGCACATCTCATGTTCTTTACGTTTGCTTCGTGGTTTCGTTTCGTGCCGCATGTTTCTATCTTACTAATTCTCTGTGTAACAGAAGGATTTGTGGCCGGATCAATGTACGTCAATTCGGCCCACACAGTGTCTGAGGTCGTCTCAGATCCGAAACAGAGAGAATTTGCATTAGGACTACTAACCATTGGAAACGGGATAGGAAAGCTAACAGCTGGGCTCGTGGGACTTCATTTGGAACCGCAGCTGAAGAGTCATTGTGTTTATGACTTGGAGTTACAAGATCAGTGCATTACTCGATATTCAACAGAATCTGGCTGGGAGACAAACATGCGCTGCAGTCATTCTCAAACAAACTCAACAAAATTTTGAAAAAACAATTGCAAGAGAATATGAATATACGTTTTTTCTCTGTAGTAAGGCAATATTGGAGTTTAATGAACATTGAAAAGAGGAACTTGATGGCATAATTGCTTTTGTTTTGATTTTAAAGTGGATAGAGTTATGTTTCGTTTCCTTATCGCGTTTACGCCCCTATTTTCCAGACTGGATACTATTGTTCAAAGTTTGAATCACTTACGCGGCTAGCATTCCTGTTTAAACCAATTTACAACTGTAATTATACCCTTGTAATGGTGCGCCTCTTGAGTATCGAGGCAGTTGGAGTTAGGGAATGGACGGAGTTAGATCAGAGTTTCTTTTTACATAAAATTTTTCCAGTTTTTAAATATTATTGTTCCAGTTACTGATGTTCTGACCATATTTTGACATCTTCTGTGGTCTACAACTGTACAGACCCAGGACAACATGGAATCAATTTGTTTTTTTCTAATAAAACAGCAAATTCTGCTAATGGTGACGTCATCTATGGGTCTGTTTCTCAATAGATCATAAGAAAGAACCAATCAAAACGCGTATATAACTCCTTTCTTTTTAAATGCGTATACAACTGAACTTGTTATGTAAACTAAAACCTGTTTGCATTTTCCCGCGAATTAGGCAGTTTACTTGATTTTGTTTTGAATTCTCATTGCCTGCTTGTGATAAAGTCCTCTATTTAAGCTGATTGGGTAGAGGTTCTGTGATGAAATTTGGCGTGACGTTTGGCGGCCTGCAGTTTGCGTTCATTGTGGCGGCGTGATGACATGTTTTGATCAAGACGATAAAAACATGTATCCAAACACAGAATCGAAATTAACACCCAAATGAAAATCAAAACAGAAGTGGCTGACCATTACGATGCAAATGCAGGTGAAAAGGAAAACTAAAATGGGACTGAAATTGTCGACGAAAATTTAAACGCAAAAGAAAATCAAAACAAAATCAACATCAAGTTTAAAATCAAATGACACGTTGTCATAGCAACCATCTCTTTCCGATATGGCGGCCACCTCTCAGCGGAAAATTCCCAGCGGGGCGAAAAATGCAATATTTGATTTCTATTTTACTATGATTTAACACAAGGAAAGTTTCGAATAGAAATAGATACAGGAATATGAATTTTGCTATGGGTTAAAGAATAAGAACACATGTCTATCCAAAACAAACTGGAAAATGCTCAATCCAATTTTTATCATCGGAGAGCGTCGCGGGAAAACTATGATAGACCTCGAGTGCTCTTAAAATATGGCTTTATTCCCCTCCCATCGGAATTTTATGCGTGCCAGTCGTTCAAAGAGACCAAAAAAAAAAAACAGCAAATCAACTTCCATAAGGTATATTTCTTGTTGTGTGACAAACATTAATGAGCTTGACCTGACATGGTTCGATGTTACTCTGGTTTAAAGATTCAATGAATGTAACCGATAAGTTACAATTTACACACCCAATGTTTCGACATTAAAATGCTCTGTTTAGTGCCTCACCCCTGATGAAGGTACTGTTTAGTGCCCTCATCAGGGGTGAGCTAATCGCTGCAAAAGAGGTCCTTTTATATTCTCAGTAACTAGTTACCCTTCTCTCTGACGAGGAGTAAGTAGGCGTTAGGTGGTGGCGTAAGTAAGTAAGTAAGTAATAACTTTATTTAACGAGGGTAAAGACATTGATTACTGGTCACCCAGTAGTTTTCATAATGGCCCTCCTACAATTAAAGTACTAAAAAGTATCGATTGAATAATTGACTACCTATATAATCTACATACTAAAATTACATTAAGAACTACTATTAATACAATATTGATTGATTTACTACTAATGAAACTGAAAAGTTTTACGAATCTTAAAATGATCAAGAAAAGAAGTCATACTACGGTAAAATTTAACTAAGTAATTTTTAAAATTAGTATGAGAGAGTGTCTTTGGTTCGGGATCAAGAGCGTTCCACAAACGGCAAGCGCTTGAGTGAAACGTTCTAAGGCCAGAGTTCCTTTTACAAGCTGGTGTTGTAATATTGTTATTAGAAGCGGATCTCGTGTTATAATTATGGGTGTTACTTATATGTTCAATATATTTATTAAAATAAGCCGGGCAATGTCCTTGATTTATTTTATGTGGCGTCGATTAATGGTGGTAATTTTAGAATTATTAGGCATATGGGCTCCATTGAACGGAATAGAATAAATAGCGTCGGTTCGTTGTTCTTCTGAATTTCTAAAACGATTAAAAAAGTATCAAGAACATCACACTGGACGTAGCAGATATTGTTTCGGGAACTTTCTCTTATTTCAGAGCCTTCGTCCGCTGATATTTCCACCATTTTGGCAAATCTTGCGTTGTCATACACGACTGTGATTTGAGACAGACGTTCATGGTTGAAAAACTTTTGACCTAAACTTACGGACAATATAATTTATGCAGTTTGCTGTCGAATATGTAGAAACAACAATTGATTCATGACAGGACTTCAGACCAAGACAGCATTCTTTTCCGAAGTAGGCTTCATAATGTATGCTATACAATTGTAATTTCTACTCATTATCTTTGTAATTTTAAGACCTCGTGCTTCGGATTCCATCAGGTTTCCAAACGTTGGAAAACAATAAAACCGCCATGCCTAAGGCCTCTTGGTTTCAAATGTCATAAACGACTGTGATTTGAGACAGACGGTCATGGTTGAAAAAACTTTTCTCCTTAATTTACCGACAATTTATACAGCTTGCTGTCGAATATGTACGAAAAAACAATTGATTCGTGACATGACTTCAGACTAAGACAGTACTCTCTTCCGAAGAGTGCTTCATAACGGTATGTTATACAAAAGAAGGCCATGACCCTAAAAAAATTTTGATGGTCGGGTCATGTCCATCTCACTTATATGTGTCGTTAGGCTTTCAGGAACGAGACATAACACAATTGATGCTATTTTTATTCAATGACATGTAAATGAGTGGCAGGGTATTCTGCACTTTAGCCAATCTTAACTTCAACTGTTGAAAAAAATACTGTTTTCAAAATATATATCTAGGATAGAAGTGTCGGATTTGAACTGTGAACGAAGTGAGACCTTAATTTTGAAAATTTGAATCCTTTGGAAGTTATTGCGTGTTGGTATTTTTTAGTCCAGTCCGGACACATACCTTCTCGCACAAAGAAATAATGATCTTCCTCAGGGTATGGCAGGAACTAATTATGCCCTAAGGATGGCGAGGTCGATAGCGTGTGGCTCGTAAAAAAGAAAAAAATGCTCCCAATGCGTCATGCGGTTTTTACTTTTTAATTAGCTTTCTCAGTGCCTTCCAACTGGAAGTGTATTATATGATGTAAGCAGAACATGCAATTTCGGGAATTATCGTTTTGTAAATACGTTCGGGATAACAAAAGAATTACTTAAACTACGAAAAAAATAAATAAAGGCTCATGCAAACATTTTCATCACTTTCAAACTACCAACTAACTCCTCTATGTTATTAAAAAATTTGAAATTATTCAATCACTGCAGAAACTCGAGCAACATTCAAATTTGATTGTGCTTTTTCATCATGTCAAGAGTATCCCTGCAACTTTCTGGGTAGGCTAAGCTTACTATTGTTATCTTAAGAAAAAAGCATTTCATGATTGTAAATCTCTACAATGCAGTCGAACTACATTGCGTATTCGTTGCCCAGCCTGCTTCAGTGCGATGTCTAGTAATACAATGATCATCTAACTCCAGGTCATAAACGCAATGAATCTTCAGCTGCGGTTCCACATGAAGTCCCACGAGCCCAGCTGTTAACTGTCCCACATCGTTTCCAATGGTTAGTAAGCCCAATGCAAATTCTCTCTGTTTCGGATCTGAGAAGACCTTAAAGACGGTGTGGGCCGAATTAACATACATTGATCCAGCCACAAATCCACCTGTTGCACAGAAAATTAGTACGATAGAAACATGCGGCACGAAACGAAACCATGTAGCAAAAATGAAAAACATGAGATGTGCTATCTCTACCACAGCAAAAATCCAAGTTTCCTCGACTCGCACATAGGGGACCACTTTTGAGCAGGTACAAGAGAGCAGGAAGATATGGGACCTTCCTAAAAACTCTCCAACTTGATAGCATATAATGTAGTACTGGTAATGGTCTCTTGGAGTGAAAGAGGAGTTTGAAAAGGTAAGGGTCGTAATGATAGACTGGGTTGAGAGGTACGCTGCAAAATAGGTGAGAAATGAGGAATTGACATACGGCAAAATCTGCCTTGCGACAGAAAATTTCTCTTTCCAGGATAAGCCATGTTCAGGCGAGGTAGGTGCTTCATCCAAGGGGGTTTTTTCGCTTGAGGGCAGCTGTTTGTACTCGACTCCAGCGTCTTCTTTCGTAATTGAATCGATCTCTTTCTTCTCTAAGATGTAGTAGGTGATTAAGATAAGAAGCAGCCAAGGGATTGTTGTTGAAATTGTCGTTCTTGATGCAAGGCACAGCCACGTTGTTAGGCCTGCAGGATACGCGAAAAATATAGTTAGAAACCTCTTTGTAATTATTTTCTGAATTATCTTTGTGCAGTTCCCCACTCTAAATGTCGCTTCAAAACCAAACCATGAGATTTATTCTGAGGGCCAACAGAACCACCCGCACACAATTTATGAGGAACACTCTAAGGCTGTTAATACTGTACAATAGGAGACGATTCCTCAGATTTGTTTTTAAGATTGTAAACAACCAAAACTGCCCTAACTAACTAGAGAGTTACCTAACCAGTAAGATTGAGCTCAAAAACAGAAATCTACGGAACCAAGGGACTCTCGACGTACCACAATCTAAAACTTCTTCGGGAAGAAAGACTTTCCAAATTTCTGGTGCAAGTGACTGGAACTCTCTCCCTACAGAACTTAGGAAAACAACTTGTATAGGCTCTTTTAGATTTAATCTTTTTAAACGACTGAGAGACAGTGACATTAGTAACAATAAATGTACAGTGTAACTAGTTGGATTTTTGTAGCGTTTTAATAGTTTTTAGGTTCTTGATATTTTAAATTAGTTTTTTAGTGGTTATTAAATTGACGGTTTTTAGCAGTCTTATCTTAGCAGTTTTTAGCGTCTTTGAAATATGTAATTTAGAATGATATTATTATAATTTTTATTTACTGGACATCTTGTTTAGACCAGCGCTCCAGCGTTGTATAGTGCTGATAGATATCTCCAATATAAATAAAGCTTTTATTATTATTATTATTATTATTATTGTTATTATATCCTCCAGGAGGGATTCAAGAGATATTTGCCAATATTTTGCAAGCTGTTTCTTAAAGAAAGAAAAATGATTTATCAAGCCTACAAATGGTCAAATAATGCAGTTCTGACACCTTCAAGAAACGGTCTTGTTACATCATATGCAAACGCACTCCTTACGGGGTACTTTGCATCGGTAAATCTCTAATGAATCGAAACGTTACCACAATCTAAAAGTATTTATTTTAAGGATGGTTTTCACTTACATATAGGGAGCCAATTGCGCCAAAAAATGAATCATGAGTGATAAAACTCAATCGCTAGTCCTAGCAACAAATCGAAATTGTGTATCATATTTTTGGCACACATTACTCCCCAATCAGAAGCATACAACGTCACGATTTAGTGATTTTCAAATGCTGCATCAAAATGAATGAAAATTGCCATCAAGTTTTCTTACCCGCGTAATAAAAGGGTCCCAGTAGGTAGGCCACACCGATTCCAGCCACGAGTGCAATTACGGTGACTTCTTGATAGGAGGCAGTCATGGCAAGGAAAGTTATCTCACCTAAGCTAATTCCCGATTCCATAACCATTATACCGAGCAACCTTGAGTGAACATTAGGAGCTGATACAAATACGATTAATCCTACAAAAAGAAGCAGCACCGACAGGCAGATCTTCAGCATGTAAGAAAACTTTTGAAGGAACCATGAAGCGGTGATTTTTAAACCAAGAACCGATGCAGCCATGGCAATGCTGACAGCAGCAGTGGGGATTTCACTTCCAGATAAGACATCTTCGGCCGCCGTGATGGTTAATGTATCGTAGAACAATGAAAGTATTCCAAATACGAAAAAACAGATAGTGTTTCGGGGACTTTCTCTAATTTCAGAGCGGCTTGCGTCCGCTGATATTTCTGCCATTGTCTATTTGGCAAATCTTTCGTTATCATACGCGATTGTGATTTGAGACAGACAGTCATGGTCGAGAAACTTTTCACCGGAATTTACAGACAATTTTCTATTGACATGAATTCAGATTTATGGCAGCCCTTTTTTCCTAGGAAGTATTACAAATTAGGCCATCCAATGACCCCAAAAAATGTCACAATGGCTGGATCATGACATAGTCTTAACTTCAAATATCGGAAAACGTCCGTTCTCAAAATCTGCATCTGGAATAGACGTGTGTCGTATTTGAACCGTGAACGCACCGAAACTGTCTTCTTGTTCCTCAGAGATATGATTAAATTGAATTTTTTTGGAAACCATGGCGGATTGAAATTGTTATTTCCTCTATTTCCGGACAAATAACTCCGAACAAGAATGAATATCCAAAGGCTATAATGGAATGTTCTCCGTAAGTTTGCCTTTCAGGATGATCGCGACTAAAACACCATATGAATACTAAGAGCAATGTAGGAGTAAGATACAAATACATACGAGCACATAAGGCTACATCCGTGTGACATACGCATACACACGAGTGAAATTTCCCATTTTCATCCTTTTTAATTGCATATAGAGCCACTTTCCGGAACACATTCACTATGTGACTTATCGCGCGAAGGCACGCGCGCGGCACATACGTGGAGCACTTTTCTTTTCATTTTTTTTTTCTTTCGATCTTAACCTAGAGGTGCTTTTTATCCTGTTCACTCTCAAAGTTGATCAAACCTCGGGAAAGTTTTGCCTACTGTGCATTGTCGCATATCAAATTAAACGACAAGGGTAGTTCAGTAATGCTCTCCATGCAAATTTAACGAAAAGTTGAAATAGAGAAACCTGTAGATTCATGTTCCTCTGATATGCGAGCCGTAAATTTTATAGTGGATGGTGACTCTTTAAATTCCTCTCTTGACAGCAACCTTGAGCTGACTTACTTTCGGCTTTCTAAGCGAAAGGAAATTCTCACGTGCATTTAAGTTACCGGGCGACTCTTACACTCTCTTTTAAACATAAACACTTTTGATTTTAGCCTGCGAAGAATTCCTCATTACATGTACTGTGCCATGGGTGTTTCTAACGGTAAGTTTAGAGCCTTGGACTGTTGAGCCAAGCGAGCTGGCGAGAGGTCTTCAACATATCTGGCACTTATCATTAGTGCATGACTTCGTCTAGCGTTTTTCAAGGACTCAAAATTACTCGCGAGCGAAGAAACGCCCGTTCTGAAGGGATTTTTTGCTGTGATGTGGTATACCTAGTTCGTTTCCACATGCTGTACGCCTTTCACTGATAGCCACTGACTATCAGAGATAGGCGCACGGCATGTGCTAAACAAAGGTGCACAATGTAGCTAAACAAAGCAACTTAGAGGAGATTTATAATTCTCATTGGTTATTGCGGTCATTTTTATTTTGGTTTTCACGACTCTTAATTGAAAAGCGCCTTGTCAATGAAGCGGTTAAGCATGCATGAAGAACGATGGCTGTGTAGCAAAACATTGATCTAGAATTGCTAGATCTCCACTTAAGACTTTCACTGCTCTTTGCCTAAATTATTTGGGCAACGATAAGTTCAGTTTAAAAGAATCAGATTAAAAAGACGTTTCAAGGAACTGAATGTGTCAGGGTCGATGGAGGGAATTTACTGTGCCGGTCCACGTTACGTGACTGCATATATTCTTTCGTTTTCTTTGCAACACTGAACTAGACATAACAATCCATGATGGTGTTCAAGATGTTTTGATCATCGGAGAAAAATTTTCCCAAAATTTGAATTTCGACGGAAGATATTTTAGAGAGTCGTTCGAGAGGGGGAGAGGGGGAAGGGGACAAAAATAAGAGAGCAACATAGTCTAAGAAAACCGAAGAAACGTGGGAGGAATCAAAGCCGAGAAAAGCGGTTTCTCTCAGTATCTTTTTTTTTAGTGCTTTTTCGTCGAACTTCCTCACGCAAACTTGTAACGTGACCAATATCGACCTCTCTAAACTGATCTGCTAAAGAAAACATGAAGAAATTAGCGAAATCAAGAAAATGGATGATCAACTCAATCCTTATGTAATTCTCTTTTTTAGGGTCGGTTTATTTATATAGTCTAATCTCCTTACTTACAAAAACATCCTTCACTTTCCATAAATTTGATCAGTTCATATAAATATTTCTTTTTTCATTATGGCTAGCTATGTTTATAAGCGATTTCATTTTCAGTTACGGAGAGCCCCTAAATTGATATTTCCATCGCTCAGTACAGCTTCTCCGTGGAAAAAGATTCTTTTGAAGTTTTTTCTATAATTAGAGCTCTGAAAGGCGTAAATAAATGGATTTAAGCATGAGTTAAAGTACATGATATAGCCAAGAACTCGATAAATTTTGTATAAAGATTTATAGTTATTTAAGATGTCTTCGTGTTCTGTATAAGCTAAATAAACCTCAAAAACCACATATGGTGCGTTACAAATTATGTAGGCTGCTGTAACTGTAAAAGAAACAATGGCAAGAGTACGTTTTGCCCTCAGATTTTCCCTTTTCGTGCCTGCAGGTGCAGCGGAACAGACAGTGTTGGTAATAAAGATGCCTTTAAGTATCTGGAAATGGCAATAGAACAAACAAATGGAGCATATGATTACTAAAACTATTGTAATTGTTATTTGCCATTTTATAGTCGAAATTCTTTCAATTGTCCACGGATCTAAACATCTTTTCAACCGTTCATCGTATTCGCTGTAGATAAAACCAGGCAAGGAGAATACTATAGCAAAAACCCAGATAAATGCTATGCGATAACCAATGTATTTCTGACGTCGACGCAAATTGATTTCCAAAGGCTTGAGAACTGCGAGGTACCGCTCAATTGCTAAAACGAATAAACTGGAGAGCTTGACAGAAACTGAAACACAAGTCATCGCATATCCAGAGAAAAACTTGCAAATATACTTGCCCAATATCCCACTTGGATGCTCGGCAAAGAGACTCAAAGCTATTGGAATAATGCACCAAATCAATGAGATGATATCAGCAACAGCCACGTTTGTCAGCAAGAAGTTGGTGGTCGTGTGCATAGAGGTTGTTTTCCAAGCGATTATTACTACCAAACCATTGCCTATTACGCCGATAACAACCACAATCGCATACAGGATCAATAGGGTGATGTTAAACGGTGACAGCGAGTTATAGAGGCCTGTCACATCGATCGAAGAATTAGCCATCTTGGTTTTTTTTCGTATGTTTGCTCACAGCTTTAGGACAACTAATTTCAAGACCAGAAATTGAGAGTAATCAGCCGGCTAAGAGAAGATTTTGTTGACGTCATTTATTGAAATTGTTATGCAAGGCCTTAGGGCTGTTATAAGATCTTCTTTCTCTTTTTCTATTTGCCACTAATATAAATCTAAAAATAGTGTATTTTATGCAGATCCCATTACAAAAAATACGCCTCTATCAGCGTGATGCATCCAGTGAAAATTTATTTATGACTTTTAAGTGAGGAAAAAAGTTGTCTTAGTTTCTTTTTCAGTTTCATGGGGAAGACAAGATTTCATTTAAGGTAAGGGAAGTGTAAAATGATTCAGCTGAAAAGAACGCGTCTAGAGGCGGGACGAACATCATCTTTGACGCAAATAAGCGAAAGTTGTAAATGAAGGGTCTTGCAGTAAATCTGAAAATGATGATATGAATGTAATGAATTGAATCATAATGAATTGAATAATTAAGGTTTTGTTAATATTTGTAAGATTAATAAAGAAGCAAAGTCATCATGAGTTACTGATTACTTAATATCAGGAAGGTTTTAAAAAGATTCGGGGCTGCTGGGGCTGAACGCATTTTAAAAAAGAGAAAAGCAGTCATCAGATATCACAGTTTTTTATGCGGCTTTAGAGGTCTTACTTTACGTCAGGCCCGAAAGAACGAATTTTTAAGCAACAGGGGTAAAAAGGTTGAACGGTACCCATGCAATATGATGTGTAATAATGGCCCGGATGGTCATTACATCCCTGTGGAAGAGTTCATAGACATTCTACAAGGAAAAATGGTGAAAACGTAAACACAACATAGTCACATGTGGCGCATGATCGAACACTTTCTCCAACGTTCAATCAAACTTGTGTTTTCCAATCTTTCGATGTGCTCGGGTTTTTATCTGCCCTTTTCCATCGCTTACGTCCACGTGGCGTTGCGTACCTCCTCTCTCCTGAGGGTTCACCACAGTATTTATTATCAAAAACGTGTTGTTTCGATAATCTAGCGTCACATCTATGTAAATAATTTTGAACGTATAACGATAACATTTCTTTCTTCGTCTTTCATTTAAGAAAGGTTATTTTCAAAATCGATTAATTGCTGATGACAATCAATTTTCATAAAGAAAAGCTTTTACCTACCCGATGTATGTGCACTTGTTAAAATTAAACCATATTGAACCATGAATAGGAGGAAGAAAATTACTTTAATATCACATCATCACATGACGTCATTCGTATCTTTCCTGCTTGTGGAAGATGCTTATTTATTCCGCCTTTGTTTGTTTAGAATTTCTTTCCATACAAAGAACAAAAAGATGGAAAAATTTTTCATCGATGCGACAAGTCTATACAACTCGCTGTCACCGTTTAATGTCATTTTATTTATCCTGTATGCGTTAATGGTGGTCATTGGTTTGATAGGCAATAGTTTAGTGGTAATAATCGTTCAGAAAACGATCTCGATGCGCACAACAACCAACTTCTTGTTGTCAAATATAGCTGTGGCTGACATTATCTCTTTGGTCTGGTGCATAATTCCCTTGGCTACTTGTCTCTTTGCCGAGCATCCAAAGGAGCAAGTGGGAACGTATATTTGCAAGTTTTTCACAGGATATGCCATGACGAGTATTTCAGTTTCTGTTAAACTCTCCAGTCTGCTCATCGTTGGAGTTGAGCGATATCGCGCAGTTCTCAAGCCTTTAGAGAGTGACTACCGCCTGGAGCATATTAACTACATAATAGGCTTTCTCTGGATTTTTGCTGTCATTCTCGCCCTGCCTGGATTTATTTACAGCGAATATGATGATCAACTTGGAAGATGCTTACATCCTGGGACAATTGAGAAGACGGCCACTGTAAAATGGCTGATTACAAGCATCACGGTCTTGACGGCCGTTTGTTCAATTATTTTATTTTTGTCCTATTTCTATATACTTAAAGGCATTTATGTTAACAAAACAGTTTGTGTTGAATCAGTAGCAACGAGACAGGTGAACATGAAAGCAAAAAGAAAACTCGCCATAACTTCTTTGACGGTCACAGTTGCATATATCATCTGCAACGCGCCGTTTTTGGTCTTTGAGATGTATACAGCTTACACCGAAAGAGAAAAAATTAGGAATAACTATGAGACTATGTATACAGTTTATCGAGTTGTGGGGTTTATCATGTACTTCAACTCATGTCTAAATCCCTTCCTTTATGCCTTTCAGAGCTCAAACTATAGAAATAACTTCAAAAGGATCTTTCTACGCAGAATAATTGCGTTGCGCAACAACAGTATAAATTAAGAGGTTTTTACTAGAAGTTGAAGCATAAGGAACAACTGGATTTTTTTTTAACATATAGCTGGTGTTGTTTATTATGATGTTAATAATTAAAGGGATTTATGGCCATCCTAAAGACCTTCAAAAATTAAATTATTAACTTTTCAAAGTATGAGCTGGATGACCTTTTCATTGTTGGAAATAAAATTGTGAATTACCGCACATATTTTGAGATTACCAGCAGGAAGAGCAGAATAAAGTGTATTTTGATTGGTGATACCGTCTCCATGGGAACGTTTCAGGGGACAACATGCTTAGTGACATAACAGTTATTAGAGCCGAATCTTTCGCCAAGGGCTGTTTTAAAATAATCTAAAAAAAATCAGTCAGCAAGGGGTGAAATGCTGTGAACTGCTTGAAGACGTCTCCTGAAAAAAACTATATAAATGAGGATTCAGCACACAGACCTGTTGAGGACTTGATAACAAGTATTGGCTGGATTGTAGATTGTGTCCCTGATTCGATTTTACGTATGGAAGAATGAGGAGGTTGAGAGACATTTTGCTTTGAAATCGCCAAATATTTTTCCATGGGTTCCCTCATATTGAATCCATAAGATCCTTTTTCTTAAAATTGCAGCAATGCATCAGATGGAATGTCGCGAGGTCACGGTTAAAATCCGAGCCCCGGCCAGCTCGTTTTGTTGGGTCTATGCATATGATAGCAACTAGTGAGTTTTATGTCGGCTAAACTATCGCTTACAGCTGTCGTTTAAACTATTTGTGACCGTTAATTTCTTGACTAGATGATGGACTTTCATGATTTGGCAGATCCAATTGGTAATAAAGGAGCTAGATTTCTTTTCCTTCATGACGAAGCATAAAATTATGCCACACTGCATGGCTGAAAATAAACGGAATATAGCAGATGTATTTGTGGAACCCCTAGTTTATTATTGAAACATCGGCAGAAGTGCAGGCCTGGCTACCTTTCTCGCGTAACGGGAGGGTTGCGAAATTTTTTTCGGTTTCAGTCCTTAACGGTTATCTCTTTTCGACAATGTTGTTTTTTAGATTTCAAGTCGATATCCTCGTTGAGATAGGAAAACAATGCTTGCCGTTCATTAGTGTGCTAAAAATAAATCACCTTGACTGCGATTATAATAGTTGCCCTCGAATCAAGTGGCAACCTCAAAAACTTTCCGGTCCGTGGGATTCCTGATTAAAACAGTGCATTATGTCGGCCTGTTCGTGTACATACGTATTCAAAGTCTACGTGCTTCTGCCAGAGTGAAAAAATACTGTGTACGTATAGGTGAAAAAATAAACAGCGAAAGCCCAAGGCTAATTCGTGAACCTGAAGTGATTTTAAAGGTGGGTTTCTCTTTTAAAATCGTCTGACTCCATCGGGAAACAAATTTATTGCAGATACATGATTAAACAATACTGAACGAGAACAAGTTGATCTTGATCGCCAGAATCGGACATTTGAACGGTTTTTACTAGTTTTCCGTCTTTCTTACCCTCTTCAGTTTCGTTTTTGTAGGTTTTTATTTTCCGTTTTTTTTTTAATTAATAACGAAGAGGGTCCTTTTTTTTTAATGAATTTTGCTATTCGTTTACACAGGAACTATTTTACCAGGCCAATATTTCAACATGCAAAATTTCTGATTGGAGCGAATATTTATCTTTTCAACCAGTTTTCATGGAAACTTCATCTTCAATCGTGCTCTCTGTTCCTTACCAGCCCCAATTCCCTCCTGCTCAGTTCAAGCATATAAAATATCGAACTACAATAATAAACCCATGGTAATTTATGATAGCGGTGGAAGCCATCCGCTTATTTGATACCATTTAAAAATAATTTCGAAGAAGATCTGAGCATTGTAAGCAGATCAAAGTCGAAAAGACATCTGTGTTACTGCTGTTAAGGTGTAAAAACAATTGCTGACTTGTGATAAAGGCAATTTGAACAAAAAAATTCCGCTGGCATCGATTTAAACTTTACTAAGACATGTTAGGGGGTAATCAAGCGATTTAACATGTCGTTGACATGTTATATTTTGACAAATAATACGAATATGATAAATACTCAGAATTTACCCATTGCACAACAAAGGAAATGCTTGTAAATTCTGTTTAAACTATGTCTTAAAGTGCACTTTAGCAGTAATCGAAAATTACCCTGGTGTTTCGCAAAGGTGTTAGCTTTTATCACGTTTTTTAAACGACAATTTACTGGCGCTCTGTTTAATCATTTCCAGCCTACTGCAGATGCAGAAAAGCTGAAAGTGTTATAATATTAATGTTTATTCAAACAGCGTTCCCGACATTAGTGTTTGTCTGTCGAATATTCAATTCCGTCAGCTGGTGAATGAACATCTGCCCGGGCCTGGGTTCAATCTAAAATAACCCCAAATGTAAATGGTTCACTCTTTGTGTCTGTTTATGCAGCAGGGATGATTGTCGTACATAGACAAATATACTGCCAGTCTTAAAAGAATGAAGTGGAATCTACGTTTATATACTTGTTCGTTTCACTTATTAGCTTAGAATAGTCGTGAAGGCTTCAAAATTTCGTGAAGCATCGTCATGGCATCAAAATTGCATTTTGCTGTTTTTCTCTCCTTGGTTATGACCGCGTCTGCCGGGTAAGTTGGACAAGAAATAATTTGTTTTTAGTTTGGATCAGAAACCAAAGAGTCAGGTTATAGTTCGTTATTGTCGGCACTGTCAACAGTTTTTTCTTAGCTTGTAGCGGGGACCAAAAATTATCTGTAAAGAACTCTATGAAAGATGTCATATTTTATATTGGTGGATGAAAAAATTACGAATGGAGAAGTGTTCTATTTGTGCGCACTATATCGAAAAGTTGTTCAGTATTCTGAACGGTGTTTTATCAGGATTGGCTGGACTAAATTTCTCTTTGGAAACGATAACTTCAAATGTGAACACACTGTGTGCAAAGGAAGAATATTTTAAGTATACTTTAAATTTCCTACTGCAAAATATTCATGATCAGTTTATAAATTTCATATGAAAGGCAAAACGGGGTAGAGACGAAGTTAACAGATAAATGTTTTCCCCACAGTATAGGGTGATAAAATTCAAATTTCTTCCGTGGCATCATTTATGTGATACTGATACGCTATCAAAGAAATGAGCCGTGTTTGAAATATATTGTCAGAAACAACTTCATTGTGTTCGAATGGCGCTTCGTCTAATAGCGTGACACTCATCTTCCCACAGAGAGCCACGTGCCTTCAATGAACATCTTTATAATTGTTACTTATATATTCGCATCCAACAAATTAAAACTTTTTTTAAATGGGAAACTTCATGATTAAAAGCAGACGGTTCTCTTTCTGCAAGAAATCGAGATCCACACTCAGGCCTGCGAACAAGTAGTCAAGATGTCTCTGACTTAACTTTCTAAAAACTGAGGGAATCTATGAATCGAAAAATAACAAAAAAAACTTCTCAATTGTCTAAAAGCTCCTGTCATGACTTGTTTAACGAGTTTAATTTTTTTCTCTCATTTAAGTCGTAAAGAATTAATTGATTTTCTTTCCATTCACAACAGAGGTAGTATAGACGTGGAATTTGGAGAGTAGTTTTCTAGGATTTTGATCCCGAGAATCAAACAAGAACTTTTTTTTTAATTCATAATTCGAAATTTCTGAATTTTTAGAAAGTTACTTCCTTATCATCATTGACACGGCAGGATACTTAGGCGCGTATTTAACCAAATGGAAAACAAAGCATGAATTGTAAATTAAACCTACAGGAAGAACAACCTTTATTTACAGCTATTCATTGTTAGAAATGAAGGTATATAGGAAAGTGGCGCCTTAAATTCACCATCATTTCGTTTCACGTTTTCAATTTCACCTGGTCATTCTCGATCCACAAAAGATTATTCTCTACTTAAATATTATGCTCACATAAAACACACAGCATGTTCATAAGCTATATATGAACAGCTGGTTTAAACAAAGCCTTCGTTCGTGGATTTTGCATGTTTGATTGTTGATCGGTTTTCAATGCATCCTCACGTAATTGGTTCGAAATTTAATCCAAGATTCACGGGGAAGCCGTACTGGTGTTTGCGTCTCTCAAAAGATACCACGTAAATTTTTTTTTCATTATTTCATGCAGATAAGCTTCTTCTAGAATTCTCTGGTTTCGAGAAAAGGGAGAGATTTCAGAAGAAATCCATTGAATTTCCTATAAAGATATATCTCGTGTATCAGGGTTTAAGATTATCGAAACTTAACTTCTTCTCAATTTCGTATTACTGTTTCCAATGAAAATGTAATCTTCAGCTCGATAGTTAACAAAACGAAATGATAAAAACGCTGGGAATTCCAGGTGTATTCATTCAAAAGCGTGAGCGTTAGAAAGGGTGATCGTTTTTGAGTGTGATCGCTTAATAGTGTGATCGTTTTAAAACGTGATCGTTAAATGCGTGAGCATCAAGTTGAAAGGACATTAAAAGTGGAATTCTATTAAGAGTCAAATTACCATTTTAAAGTGGTAGTAGGTGGCAAAATATGAATATGAGCGAATGAAAGTTTTCCGCAGTTATTAAGAAGTCGCCTAATTTCTTGCTTTTAACCTAACGTTTGACAATCTCACGCCCTTTCTTGGTATAATCGCTATGTTTTTTATGTTTTTGCCACCTCCCTTCTTGGTTGAATGAAATAAGACAAGAAACACCCCTCATCTATGAATTTCCTTCCTCAATTAAGCGCAAAACTGTTAATATATTCATAGAAATGCCAGGAGTTGGCGCCTCACGGACAGATTTGTCTTGCAATATCTTTTGATAATTTCTTAGGCTTGACTTGAATGAGCCATATGACTACGCAAATAATGTTTCACGACAGAAACCCTTTTGCAAAAACTAAGTTTCAGGCATTGAGTAAAGAAAACGTTTCTTAGATCTACGGTGACCGAGCACTTCATGAAAAAAAGAAAAAATTGTTATTCATTCGAAACTGACCAATCACAGGAGACGAACGCTGCCTGGTTCTGACTGATCAGTTTCAAGGGATCAAGCGCATGACCCTTGACTGACAGAAAAAGAAAACCTTACTGATGATGATATATTCTTCACAAGCTTTCGTGGTCCTTGATCTCCTTTGGGAAAAAGAGTTTCTCCATTTATAATATTATTTGTTATAATTTGTTGGCTTTTCGAAGTTTCGTGGAGAGACGGTGGCTTAATGGTTAACGCGCTGGAGTCCGGGTCGATAAGGCTCGAGTCCACGACGCAGGCGGGTCATTGAGTTGTGGCCTTGGGCAATTAAGACACTTAACGCACACAATACCTCTCTCCACCCGGGAGTATAAATGGGTACTTGCGAACTCTGTGGGAAAGCTTACGAAAACCTTTTACCTTTCAAAACGTGAATCACTCTTATCATCACCAATGGTCTATAGGAGTACCTTCTTTGTTCATTGACACCATAGGATCTATCATTTCACTTAACACTTTTTCTAAACACTCATAAAATATTGCTCGAAGAGCAACTTTTGATATCAAATGTTTATCGACAGAAATGTTTTCACTCAGAAGTCCAATCAATTATTGAAGAAGTTATGGAAAGCATTGAATATTATTTTTCAAAAACCGATGTGTATACTTGATCTCCTTTGTGAAAAATATTTTCTCCGTATATAATATTATTTGTTCTAATTTGTTGGCTTTCAGCGACAAAGTCATTCGCATCATCCCAGGAGACTCAAATGAGCTTGATTTTCTGTCATCTTTGGAAGGCAAACAGGAACTGGAGGTGAGGTAGAAATAGAAATAACTGAACGGAAATTATAGTCAGTTATAGAGAATGTCGTCTTACATTGTGCATGATGTAGAAAATGGGTCAAGAATCGAGTCAAATGGACAAAGAAGCCGAATGTAATGCGAATGCAAATGACGACTTAAAAGAGGGAATTAATAAGAAGGCCGAAGAGAGTAGTAATTAGTAACTTGTGTGGGAGAAAAAAAATTCCTTGGCCTTATCCTACTGTCATGGCCTCATGATCTTTTAGCTCTGATCTTACTCACCAATTTTAGATTAAAAAAAAAAAACAGTGTCGAGGGCTGCATAAAAAACCCAGCTCAAAAAAAAATATTTCTCACTATTCATTTCTCTTTGTGCTTTAAAATTTTTACCATAGGCGAGTAAGCTTTGATAGCAAAAATTAATTTCTATTGCTGATCGTGATTTAGTTTTCTGGCTCCTAAATGGCCTTTCTTGGAAACACAAAAGCCTTCTAAGAAGCATTTCTGGGTCCACTGTTCTTCTGAGTCTCTCGTTCCAACCATAGCAGTTTTGTTGATTAACCTCTGTTTTTTAAATTTTTTGTCAGCTCGATTTCTGGAAGGCTCCTCATAAGCCTGGTCTGGCTGTGGACATTCACGTGACAGATGCCGCGTACAAGATTGTTGCCAAGTTACTTAAGGAAAAGAACATTGAGTTTCAAATTATGATCGTTGACGTCGACAAATTGGTGGACGACGAAAACGAATTGCAAACGCGGAGCATGTCATTCAGCTTTGACAGCCAATATCATCCTTTGCAAGAGGTATCACGAGTATTTTTTGACCGAAAAAAAGCCGATGAAAGTTCCAAGAAGCTTTTTAATTTATACTTAAAACAACGATGCAGTTAGTGATCTTTTTTCTATTTTTTACGGTTAGATTGTGGATGAGCTGAGAAACTTTGCAAACCAACATGCAGGAATTGCCTCCATTTTCAATTTGGGAAGATCCTATGAAGGGCGTGACCAGCAGGCAATTAAGGTGAAAAATGGTTGAATAGCTCCAATAGGAGAATGAATAATAAACGTCCTTAAATATAAACGACACAACTATTTTTTAAAGAACAAGACAAACCTGTCCTGAGTCGGTTGATTCTAAAATGTTTACATAAAGATCAAGTATGATCTCGCTCAGGAAAATGGCGTACTTAAGTTTTTCTCAGACAAAAAAGATTTTTCAAAATTTTGCCATTGGTTCAGTTTTACCAGGTATTTGTATCTGTGGTAGCGACGCTAACCATGTTTTATTTTTTTCCACAAATATGTTACATTTTATGGTGATCTTATAATGTATCTTCTAACACTCAGGCTATGATCTTCTTTAGCTAAACATGTCGATGTTGGGCTGACAAACAAAACATGACTGTCACACAAATACCATATGCAAAAATTTTATGGACAAAATTTGATTCCAGTGACGAAGGAAGCGATATAACCTTAAACTCACGCAAAATTGCTTCGCATGAATTCACATTCAATGGGTATTTTTTAAGATACCTGAGGTCTTGACTTTTGTTTATGCTATTCTTTCACAATTATTCCACGAGTTCCTTTTGGATATGAAATGATAGATAGCCAACGAGGCTCATAGCCGGGTTGGCTATAATCATCACTTATTTAACAAGCGCGAGTGAAATAATCGTTTTGAAATTATCAAAAAACTCCCCAAAATAAAGTCTTCCCAATTTTGTTTTCTAAGAACAAACAGAATGTTACAATGTACAAAAATACTTTTGGTTTAACTCGTCTTCATGCGCGCGCATGGGGTAATAGTTCATAATCCATGATGGCTATGCCAATGAAAACTCTTGATTGCATTATCCAATGATCCAGTTTTTAACAATCATAATTATTGCAGTTGAAGGGAAGATATAGACCAGGCAAGAAGGTCTTTTTCATGAACTGTGGGATTCATGCCCGTGAATGGGTATCTCCAGCGACCTGTATGTACATCATCAGACAGGTACGGGCTCCTTTAGTAATTAGGACCCTTAAACAGTCTAGACAAAGCTGAGGAAGAAGTCGAATAAAAAAAACGAATTTATATTTTTAGTTAGAATTTCGCGAATGGCTAGATGTGTTTACCGTCTCTTATATTAAACCATTTGTTACTATCAAAACTGCTTGTTAATGTCTGTGAACAGTTGGTGGCGAGTTTTTTAAGGCCGGTTGGGTGTTTAATAAACAAGCCAAATGTTCTTCAAAAAGTGTTACCCGAGATAGGTACTCGATAGATCTCGTTCAAAGGTCGCTCACTTGGTTTTTGTACTTATATTCTCATCAGATAGTTTCCAAATACGGTAGAGACAGCAGTGTGACCGAAATGTTGGACAAGATGGATTTCGTTATTATGCCTGTTCTAAATGTCGATGGCTACGTTTTCACTTGGAATCCAGTTTGTATCCATCTTTTTATCTCTATTTACAACTGAAGCTTCGTTATCTTAAATTAATTTCCTTACTTCATTTAAAATTCACCATCTTTCTCATTCTATAAATCTTTTGTTACCTGAGAGAAACTAGCATATTATGTCGCCTTACATCATCACCTCTGAATCAAACGTTAAGGTCAAGAAAATAAAAAATATGACCAACCACTTAGGAAGCTCTTAATTGCTGAACAATTTCTCGTTTTTGACAGAAAAGTAGAGATGGTAAGTTTTGAGCTCGGTGAAGAATTAAGAAAGATGTTTTTTCTTCTTGTCACGAGCGTGGGACTTTGCTCTTTGCTTTTGCTTTGATCCTTGCAGTATGCAGGACGCGTGTCATTAGAACTTCGTAATAGACCCCGCTCACCGAAGAGTCTTTGTGGCTCAGTGGTAGAGCATCGGAGCGCAAATCCGAAGGTCTGGGGTTCGATTCCTCATGGGGACTCAGAATTTTTTCTTTGTCCCACGCTCGTGACAAGAAGAAAAAACATCTTTCAATTTCTCGTTGTCAGCATCTCAGGAAATGTATGGAGAACTGATATGTATACTGATGTTACGATCATTCAGCGAATACCAGGAATCGATGTTATTACTTCTCATAACTTTTGTATCCAAATCGAACTTATAGAGCAGCCGTAGGAACAGATTCTGGAGAAAGACACGTAAACCCAATAGAGGAAGCAGATGCATCGGAACAGACCCGAACAGGAACTGGGATTACATGTGGGGATGTAAGTTCAGCTCACACAACCTTCAGTGTATAACAAGAGGGAGTTTGAGAAACGACGACGGCGACGTCGTGGACAACGTCAGTGAAAAAATGAACTTGCATTTTTAAAAAGAATCTCGCGATACTCTGAAGTCATTGTTTTGTTTCTCGCTGTCCAAGCTCTCTAGAAACTGAATTCTGAAGACAGCGTTAAGTTAGACATAGAAATTTTAAAAAATCAGCCGTCATCGTTTACATTCTCCAGACAACGCAAAGTTTAGTCATTTTACGTTGTTGTTTTGTAGAGGAGGAAAAGAAATTTGTAAAGATTTATAATGCAAATGCACAGCTATTGTTCTTCTCATTGAACCTTTTGTTTAGTGACGTTCCGTTGCCGTTGCCGTTGCCGTTGTGGTTTTTTTAAACTCCCTAATGTCTTGCGGGAATACTCCTACATGGATTCATGTATACGTTAAACACCAGTCATTATTTAACAACTGGTGGGGAGGCGGAGGATTTTGGGGATCACAAGGTTTTCAGCGGAATAGAGGGGGATCAGTCGTCGCGCAACATATTGTAAAGGGAAGAGGATGCTACCCAAAAATTGACTGCTAATTACCTGCCCATAAGGGGGGAGCAAAAGAATATTGCGGATCCCCCCTACCCTACCCAACAAAGATGATAAAACATGACCAGTCCCTTAAATTTCTTGTTGGGCAATGATTCAATTCTTAAGCAATTAAATCTTTTTCAAAATATTTTCGAATCTGGATATCCCCAAGTGATCTAGGAATAACTTATCATACGTCACGAATGTTTTGCCTTGGTGACCACACCCTGATGTGTTCCATAATGGCAGATGGAGATTGGATACCTTCAGCACCTTCCATTTGAATGGAGGAGCTGAATAGCATTTCCTGTGAAAAGGGGCGGTTGGATCCGGTCCTAAGTTTAGAGGCAATGATAAAGACGTGTTTGTTTTTACCCAACGTTGACCTAATCTTGTAAGAGCGAAGATCCTACAAATTGCAGATATATTTCACTTATTTTAGCCTATGGTATAGTAAGAGTAGGACGAATTGCATGGTAGAGTAATTTCCTGATAGAGAAACGGAGAAAACTCCAGAAGGCGAGCCTTTTGGCAGAAAATATTTAAAGAAAGCGACTCTCTGATACAATTTCTTCCCTACTCATCCCCCCACGCCCCACCCTCTACCCCCACCCTCTACCCCCACCGAAGGCTGGGTTTCGTTACTAATGGAAAGCACTCCTTATACTTATAACTTCATCGATGGTTTATGTAGATCCTGGAGCGAGTTCAGACCCATGTCAAGATTCCTACAGAGGAACACATGCATTTTCCGAAAGAGAAGTGAAGAATGTAGCGAATTACTTAGAGACACTTAGCAGAAATGACCAAATAGCGGGCTATATGGACATTCATGCCTACAGTCAATTATGGATGACCCCCTGGGGATATACTAGACAGCCAACCAGAGACAACGAGGAATTGGTAATGAAACAGAAATTTGTTTTAACTAGATGTACTTCTCTTTATTATCGTCCCTTCAAAAACATTATCGACACAGTATTTAAAATTATGATTCCGAAATCTTGGACTCCTCTAAAGTTCGTTAAATGTTTTGTCTTGACGTTTTTAGATGAGAGTTAGCAAAGCTGCAGTTACAGCCATACGAAGGGCTGGTTATGGAACCTATTACAGATACGGGCCATCTTCCGTCATCATATGTAAGTTCATTACATAATTCGAAATCCATTTTTCATTAAACTATCACAGTTACAAATTTATTCATACCTCCTCCGCGTTACTAAGAGAAGAAATACATGAACCTCCCCTCCCCTCCCAAAAAAGAAAAACATAATAGAGGTTCTTACTTTGTGATATCATTTGAGTAAGACATGAATTAGTAGAAACTGGAAAAAGTGTTCTTCTTATCAAATGGCATGCGAAAGCATCCGCCCCCAGCTGCAGCCCATGAAAGCGCTTGACCCTTGTAGAAAAGATATATGAGTGTGCGAAGCAAAGAAGCTTTACCAGAAAATATCACAGGAGCTTATACTATGAGAACGCAAAGTAAGAACATATACACTGCCTGAAGCGCGGGGAAGCGCGAATGACCACGTCTCATCTGGTTTTAAGTTTGCGCCTGATTAGTTGACGAGATGGCGCGAGTTTTCTAGACGAATCACGGAACGAACTAAAGCAAAGCAAATGCAGTCCTGGATCGCTTACAATACAGAATAGAAAACTACTTCACAACGCTTTCTTGGAACCGTTGAAATAAAAGCAACTGGTTAATACTTTCATATGATAATTTTTTTAATACTATGTACATTGTGGTTTTAAGTTTTACCTACGTATGTAAGATCCGCTTTTTCTATCATTCAAATGAGTTTTATGTAGAGCTCTACTTAACGTGGTACAGCATAGATTAGCAAGTAAGTCTGGTTCTCAAACTTTAATAGCAATTAGCCACACACGGGTACTTCTCAAATGTCTCGAATTGTTTTTGTACTTTGCGTGTGACATTTAGATGAAAGCTGCAAGAAAGAAATGTTCCGGAAATGAATTACATGCACCATGCAGCTCTAACAATAAATTCTGTAATTGTGTTGGTAGACCAAAATTCTGGAGGCAGCAAGGACTATACGTATGGAAAACTAAAGATCAAATACTCATTTGCCTTAGAATTGAGGGATACGGGACGGTATGGTTTTTTATTACCAGCACGTCAGATTGTTCCCACAGCAATGGAGACGTTTGAAGGAATTAAAGCGATGGCTAGGGAAATGAGAGTGTAGTCCGCTGGACTATATGCTTGTAAAGCAATAAAAAGGATTAAAAGCAATTGAATGATTTAATAAAAACGGGGCAATGGGAAAAAGATGTTCCTTCTATGTTAAGGTAATATTGTTGTATTGAATTAAGTATCCCTGTCAGGCACATTTTTCACAATTGATGAACAAATTTGAGCCTGGGTATTGCCCCTATTCAAAATCTGTCAACACTTAAGCAACTCTGAATTATAAAACCAATCTACTCGGCCTGACCTACTTCCTTGTGCTGAACTCTCTGTTCATAATTAACCACACATGTGGGACTTCTTTAGTTACAAAAAAGGGAATTTTCTCCCGCTAACTACCAGCCATAATACTTCGGTAGTATTTTCTACGTAATTCAGCGCAGCTGTTTGTGAGTTTTCGTCGCTAATAAAATAGAACACAAAGGACATTCGATTCCTTTTGATAAGAAACGGAAAAGCTAAGTTGTCATCAGAAGATTTCGGTACGTGATAACTTCAAGAACCAATTGCCAATTATAAACAAAGAAAAGATTCTCCTAATTAGCATATCTCGCTGCAGCTGCGCCATACTCTCCTCGTTAAAATCTTACAATATACTTTTTCGAGTATCCTGTCAACCCTTGAGTTATCTGAAAGAAACGGGAATGGTCTAAAAGTCTCGTCTGTAACCAAAACTCTTCACATCAGAATTCCGCATTTAGTCTCTTGGACTACAAGGAAAAGGTAAGAGCAAGTTCTTATGACAACCGCAACCTCGCATCTGAAAACCTCGCTTCTGAAAAGCTTGCGTCCGGAAAACCGTTCTTGAAAATTTTTTCCGAGGTAAACAAAGATCTATGTGTGATTTTCGTAGCAGAATGTTCTGTTAAGTGAGCGGGAGAAGAAATTGTAATGAAAGTTATTTAAATCTCAAAATCAAAAGAACACTTGCAAAATATTAAATCAAACGGGTATATACGAAAAATCGCTTGAACTTTAGAAAGCTTTGATTTTTGCTCAGCTGGAATATTTTATAGTACTCCGACAAAATAGAGAAAAACGTTAAAAGATGTATACTAAACGTCGATGGTTATAATACTGGAAAAAATTTGACAACGATAATAACTTTCAAGAATAGACGCCACTTAATTGCAAAAAGTTAATTTAGAAAAAAATATTGTCAAATGATTTTTCATTTCACATATATGTATTTTTTGACATCTTGATACTTTAAGGTTATCAAATGTAACGCAGTATTTTAATCGACGTAGGTTTTTTTTAAACTTTCTTCCTATACTTATGGAAAATGATTTTGAAGTGATGTATCGAATTTCATTTTGGGATCAACTGTTTTTATCGTTTGGTACTTAGGCTTGCTTCCGGCAAACAAGTAAAGAGGTCTAGCTGGAAATGAAATATTATCACAAATAAGAGGAAACATGAATCTTTCTTTTGCGCGTCACGAATTTCTTTTCATTCGGTAAAATGCTTTTTTGACGGCAAATGTATACGTCTCAGAATCAGATATTTGAGAGTCCTTTCAATCGAGAAAGTCGGATTGTAAATTTGAATCTCCACATCTTTTATCGCCAAAAGATATTCATTATTCCACTCAGAATATATAATTTCCCCGAGGCAAACTTTTGCTTTGACATTGAGAAGTGAATCATACCGAATTGTAAAGTTTTTGGCCCGAAGTACTATCGCATGCATATTTTGAAGACCTTTTCTTCTATTGTGTTAACACCAAAGTTGCTCTACATGCTCAGTAAATTCCATTTTATCTCAGCCTTTGGAGCAAACATTGGCGGGAAAAGTTTCCACATAAAAAGTTTCGACATTTAAGATCTAAGGAGTATGTAGGAGGCTTTTCGCATCTAAACAATGAAAAAAGAACTTCTCAAACGATTTATTTTTCGAAACTGTCTAGACTTCGAACCCAAACCGGCCTCCCATCGTGAAAATATTGTAACATCTGGTTATGATTTTCGGATGATTTCAGCCAGTTTCCATTTCACAAAGGATCTCGAAAATTCGAATTCTTCGAAGCTTTGTTAGTATTTCAACGAGTCAAGATCGTAATCAAGAAGAAACAGAGGTAGGAATTCAGACTAATTATTATCAAAGCCGACCGATTATTGACTGAAAGAAAACAGAGGGCCAAAAAAGATTCAATATTTGAGATTGAACAGCGTAAATAGCATTGCCATTAGCAGTTTTTAGTCTCTGAATCAATATTGTACGTTTAATAAGTCAATTTGTGTAAAATGTTGGGTTAAATGTTGATCTATTTGGATAAGATCACAACGCTGAAGACTATTAAAAAGGTTATGTTTAGAGGTTTAGCGAAGGAAACATATTCTTGAAGACGTAGATGAAAACAAAAGCTGTACAGGCTACAACTAGTGATCATTTAATATATGGTCTTCTACCAACAGAGGGTTGTTTCGAGTTGTCAAGCAACAGGTAATGAGTTTTCTTATCATTTAATATTGATTAACGAAATATCAAAATATCCGTTCGGGATTGTTCCATAGAGTAGGAAGCAAGCTCTCAGATCAGGAACATTTGCGAATCAAAACTCTTTGAGGGAAATGGTGAAGATTTTGTCAAGAAAGCAGTATACCTACCTTAAAGAAAACATGCAAAGTCTGTGCTAGGAGATTTTGAAAACCAAAGTTAGTCTAAACGACGCTCCATACGATAACTTGTCCGCCGACAAAAGTGTTCGTTAGGCGTGACCAAGATAGAATTTCTCCTTACAATGTCGATACAATATCAAGCAGAAAAGTGATAAGAATAAGGAAACACATCTATTAGAGGATTATTAGTTGATCCAATATCAAAGTCTCGGGAATTGTGAAGAAAACATTAAGGAAATTACCCATGAGATCTTGGGAGTGAAGGAGTTACGAAACACCTTCCCTTAGCTTACTTCCTTGCGTTAAGTCGATAAATATTCAAAACTCAATATTAGGTCAACAGAAATGATTAATGATAAAAAGTTTATTTCAGAAGCTTTTTCATCTTCTAAGAAGAGTTTATTCAAAAGTTCCGAACAAAATTAACCTCTGAAGCGTCATGTCAAGCTTCATCATCTGAACAACTCTTAGCTTCTTTGTCAGTTAACTACTGAACATACCGCCTGGCTTTCAATCGCTCACGTAGACAATAAACTTGACTGACTTCAAAAGATGCAATTGGAAAAGATAATAGAGCAGTTTTCAATTGGGTGTCAAAAAACCGAAACCAAAGTAATCCCAACAACCAATCATAACGATGGTTTACATTATCATTAACCAATGAGAACTCGACGTGAAAAACGAAGAAAAACGCGAGCAACCAAGTCGCGACTGTTTACAGTTTTCGCATCTGATCAGTTGAGGAGATCGTGCGAGTTTTCTGAACAAATTGAAGAGCAAAGTTAAGTAAAACCTAAGCAACCACGGATCACTTTTGACATCCGATTGAAAATTTATCTAAGGCTCAATTTCAAAGATCAGCTTTGATTTTAAAAAACAGGGTTTCGCTATTGTTTTAACATTACCCGAACCTCCCTCTTCATCACGTCGTGTCAGTCTTAGCAGTCGAGAAGGTACCTAAAAGGTATTCAGCCACGTATAGCTTAGCTGATCTCAATGAGTATAGCCCTAAACATCGAATTCGATACATAACACCTCGTCAATCGGGCAATGAGTTTGCAATGGATGCCGTTTTAAATTTCAATAAAGTAGTACATGTCTGAACTAGAAATAATGGCAATAATTTTAATTGTAGATACCCTATACATTTTACGATAGTCATCAACTCAGGCCTTATTTTTCTTTGTAATATAAGTCTGGCGCTAATGAGAAATTTTTTCATTACAATGTGTATGTCATTTATTTGCGCATTTTTAGATTAGCCACACATGAAACAGACCGACAGTATGAGTACAGACATAGCGCAATTAAATAGACTCTGCTTTTTGACATTTTGACTTACGTGAGTTACGCATTGACGTTCGTAGACTGTATGTATTTGCTTTTGATAGAATACTTTGTCCATCCTTTGATGACTTATTAAAACTCAGGAAAGCAAGATTAATTTCTTCTTTTCGACTCTCAAAAACCATAGTCGAACCATTTTGGTAAGAGGAAATACTTCAGAAATATTAGATTGTATCTAGATCGCAATCAAAAGCAGAGGTTTGGGAATTTCTAAATCATACAAGTCTGATCGTGTTTATTAATATTTCCAGCTAAAAGGTCTTGTTTAGCGAAAGATTGTCATATATCGTATTTTCCCTCATTTAACTTTCGCGTAACGTTCTGAAATAAGCTGAAAAAGATTGTCTGCCTGCAAGTGTGTTCGGTTGGATTTGATAGATGTAATGTTCAGATAATTGATTGAATGCAGAAGATTGGAGATAAGATTCGACTGTCGATCGATCATTACAAATATCTCCTCATCAGCCACTTTGAACTCTTTGAATCAGATCGGTTAGTATCTCTATTCTATGCAGTGTCTTTAATTTTTTGCATTTATGTAGTCTATGATTACTTCAATTTTATCTCGACCACTTTCTGGCATTGATTTTGCAGCCAGGGTTCATTTCCGTTTATTTTTTTTTTTTTTTTTTTTTTAACTACATGGGTATAATTATGAACTCTTTTATGGTTGTTATCTTCACTTTTACATTTGTTAAGCTTTCTAGATTATAACATTTTTCTCATGATGGGGCTAACAGTAATTTTGCTCTCCTGGGCGATGAATTTGATTTAGTGAGCATGCGAATCATCCATTTTAAGAAGAGACCAATTATGCAAAGTAGTTATTATTAATTTCAATTATTAATTGAAAGATGTCAAACACGTTTAGACAGTGTCGAAGAAAGAAAATGTTTAGGATTTTATGAGGCGTTAGGTGGATGAAATTACAAACTGTGAGATGATGAGCGAATCAAGATGGCGTGCAATTAATTGAAAATATATAATAATGAATTGTTTGTGGACTGAAAAATAACTTGTTTTTGGTGATAAACCTGTTTTTATTGAGTCTTAGAGATGATCCCGCTGTGGCTATTGCCAGTTTTCATATTGATTCTTCATCCGCAATGCTCGCTGTTCAGAGCAGAGGGAGGATGTCCAAGGAATGACAATGGACAGCAGCAAAACTGGCGGTATGCGGTCTACGAACGCAAGGAAAAAGGTTTGCCACAACATAAGGAAATATGGAAGCTAATGAACATAGAGAACATGAGCTGGGAAAATCATCGCCCTATACTACCCTCTTTCAAATACAACTTTTCAGATCTAATTTTACCAACTATTCGTATTGTCCAGCTGCCGTGGTCATGACTTCTCGTTTATCATGATGAATTTATTTTGACATGATGAATTTATTTTGACATGATGATACCCATTATGGGTGATGGGTTTTGTACACCGCTGAAAATTTACTATACGTGACACGTCTGTCGCTGAATTTTCAAAAGTCAATTTTGGAAAAGAGCACTCTTTCACATAAGAGGACATTATATTTATTGAATTACAGGGAGTTGATCTTAGCACATGTTCCATTGGATAAAGTAAATCCCCGTTATAGGTGCTGTGCCAAAGGCTACCTTCTAAAGTTACACGTGGACTCGAAAATCCGAGGATCGATGATGTCAGATGTCCTCGTGTGTTGAATAAACGTTTTCATGAGTAGTGAATTGGCCCAAAAATAATTTCCTATAATTTAGGTATTGTTTGGAAAGAGGTAGTGTCTATATGCTTTTGGTCCCTTTGGTCTCACTAAAAATCGAAAAGTAGATCCCTTTTTCACCCCATGCATAAATGGCCGACTCGATCAGTATTCATTTGTGATAATGTAGATAAGCCCAACTAAACTCTTCAGTGTGTCTAAGGAAAAATAAAACCTTAACTCAAAGATGAGGCTATTTGCATGGGTTAATTTACACGAGTACAAAAGAATACTAATTGGACCTGTCAGTTATGTATAATGTCTATGCCAATGATGATCTTAACGATGGCTTGTACAACATCAAGGAACTGTGCTGCCAAATTTTTTCACGCATGCTCTGGATACAGTTTGAGCCATCTATGATTGGTTCACTGTCCTGGGTCACTTTCTGTCAACAGGCAGGGCATTGAAGAATCAGGTGTTCTCCTCAAGAATTGTTCGATCAGAAATAGAGTGTTCTTTGACATGCTTGCGCTATGAGAGGTGTGAATCGTTTAACTATCGAAACAATATTGTTGAAGGACCACACATTTGCGAATTGAATGACCAGACGAGATTGAAGAGGTCGCATGATGTACAACCAAGAAATGGTTTCTCATATTACGACTCTGAATTGGTAAGTTTTCCTGTCCGTTTTAAATTAATAAAATGCGACTCCAAAAATTTCGTTAAAAGAGTACGCAAGTTTGGAAGGACCAACAGAACCAACATCTCTATGGCTATTTTCACATAAAATGTAATATTTCGAACTCTCTTATATCCTTTCCTACCATAGCCAAAAATACGTATTTCCCAAAGCAACTCCATCTCTTAATATGAAAAATTCTAAAATATCAGTTTTTATTTTCATAGAAACCCTGCTTAAACGTGAAATGCCAAAATGGTGGAACATGCCATCCAGTGTTGAACAGCATAATAGCTCCTTATTGTTGCCAGTGTCACGAACGTTACGCTGGTGATCTTTGCCAACATCTAAAGGGTAAGAATTACAAACAACTTTTAATATTGTGTATCGCAGTACAGAATTGTTGTTTGAGACGGCATCCCCCATACGCAAATTACACCAAATCTTAACTCCCACGTGCTATTTTTAGAATCAGGGTAACAGGTCTAGTCTTTACTTAGCATTTCTCGAATTTCTTGGATGGAAACCGATGAGGTGCAATTTGGCTTTAAAGGTCAAAATGCACCTCATTGGTTTCGACACAGGATCGGCTATCCGTAGATCTTTGACGAACCTTAGAAAACGGGAATGTTCTCAAAATTACTCACGTGATGTCGTCACGAAAATTATACAAAGAAAAACGTAGTTCCTTGAGAAGAAACTAGGCCAGATTTCCATTCTTTGTTGGTCTGGGTTGCATTAAGATAGGGGTCGCTAAATACAAAAAGGCTCAAGGATATTCCGTTTAAGATTGCGTAAGTTTTAAGGTTTTCTGTTTCCTTTTCTCCTCTAGTAAAATCCCGAATTGAAATATTTTGTTGTTATGTTTTAACTGCCCTTACGTCTCCCGCGCAGGTTTCCGTTTCACCAATAGCAGTTCAGGAGATCATGTATTAGTTTCAGTCGGCGTGAGCATTCAGATGACGTCATTGACAGTTTGTCTCCGATTTAAAGCCGCTCCAAGGCAATATGAAGTTAGCACTCCTATGTCATACGTAACCAATGATTTCACCAGCGCTTTACAGCTTTACACAAATGGGACGATAAGAATTTACATCAACGATCAATTCAGGCAAGCTATTTGCGCTTAATAAAAGTTTGAAAAACTGTTACTGAGACAGAAAAGGCAAAAAAAAGGTATGCGTTTGGGCACATGTCGTTATGAAAAATATACAAAGAAAAACGTAGTTTGTGCTCCTTGTTTGCATATCGGTTGGATAGGAAGAATATCACCTCCAAATGTAAATTTTGAAGGAGGGTCTATCTTACATAGTTCCATTTTATCAGGCATAGTAAAATCATCCCAGTCAGTCACAAAACTGTTATCCATCTTTGTATCTTAGTGATTTTCCGTATGTCTCTGTTTTGGATAACACCTGGCATCACGTGTGTTTCACGTGGGAAACGGCTGGAGGAAACGTCTCACTCTATATGGACGGCTTTCTGATTGGAAAAAAGCAAAGTGTGAACCCGGGAATGGTTTTCAACAGTTCAGGATCTATAGTGATTGGGCAGTTGCAGAGACTGGTTGGCGACGAATTTCACAAGAATGAATCTTTCTTCGGAGATATTACGGATGTGAATATGTGGAAAGCTGAATTGTCAATCAGCTCTATAACGAGGCTTTCACAGAGCTGCTATAGTCACATGGGTAGCTTGATAAGCTGGTACGCATTTCGAACTGGGACGGAGCAGTTCGTTAACGAGACAAACAGTACCTCTTCAGAATGTCTGGGGCTTGGTGAGTACACGTGTCAAGTAATCTACTGTCATTTTCCGATTAGCAATAAGAGAGAAAAATTATAGGAAAGAAATCAAGTTAGTTACCAACTCAGTCAGCCACTAATGCATCAGTCTACCAGTCAATCAGGTAATCATTTAATTTGTCTTTTAACTCAATAACTCAATGGTTCTTTCAGTCAGTCAGTCAGTCAGTCAGTCAGCCAGTTAGCCAGTCAGTCAGCCAGTTAGCCAGTCAGTCAGCCAGTTAGCCAGTCAGTCAGTCAGTATGTGAGTGAGCAATTTGGTAAGTCAACTAGTTAGTTAGTGAGTGAGTGAAAGAGTGAGTCGGTCGGTCGGTCGGTCGGTCGGTCGGTCGGTCGGTCAGTCAAATAGTCCGTTAATCATCCACTTGGCCAATCATTCATTTCATATTTGTTGTTTTGTTTTGTTGTTTCCTTTCAGATCCCCATTTCGGCTACGATTTGGAATTTTCAAGAAGAACCAACGAAGACTATGTTTACGGCCCGACGCTCTCAGCTTTGTCAGCTTTTACTGTGAGTTTGTTTGTGAGCTTCACAGACAACAGCGACAAAACATACTTCAACTACTACGCTAGTGGAGCTTACAATGAAATATTTATTCATGAAAGGAATGAGGAGTTTACAGTTCGAATAAAAGACGTAAAAAGGTAATGTAACCCAAAATGGCCTGAGGATGTGTGAGTTCATATTAATGATTTATTAATACTCTTTTGATTTCAGGCAACATAATTTTGTCATTCCACCGGATGGTACCTGGCACCACCTCGCCATTACATGGGAAAATACGAATGGTTCTTATGAAATATTTCTGGATGGTGTGGCTGTTGGAAGTGGTAACGAATTGGAAAAGGGGAAAACGATTCATCCTAATGGAAGTGTTGTCATTGGAAACGATAAAGACTTAAATGGTTTTCAGGCCAGAGATGCTTATGTGGGAAACATTTCACGAGTGAATCTGTGGGATTATGTGCTGCCTCGAGAAACTATTTTATTGCTCTCCCAACGCTGTGGAATGGAAAGTGGTAATGAAGTATCCTGGAGTGATTTCAAGGAGGGACCTTATCATGGTGTGGTCAACATCAAGGAACCTTCATCCTGTCAAAAGCTTCAATAAGAAAAGAGAGACTTATAAAAATTGAAATGAGGACATAAAATTATTCTATGGGCCATTGGTCAATCTGATGTTTGATGTTTTTTGTAAAAAGTCCGGGCTTTTCATACAGGATCCGCAACGGAGAAACTAAGCTTAGAATAGCTGCTTTTATTCTATCGAAGAGCTACAAAGTCCAGATTTGGGATAGGAGGAGGGAGATAAGATAGCTAGCCAATCTCCTCACTCCCACTACACAATCCACTTATTGAAACGATTGCGATACACTTACAATGGAACGCTTTTCATTGAGTGTCGTAAAACCAAAATTAATTTAATGACAACGCTCAACCAAAGAACACCAAAGCAAAGAAAATTTCGAGACAAGCCTGTAAGAACACTATGAAAAAACAAGCTAAGGTAACATGATTTATTTAGACCAATCACAGAGCGAGACAGAGAACCTAATTCAAATTCGAATCACCTTCGATACTCGATTTGAAAGTGCTCTAATATTTTCGCTTAAAGGAATAGATGATCGCAATATAAAGTGGTATATTTTGTCATCATGTACGGCTCATAAATTTATGACAACGATTCACTTTTATCAATGGCATTTTAAGGTGTTACTGAGTTTGTACATGGTGTTGCAGGTTTCAGTTTGGTACTTTGTGTGTGGTGGGCATACCCTACCCAAATAAAACTGAAATAAGGAAGTGTTTAAAGGCACCATACCCCCCCTTCTCTGACTCTCTACAAAGATGAAAATCCTTATCGCCAAGAATTAAACTTTGATTTAGTCTATTACAAAACAGCAATTGTGGAGTCCACCCTCTATTGCCGAATGATAACTCAAACACTTTATCACTGGCATCATTACGATGCTGACGACTGGGCAGATTTTTAGAACGGTTATATTGTTCGCAACTTTATTACAAATAGAGGTCTTTTCGGACTGTGATTGATATAGCAGTGATTAAACTCTCACACTTTAAAATCAAATACCCCCTTTAATCAATATTCTCTGGAAATTTTTTTCCCGGGACATTTTTCAATGGTAATTATAACGCAACTGACAGACACTTCTTCATCAGATTTTAAGTGCTGCACCCATTGCCTTGATGGCAGCGAACGTCTCCAGACCAGTTGGTATTATCTGATTGGCTGGCAATAAAAAGCCATATTGTCCCTTATCTCTCAGTTCCAGGGCAAATGAGTACCTCACGCCAAGGACCCCATATGCCCAGTCCTTTGTAGATCCTGAATTTGCGTCTGAAAAAGACATAATGAAATTTATATTATTAAATTCAACTCAATGATCTAACTTTACGAATTGTTTAACAGTCAATACATAACAGATAGCTAGTCAATCAAATTCTAAGCCAACCAAACAGTTAGCCTGTACATCAATCAATCAATCAATCAATCAAACCGTCGATTAAACAACCAATCAATCAATCAAACGAACGAGAAACCAATCAGAAAATGACATGAACAAAATAAGGAGGTAACCGTTTAAATTTTCCCACAAATTTTCATTTGAAAAAGATTCTGATCATATTCCGCCGCTATGAGCCTCCAAAGTTTTCTCTGTTTTATCCTCTATTTCATGCTCGACTTAGGGTTTCGTTTGGAGGCGGGCAAGTTCGAATGATCATAAAAGAAACGACTGTTTTGCACCAATGTTTTGTTTCACAACCAAATGGGCTACTAGTGTCTAAGATTCTAAGCTTTAATGTGACAATCAACTCACACATGACTTTTAGAAAACCTCTATAGCAATAGAATGCAACATGACTTTCTTATCATAGTTTTGCAACTCACAAATAATAATAGACGAGGGACCAACTCTATATTGCGTCCGGTATCCAGCGTTATAAAGTGCGTTGACTGCAATGTCAGAGACACGTTTCTGAGTGAAAAAAAAAGCAAGCAAATTATAAAAAACCATAACAACAGAATGCTTATAGCCATGATTGCTAATAAGATTTATGCAACAGCTGCTCTAGTTTGTAACTATGAACTTAACCTCAAGACATCAAACTATCGTCTTAGCTACGACTCGCCCCACCCTCCCTCTCCTTTCAGTGGAATAATTTTTGCGAGCAGAACATTAACCCTTTGACTCCACGCATGATGAACTTAGGATGGGACTATAATCTGTACTTCAGGGGGGGGTTCTGTTAGAGAAAAACTAGATGCTTATCACTCCTAGGGGTCAAAGAATGAAGATAATGCAAATTATTTCCCTATCACATTCTTCAATGTTTATCGTCTTTCCAGCCAATAAAGGCGGACTCTGAGCCCTTTCTTTGGAAAATTATCGACCGTTTGTTATGCATCGCCTAGCAGGGGCAGAGGATTTTTTTTTCTCTCGATTACATTTACTGTTGGTCCTGTAGTATTCCTGTTCCCCTCATTGTGATATTTTCCACAAAAACGTTCAGACCTTTCCCCCCTAGGCAGTCAATATTGACTGGTCTCTCACCAGCTCCGTGTAGTCTTTTGGGTAGGCTCTTTTGTAACCCCAGGGGGTCATCCAGAGTTGACTGTAAGCATGAATGTCCATGTAACCAATCAGGTTTCTTCGATTTTTGTAAAGATATCGAGCCACATTCCTGACTTCGATCTCAGAGAAAGGTCGTGGTCCGTGGTAGGTGTCCCTGCATGGGTTGCTACTAGTACCAACTCCTGAGAAAGTGAAAAACGAGTTATGTGCAAAAAACGTAAGTAGACGAGTGTTCGAGTCCTGACGGGAATTTTGATTGGTCTTAGGTACCAGTCATTTTTTTTATCACTGAGGGGAGAGGGCAGAGGATTTTTGGGGATCACATGGTTTCCAGGGGTAACGGAAGGGGGATCAGCCGTCGCTAATAACGTATAAAGGGAGAATTTACAAAGGGAGAGTTGATGGCAAATTAATCGCCCATGATGGAGGCGAGGGGAGGGGGGGGAGTTTGGAGGGCGTCATAAGAGTAATTTAGAGCCTTATGGAGAATCAGGCAAATAATATCGTGACAAAAGACAAAATCCTCCATTCCTCCACAAGAGATTATAGATTATGACCAGTCCCTTATTGCTTTACATCCATTGACATGGGAAGTTCGAGGTGTGTTCGAAAGTATCCATTTCTTGCAGCAGAAAACACAATTTCTGTGATGCGAACACAGATCTTACATTGGAGCTTAAAGTTTGCGATCTCAATATACGTTCTTTAGTACTGACCTCTTGTTAAGGTAGAACTCCATCTTTTTTTAAAATTGATAGTGATTATCATTAACATTACCTGCCCATCCGAAGTTCCAGTTACGGTTGGGGTCTGTGCCTAGGCAACTAGACCCACTATTTCGAGACATAGTCTTTCTCCACATTCGATTCTATAGAAGTTTAATAGTTAGTTATCAGTTTAAGGTTTTCCAATTCTCCGATCACTTTTACGACTTTGCCCGAATGACTTCAAATCACATAGCGTGACCCTTCGTTAACATGTTTGAACGCGAGCCAGGAAACTGGGATGAGTACATGAAGTCGAGGCTCATTGGAAACTTTCATGGAAGAAATATTATGAAACCAAGTGCTCATGCTTTTTAACTGCTGTTTAAACGAATTCTCGTCGCTTAACTGAAAATATTTTATGATAGGGCATTATTAGAGAGACAAAAGGCCTCTTAGTTCAAGATAATTTAGGAGCCGCATGGCTTGTACTTCTCTTAAAACGTTCCTTTGGAGTTTTGTTGCACTTACCCCGGTGTGAGTGAATTCATATCCATCCACATTAAATACTGGCATGATCACCCAATCCAGCCTATCCACCATGTTAGTGACGGACGCGTCTTTGCCATATTTCTTCAGCATCTGTTCGTAAATTTAAAAGAGCTACCAGTTATAACAATAATGTGCCCCAAGAAGCCCTTAAAGAGTTTTCATGTCCGAAGGAGACGGGATCCAAGCGTCTATATACCGTGTGCAGTACACAATTGCGTAGCACGACATGTGATGACGGCTGTAAATGAATTCAAAAGAACCCGGCCTGAATTGTTTTCAAAAGCTGAATGATGTTGCTTTATATAGATTTAATAGTGTTGATTTCTTTTGACATGTCAGTCAGCTCTCAGAAACCCTTTCGAGCCGTTTTCAAATGCAAGCACTATAAGAAAGCTCGCATCACTGCTTAAGGGAAATAGATGAAGTCGCCCCTTGCATGATCCACCCAAGTTCCATCGACCTGATGTATGGTTGCGTCGCCCCCAACTTGAAATTATGTCGCCCCAGACTTTTGACCAAAGTTTATGCGAAGTTACTACGAAATACAACTGAGCACGCAAGTTAATAGGTTTGCCCATTAGAATTGACATGTTTGCTTTATGTTAACAAAAAACTCAAACACACCTGATTTATCATGAACATACAAGTCGCAGGAGTGATCCACTCGCGAGCATGAATTCCACAGTTGATAAAAAATGTTTTGCGTCCAGCGTTAGGATTGGATGATATCTTGACAAAACATTAAAAAAATACAAATTAAAGACATAATGGAGAACTTAGACAAACTGCGACGGCTACGGCAAAAAGGACGTGGCAAAGCGTAAGATCTAATGGTTAGAACAATACCGACACGTTCGTTTCAAAACTTTGTACATTTCTCAGCCGTCCTCTGCAAAACAAAACGTGAAATCACCAGAATTTGCGTCGTCTGCGAATGGAAACCGCAATGGCAAATTATTTTAATTTCCATTTGGAACTGAAAGCTGCTTACATACGTTAGGCTGAAGTTAAGGCATATTTGTGCGTGGGGGAGGAGAAGGTAAAGGCATGCAGCCATTGTCGAAATTCTTACTTAGAATAGGAACTCATTTTTCAATCGACGACTTCCTCGACGTTGGCGTCTTGACTGCTTAAGGTCCCTGATATCAAACATGAAGACACCTTCAATTTCTTCAGTGATGTGCAGCTGACCAGCTGACCCTTCAACTACAAAAATACCCATGACTCTCCAGGTTCCCCCCCCCCCCTCCCCCCCCTCCCTCCCCTCCCCCAGGTAATTAATGACTCTTTAATAGCCTATGGTGAGGCTTAATAAAATATAGGACATAAAAACAAAGTAAAGATAATACGTACATAGAAAAAACAAAATATTCTTGGACATTTTTCCGAGTTTTTTCTTCGAAGATTTAGGTCCTGTAATCTTAGTGGAATTTGTATGTCAAGAGCGTCAATTTACACATACACAAAAAGACACAATTGAAGGACACTGGTAATTGAAATAAAATGAAATTATCCCATCCTGCAAATTACTTTTGAAAAACTCACCTTTACAGCATAAATCGTCCTTTTCTCGTATGATGTGCCGAACTCTTCCACTAAACTTGCCAAATTTGGATGAGAAGAAACAAGGCTCCTGAGTTCATCTACCATCTACAAAATTTAAACATAACTATTAAAAATGTATTCATCGTGACGAAAACTAATTTGGAGTTAAACAACCGGCTTAGTTGTCATAGAAGAGAAAAGTTTGAAAAATAATATCAAAGTCCCCCATGCAGATTTAAACTCCTATTTGAGGTGAAATGCACTCCTAACTGAATCACAGAGAATTTGCGAGTTAGGACATAGGTAAATATTTTTTTCTAGCCCAAGTCCTCCTCGGAAATAAGCGAACGAAGAGGTATCCTGCGGAAATATCACCGCTGAATGCCCCTTCATCCATTTTTTTATTCACTTGAAATGTTCCGATCGTCGTGCATACTTCCACTGCTGTCCTGTCCTGAAGACAGAGTGAGTGGTATGATACATTTTGAGCTTGGTTATCCAATAGTGAAGATTTTGAGAGCTACTGACCATAAATATCAAGAACCCGCAGACGGTTGCAAGATTTCATGCTTCATTTTATTTTTCCTAGTGAACCTTTTTGATAAGCTTTTCCCAAAATTATATCAAAAGGTGACAATTGGCCTGCATACCACTAAGATTAGGCATGTTTTGCAAATGTAACTGATCTGACCTCACCGGAGTTAGCCTATTGTAACGACCATAGTCGTATGCTCTTGCTGATCGGGCTGGAGGCGGGTTCTCACTTTCCATCAAGTCTTGCACATCCGGGATAAGAATGGTAAATATGATCCCATTAGACTCCAGTAGCTTAGCGAGACGAGGGTACTGCAAAGCACTCACACGAATATCAACAGCTGCACCTACATGGGAGGGGTGAGTCCAAAAATCTACTTCGAACTAAATAGGCACAAAATAAAAACGTAAGTTACACTTAGTGAGATTGTAAATAAACGGTTATACTCTTCTAATTTTTAGAGGCGCTAATTTTTTCGCTCTCACAGCTAATCGTCTCTCTCTCTCACACCCACTTCATTAGCCTTAAAAAAAAAGGAAAGAAAGAGAGAGAGAGAAATAAGAGACTGCTACTTATTTTCCACACTGTTGTCACTTTTCTTAGCCTTATTCTCGTTCTGTCATTCTGTCATTCTGTCACGCTGTCACTCGATCACTCTGTCACTCTGTCAGTCTGTCATTCTGTCATTCTGTCACTCTATCATTCTGTCATTCTATCATTCTGTCATTCTGTCACTCTATCATTCTGTCATTCTGTCATTCTATCATTCTGTCATTCTGTCATTCTATCATTCTATCATTCTGTCATTCTATCATTCTGTCATTCTGTCATTCTGTCATTCTGTCATTCTATCATTCTATCATTCTATCATTCTATCATTCTATCATTCTGTCATTCTATCATTCTGTCATTCTATCATTCTGTCATTCTGTCAGTCTATCGTTCTGTCATTCTGTCAATCTATCATTCTGTCATTCTATCATTCTGTCATTCTGTCAATCTGTCATTCTGTCATTCTGTCATTCTGTCATTCTATCATTCTGTCATTCTGTCATTCTGTCATTCTATCATTCTGTCATTCTGTCATTCTGTCATTCTGTCATTCTGTCATTCTATCATTCTGTCATTCTGTCAGTCTATCATTATCATTCTGTCAGTCTATCATTCTATCATTCTGTCATTCTGTCAGTCTATCATTCTATCATTCTGTCGTTCTGTCATTCTGTCAATCTGTCATTCTCCCATTCTGTCATTCTCCCATTCTGTCATTCTCCCATTCTGTCATTCTGTCAGTCTATCATTCTGTCATTCTGTCATTCGGTCAGTCTATCATTCTATCATTCTGTCATTCTGTCATTCTGTCATTCTGTCAGTCTATCATTCTATCATTCTGTCATTCTGTCATTCTGTCAGTCTATTATTCTATCATTCTGTCGTTTTGTCATTCTGTCAATCTGTCATACTCCCATTCTGTCATTCTCCCACTCTGTCATTCTGTCAATCTATCATTCTGTCATTCTGTCAATCTGTCATTCTCATTCGGCTATTCTTATTGCACTGCTTTCGTCCTTGATTAAATCACTGCCCTTTTTTTTCACGAAAAGAAAACATTTGTGCGATAAACCGGTGAAATCAATGTAAACATTCTTCTCACACAGTGATTAGATGTCCTCTAATTGACTTTTTACTTACATTGCCGGACTCCTCAAGATTCGCAAGAAGCTTTAGCTGGGCTTCATTTGCGGGAGTAGCTCGAATAACACGATACCTAGAATGAAAATGAACACGAAAGATCATTTTACGACAAATCATCAAAGGAGACTATAGTTAAAGAAATGTTGTTTGGAATTTAATCTGTTCTCCTCATAGTACTCATTAATTTTTCCGAGAGAAATTAATCACAATGCCTTGGGCAAAATATCTAAAGCACACAAAGTGTTTCAAAGAAAATCGAACATAAGAATTTAAGTACGCACACCCTCTATGGTCCATGGGCGTGTTGAAATAAGAAGAAATATTGTTAAAGCAACAGTCAAAATTTGTATCGCCTCTTATTTTGAGAAATAGTTCACCAAGGGAATTGGGGAGTATTCCGTGTTTACATAACGTCATCTGAATACTCTGATACTCAGGAGAACTCGAGAAAGTAGAATAACTTTCATGGATTCTCTAAATCCACCTTGCGTTTAGATGAAGTTATATGAAGACCGTAATTGCTCTCTGTTGCTTACGTAATGATTAGCACAGAAATTTATCCCACGGTTTTGCAGCATTATAAACACGATCGCTGATGCGAATAATAATTTAAAAGCTGTAGCTAAGATTTGTTATGCTGATCCAGTGGCACATTTTCCGGAACGGGTGTTGATTGCAAGCGTATGTTATTCTCGTCCCAGGGAGGGAGGGCCTGGAAATCACTCGACGCTCCATGGAAACTGGGACCAGCTCACTCTGTGTAAACACTTGACACAGCGGTCTGACTGCACATACAATTCGCCATCGTTAAGTTTGTGAATTCATTTTTCTTATTCAATCGCATACTTAAAGCAATTTCTGAAAATCTTGTCGGTAGAAAACTTGAGTGATTTAAAGTACCTTTACATATTCAAAATTAGTGTGTGTTCGCGTAAGTTTAGTCTCAAGGAAAAATTAGCTAATCTTTCAGCAAATAATTCAAATTTAATTCACCATTTCTCCGAAAAGCCGACTGGGGGAGCAGAGGAAGGGGTTAAAATTTTGGCTTTCGAAAAATCGTGTGATTTCACAGCTCTTAATTTGAGCAACGTATCGACATACAAAATGTAACACAATAGAACTTTAGATAAAGTAACAAAACTGTATCATACCTACAGTAATCAGATTTTTACCAGATAACAGAAGCACTTCCCGTTTTCAATTTTTTAAGCCACTACTTAAAGACACATACTGCATCATGGATATCTATCTTAAATTTCTTTGCCACTCACCCTTTAAAATTTGCTCGTTCCTCGCAAAGGCATTTCCCAAAAACACAAAACAGAAAAATAAAAACCAAAGTGCGCTGCATTTTGGAGACACCTTTAAAACGCAACCACCCCCAAGAAAACTGGTCAAAGTGTGCCGATTTCTTTCCCCTGAATAGAGATCACTCGAAATGAAGCTTTTAAAGCCCCTGTCAATCGAGGGCAGCTGAGGTAAACAAGCAAAAGAATTGGTTTTTTATTTCTTTTGTTTTTCAAGTCGCCTTAGGCTTTGCAGGAGTACATGTTTAATAGAGTCAGAGAAAATTTTGAAAATGAGCTTTGTTTTGAGTGACCATGAATCAAAGGTTGTTTGTGCAAAAGGCTTCGATTTTGCGCTTTTGCAACCAGCTCGACTGGTTTTATTTGGGTAGCTGCTCCAGCGAAGCCCGCACTTTTTAAAGATGTTTTAAGTCATCAGTTTCCTTCCGCAGATATTTATTTTTCAAAAATTTCAAAAGATCTATAACAAATATCTGCTAAATATGTATGCTGTAAATGATCAAAATTCATTTTCAAAAACTGCTTTAAAAAATCTACAATTGAAGAAATCTGTATGCTTAAGAGGGCTCCTTTTTGACCACAAGAGAGGTTGCTAAGAAAAAATTCGGCGAGCAAGTTGTCAGCGGTATTTCTTGCAAATACTGCCGCTTGCCGACCAGCATCCAGATGGTAGAAAATATGAACAATCTACCTGATCGAAAAGCTAATCAAAAGTGGCTCAAAATTGCCTTTACATTCTGCGTGAGTCTTTTTTTTTTTTTTTTTTTTTTTTTTTTTAACGGCTTTTTTCTGCTTCGTTTGCGTTGTTCAAGCGATGATCGAAAGAGGTACGAAGAGCGTGCGACACCGTTCTCTGTGACTTGATGGTAACGCGTCGGAATGTAAAAGGCGAAGGCGAATGTTTCATTTTCCATAGGGGCTCAGGTTATCCAATAAATGCCTTCAAAAACCTGTTTAAAGGAGGTCTTAAGATTTTCATGAAATGAAACTAATAATGCTCATCATCGGTTTTAGACGCCTTGTAGACCTCTCGCTGACTCGCGTTCCTTAAGGCTACTTCCTTTCCGCGTACGAAGAAACGCGTGTTCTGAAGCGCTGATAATGAGTACCTGCCCGCAGCCAAGTTCGACTGGTTGCGCATGGAATAATTATACGTACGTGACGCCCACGCACGCACACAATGTTAAAATGAGCCAACCCGTGCGTGGTGACCTCACTACGCGATGAAGCGTATCAGTTTCATTTAAGTCAATACCCCATTGTAAATACCCGGTTATAAACTTATTACACGTCAGATGTACTAATACGCTCTTCCATTTTCAGTGGACGACCAAGAAACTGAGCGATGAACAATAAAATTCCTTCAGCTTTTTGCCAAATCCTCGCCGTATTGGCGATTACAGTTTGTATACAGACCATCGAGGCGAGACAACAGACATACCACAGGTGAGTTTCTCGAAGAAAAACATCTCTCACGTAGACTTTACCTTTTTCCGGTCGATCATAATGCTTGCGATACCTATAACTTTAAACATTCCAACGCGAAAAATCTATATAATCACTTCTAGGTATGTGTATTATCTCAAAAGTAAGAGTTGGAGATTTCGAATCGAGCGGAATGATCGCTATTGTCTGAGATAATACTTCGTCTCAAATATTGAAACGATATTCAATAACCTCTTCCTCACATGCATCAAATTGGCCCCCTAAGGCACGACATTTATGGACTTAAATCTCTAACTCAATACTCTAAGAATAGTGTTTTATGCCAGCCTGATAAGCAAACCGAAGTGTCGTTCATATCTAAATCCCTAGTTTCAGTCTGTAATGAAGGCCCCCGTAAGCGATGCACAAGCTCTCAGAGATCTGTCATCAGCTTATAAGCCTATAAGCGATTACTCAGTGACATGTTTCAATAGGCCTTACGCATGTTTGCTACGATTTTTTACCCTCAAGCCTGACTTTCAAGGTGGAAACTTCTATTCTTAATAGGAAAACATTCCCTATACACTGATATCAAAAGAATTCCTACACTAAAACAGATAACTGGCAAAAATTCACAAAACTTTAAGCGCAACCGGGGCTTAGGGGTGAATTTTCCTTAAAATACGTCATCGAGCAGAAGAGCTACTTTCTTCAAATCTGAATCTTAGACTTTTCACTTTTTATGGCCCACACTGATAATATGTTCAGAACTATTGCAAGTTTGAGACTGTGGCAAAGTATGCGGTACATTTTGTTAACATTCTAAACCATTACGACCTTTGAACTCACTTCGAACGTGGGAATGCTGATTGACGCTTTTCGTAAAGCATCAAGATTTTAAATAAGTAAAATACAATTAAAATTTACAGTATTATTAAATACCACAACTTACACTTTACTACATAAAAGCCAAATTTGGGTGGGATCGTCGGGGTTAAGTGAATCCGTACGTAAGTGCTCCTCGCGTGTACTCATCGTCACGCAATCCTCATCACCAATTATTTGCCACGCTTTGTAGGATTATAGTTTACTCACTTATCATGTCCTACTAAACTGAACTGAAACAGATAGAGAAGACTGTGCGTGTGCACATGTGCGTGGAGTCGCCATGTCTTCGCGCCGCCTGTGTGGCGAACGCTACATAAATTCAAGTCACGTTTAGACCTTCAGTCTTATCTCTGTGGTTATACAGCTGTTTCTGTTTCATAGCTTGATATTAGAAAAGTCACGTTTTCTCTATCAAAACCAGAATTTATTTTCCTATTGTTTTCTATCATTCATTTTAACTATTTTTTATCTTTTTTATAAATGTTATTCTGAGAATGTGGTCTTTCATCAAAATTAATACTAAATTTTTAACTCGTGAATTGTGCGCATGCGCAAGAGCGAGTTGTAGATATGATGTGGAGAATGGCACTCGCTCGCTCGCTCGATTGGTCGATTCCTTTTAACCTTTTTTTCGATTTTAGGCTTTTGAGAGCATTTGATAGTTTTTGGCGAGTAATAAACAAACGAAATGGCGACCTTTGTTGCTAAGAATATCGGTGGGGTGAAAAAGAAGCCAATGATAATCTTAAAAGAGTTTATTTTTTTTCATTATGGTTTCAACGAGTGGCGCCAGCGACTGGCAGGCGTGCAAGGATTCAGACTGAAATAAGAGAACAACCTTCGTTTTTCATAAAATTGTAATTTACAGTCCTTGAACTTGATAACAATCCGAAGATTCATTAAAATATAACTTACTCCGAAGCGGTCGGAGTTTACAGGTGTTCAAAAGCTTTTTCTGTCATGGGGTGAGATTGGGGAAAAAATCGATCATTACATTTCGTATCGTGTGTTTATTCTGTGTGAAGCAACGGAAGGTGTCGGCGACTGACGAAATTACAGGTTAACACGAAAATCAAATAACACCTAAACAAATAATTTGGCGACCGATTTTCAGTGAATTTTTAAAGAACAATTTTCTTTTAAGTTTCAAGACAGTTTGAAGATTCAAAATAAATATTACGTACTAAAATGCGAAAGTTATACACCACAAAATTGATAAATAGGCCTGAAAGGAAATTCTATCTTGTTCTTGATTTCAAGTTGCCTAGCACGTGACCAAAATCTACCCAGGCGGAAATCCAAAATGACGGTGGCAGTCTTGGCTTAGTTATATTACTCAAAACTCGCTCCCGTTTGTCTCATTTGATAAAGCGGGAATCATTAATGTTTTTATTAAGACAGTATGGCCTTGATTTTCCAATATCTACAATCATAGACAATAAATTTCACTTTTCACCCACATCTAATTCCAAACTTTTCTTTTGAACCAGAAACAAAAATGATATATGTTTAAAACACATGACATCATCCACCCTTGTCAAATGTTATAGCATGATCATTTCAATTGTAATGCCTTCATATCCCAACGTTACTTTGTTTCTTTGCTGCGAACACTGAACTACTGCTCACACTCTAAATATGACAATCAACCACAAAATTCCCTAAACCAGATAACATTAAACATAATCCAAAAAATCATGTAAGTCATCTGTCAATTCATGAGTTTGCTCACAGAGTATTTCCTTTACTTACCATTAATTCATTTGTCTCATTCTTGGATTTACTTATGTACTTCTTTTTTTTTTTTTTTTTTTGGCACTGATCCTCTGGGGAGTAAAAAGAGGTTCGATCGAGGTCAATATCTCTGTCTTTCTTTTTTTTTTTCTTTCTTATTTTTGAATATTATCCAGACTTATTTGTATTGCGTTTCTTTCCTTTATAGAGACCAAGTTTTGCAGGTCACTCCTAGAACAGAAAAGGACATAAAATTTCTGAATAGTTTGCTGCACAGCGAAAACAACCTCACGGTGATTTTACAAAATTTTACTTGCTAGCGGGTTAAAAGGGGAAACTTTTTTTCTTTGAGGAAATTGAAATTCCCATGTGCAACAGATGTTTCCTCATTGTTTGACGAATGTTCACCCCAATAATAGAATTTATCTACTGAGCTGGGAAGCTGCAAGGTAGTAACAATCCGTCAAATATTTTCGCTTTTGCCAGTTGTGACTAGGGAATATCAGGTGGTATTCCTTGATCGATATTTCCCAATTTGGAACCTTACGTCCAGTACGATAAAAGTTTTCCGCTCAAAGGCGTTTCAATATTTTAAAAGTTTCGCTGTTGTCACAGAGGAAGGAACATTCATGTTTATTCATAAAGAGAAGGGACAGCTGAGGAATGAAAATTCCACGCAATTCATGTTTTTTTTATGTATGTTGTTTGTAAATGTACTACCGCATGAATAGTTACCAAATTAGCATTAATAGCATTGGTATGGCTTGAAAAACAAAACGAAGCAGAACAAGGCAAATTAAAAAAAAAACAACAACAACAACAAAACAGTTCATGCAACGACGTCAATGTAACGCGTGTACGGTCACATGACAGTGGAATTCACTGTAAAATGTACATATCTCAGAGAAGCTATTTTCTATTTTGCAGTTAGACTTTTGGACCTACCCAAGCAAGCCTAGTAACCCTGTAGACATCCATGTGCCTCGCGGAAAACTCCGGGAATTCAAACATATTCTAGCCAAACGATCAATCCCCTTCACGGTGAAGATCAGAAACGTGCAAAGGCAGATCAAAGTGGAAGGAATGAGGCCCCGTTCTGTTTCATTCAATGGAGCATTTCGTTCATACGCTCAGGTGAGTTTGTCAATGATATGAAATGATTTTAACGATCACCAATTTAAGAATTTTCCTTATTGGCAAACAAATTCTCCTTGTAAACACGTTTTAACAATGATTCAAAATTATTCATCCCCTTTTGGGTTGAAGATCTGGAGTCGAAAGTTATTCCCTGTAAATACATACACACGATTTGTTCTCTTTTCATAGATTGTTCATGAAATGAAACGACTCGCACGCATGAATGAAAGCTTAGTGAAAGTATTTAGTCTGGGCAAGACCTATGAGAACCGAACAATGTATGGGATAAGGGTAAGTGATAAAACTGACAAAATTAATTGTATGGCAAATGTCACTGGTTACGTGTAGTTTTGCTACAATGGTAACCGGAACGTGGCGTAAAAAGATACTTCATTAGCGGAACAATAGCTCGACACATATGTTTTACAGTGCTCTTCAAAACAGTAGTGTCTAATAATGGTTACTTCATGTTTTTCTATTCTAAGAACGGGAGACCAGAATTAAATTTTCATGTTCCATTCTGAACTGAATGCCGCCTCTACATCAACGTGGGGAAGATAGACAGCGCCCATTGGTTCCTTGTGATATTTCCCTTTACTCTGATAGGCCACTGTGATTACATTGGTTGTGCTTATTCGACGCTCAATTAAAATGAGCCCTTTAAGAATCTTACAAACTTATATAATCTAATGGGGATAATTGCTATTCAGATCTTAAGGGAGGAGAAGAGATGATAAATATAGTTCCTTGTAAATTAGGCTCATCCTTTATCTTCTGCTCGTAGATTTCATCAAACGTTTCCAGCTCAAATAAACCAGTTGTCTTCATAAATTGTGGAATACATGCGCGAGAATGGATTTCTGTTTCATCGTGCATGTATGTCGCCAGAGAGGTGAGTCAAATCATGGAATTTTCTTTATGTTTTAAAAACCACTGTTTCATGAATCACGATAATCATGATTAATTAATTGTTTTCTCGATAATGCTTCTTGAAGCCGTTTTTCGTTTTCATCATGCAACAGCTAATAAGGAGATTGTTGAAGCATGGGATACAATATCCCATTCATCACGAGTCAATTTGTGCTCTCTTTCCAAAGCAAGAAGTTACCATAGTAATATCACATCCCTCTGGAACCCACAACCACAGGTTAACCTTCACGTGCCTGTGATGATAAATCGATTGCGACTTCCTTTTTTAGAATAAACAGCGTGGCATAAAAAATAATGAACCCAAAGAGATGATGAAATTTGGAGAGGATTAGAAAGGAGAGAGAGACTCTAAATGTCTTTGTTTTCAGCTCGTCTTGAAGTACTCGTCAGAGGAATCAATCCGGCTCTTAGTAGATAGGTTAGAATGGATCATAGTGCCAGTTGTGAATGTGGATGGATATATTTACACTCACAAAGAGGTAAGTCATGCTTACTGTGTACAGATGAACTCAGGTTAACCCGTAGTTACATATCATTACACATATTTAGAGACAAAGCAATATTTTTCTCTCGTATACAGCTATGACGAACTCTCGTTAGTAGGGATGCTAAATCTCCCCCCGAGGATGTCCGCAATAGCGGCAGTCGACTGTATTCATCTGGAAAGGACTGTGCGGCGATTTAACTCGTAAATCACATATTTAAAGTTATGGTTTCTGTGTTTCGTTACAGGATCGCTTGTGGAGAAAGAACAGAAGACCAAATGGTAACTCAACCAAATGCATTGGAACGGACTTAAACAGGAATTTCAATTTTAGATGGGCTAGTGAGTACTTCAGACCTTGTGTTTCAGTTCTGTTCAATAGAGGTCAATGTTCTTCGTTTGGCTCAAGTTAGAAATTTACCTGCGCTATATTTAGGTTGGAGGATTATCCTCTTTGCCTTCGGCGTTGGTAGCACAGTGACGTAGATGTGTTTCAGCTTTCCTTTCACAAAAGTCAATTTTTTTTTCCTCTGGAGAAAAATCATGATAAAAAAAACATACCTATTCGCTTCAAGCTGCGGCAACGTCGATGAGCGCTGTATCGGGTAATGACAGCCACAGTCTTTAATTTTTCTCATAACTTGCAGAAAGGAGTTGTCCCTAGGTCTTTTATTACATTTAACAAAAAGGCTTCATGTTGCCATGTGTATGTTTGGTAATAGATCACAGAAGACATCAAAATGTGGTGAGGAAAAACAAGAGGCACAAGAGGTGCCACCGTGTAATAAATTTTTAAATAAATTAATATTAATTATTTTTAATAAATTAAATTTTTTTTTCTTTCTCATATAATCACCAGCGGTTGGAGCAGATTATGGAAAGCCTTGCAGTGACATCTACCCCGGAGAGCGGCCATTTTCCGAACCCGAAACACACAACTTAGCCACGTATATGTACTCCATAAGAGACCGCATCAAAGCTTATGTGGACTTCCATTCCTATGGACAATTGTGGATGTCTCCTTGGGGCTTCAAAAAGGATTTCCCTCCAACGTATCATACTATGAACGTAAGTTTACAATATACTAAGGCCAACCCAATAAAAAGGCTTGTCTACTATCGCCTGCCCAACCCAAAAATTAAGATTATACTTTCTAACAAGTCAAATATAAATTCAAACTAAGTTCATCCTCTCGATTTAAAATAGATTTGATCAGACCTTATGATTCAGATGGCGAAAACGCCGTGAATCTAAAGAGGCTACAAGGCACGTGGCGATGCAGAAGGATGTAACACTCTTTTTGACCCCCTCTCTCTCGCCCCTCGTTCCTCTTTAAAACATTCTAGTTTAGTACTGGGAATTCTGTACAAGTTCAAACTACTTGTTCATGAATATGTTGTCTTCGTTTTTTCTATTCAGCGGAACGCAATGATACGCATTGTACTAGCTATATACATGACCCACAGGACAGTCTTTGGGTTTGGACCGGCAGCTGTTGTTATCTGTAAGTATTCATTTGCACATATCCTTCATCCTTAAATTCGAAATGACTGGTTCCGAGAGAAACAGCTCATTTTGTCCACAAAAAAAAAAAAAAAAAAAAAAAAACTAACCGGCCGCAGTTACGTTCTTATCGCGTATATTGACGGTCAACAAATCGACATTCCCTGGTAAGAGTGCAATTTTACCCTCTGACGTCATGGATTTTGCGATGCTGCCCACTCGGAGACTTTTAGCGGGAATAATTTTCAGTGCAATATGTCATGTGATAACACTTTACGTCGATCATATCTAAGATTACGCGTAGACCGTAGCCACTGTATTTTTCGCGTATCCTTTACCACCTAACATCAGTATCCAGATTCTCCATACTACTCACTACACATTCCCCAAGGTGTTAACAAAGAGAATTTGTTTGATAATCAGGAGCTCCTTTCGTTGATTATCATTTCCTTTATTCTCATGACCTTAATGTTTGATTTAGGGGTTATATTGTTGGGAGAAATTAGATGCTAGTCATTCTTAAGGGTTAAAGGGTTAAGTACCTTTACAGGCGTGCTGGATGTAGATGTAGACACCTTTAGCAGTTATTCGATATCTTATCTGCCATTTTTTATTTTTGAAATAAGTTATACATGGTTATTATTTTTTTTTTTTTATTAATAGATAAGACTTCAGGTGATGCAACCGACTGGGTGTACGCTGTTTTGGGTGTCACGCATTCCTACGGAGTTGAGTTGCAACCATCAATCTTTTCTCAGAATGGATTCGTTCTTCCCCCTTCATACATTGAACCTGTTGGGAAGGAGGTGCTCACTGGAATGAAGACCTTGGCTTCCCTTGTAAGATAGAAAACATGGCGAAGAGACCAATAACTATTCTAAAAAATATTATTCATATTCAGGGAGTATAAATAACAAGCAAAGCTATATTGGTAAAAATTTATTAATTATGGAAAATAACGCTACAACTATTATCAACATTTTAGTCTTTGTTTTTGTGTGAGGAAGCGTTTTTCCCGGTTGGACAGTGTTGCAAATTCATCTCTTTTGCTAAACTCTACAAGATCGTGATTTCAGTCCCAAAAACAAACCCAAAAACATCGTAACTTCTTATAGTGAAATCGCAAGGATTTGATGGGAACTCAAAATAATTACCTATTTCTCCCGTCAAGTACCGTAAAACGCTGTGCAATCGGTGGAACGCCGTAAAACGCGATAAATCGCGGTAAAACACAATGAAACACGGTAGAACGCGTCAAGTTGTAGCCTAGTTTCGATTGGTCAGTTTAAGTTTTGCGTCTGATTGGTCAGTGAAAAGCTGGCACGAGTTTCCTGAACCAATCGTGAAGCGAAGACAGGTAAAACTCATGCTATAGCAAAATAATTTTTGGGTTGCTAACTTCAAGTTGCGTATAAGGCTTCAGAAAATTATTTACAACACGCGGAGATATATCTGGAAATTTTTTCCCATACTATTTTTAGGCAGCACTCGTAAAAGTGTGGTAGTCTCGATCGACAAAAATTTTGATTTTTCGAAATAAAGACATAATTTTGAATCACCTAATTGCATTTTTGCGACTGAAACAGTAAATGGCCGACAGATATTACCATAAAAATTTCCCCAGCTTAGGGCTGATGTAGATCGCCAGTGCAACAAAAATACTTTGGTTTAATTTACTGCCACCGACTTAAAGAGGAGTCTATTTCAGCGCAAACAACGAATTAACATATAAAGACATTGCTGAGTATGCAAAGCCGAGAAGCCTGTTTTAAACATTCCTTATCATCATTCTGTATTTTCCCATCAAAAAAGGAAATTAAAGAAAAGTTCCCAAGTGCACCTATTCTGTTCAAATGAGGAGTGAATAATTGTCGTACAGAAAAACGGGGTTTTTCGTTGTTCATCTGTTCAAAGTCCTTCCAACATTGATTGTTCTTCGTGAAATGTTTGCGGCCAATCCTAAACTGTCATATTTTTAAAACGCATTTTATTTCTTTTATGCTTTTGCGACAAACTATTTCACGCAAATTTCTACGTATGTGTAATCAGTCGCGGAGAATGCTTTTTTCTAATGGGTTTGTCGGGCTATTTGTTGGATTTTGCATTTAAACAGTACTTAACAAAAAAAACACAATCCATTGCCTTCGCTTATTCAGTTGATTGGTAACTCAACTGAGGCAACAAAGCTGTCTCAATAGTGTTTGGAGTCGTAATTACTAAATTGCGATTCTCCTGTAAGATCTTGAAGGGAATAGTACATGTGCATAGATATTTAATAAATCAAATTTTAAAAAATCTTCCCTTTGTTCAAATTTTTACCCATACTCTTCAGGATCATTCTTTTTCGTTTTGTTGTTATGAAGTTGATAAGCACAGCAAAACTACCTCCCTACCCACCCCTCGATTGTTTGGCCGTGAGAATAATGGTATATAGTCTGTTTACGTGTTTGTTTTAAGCGCGGGGCGCATGGTGACTTTGAGAGCACTTAACACTCTGAGAAGTTATTACAGATATTTCCAGGTCAACATGCGAGGTGCCCGAGAATTCGCTCTCGTTCTCCTATTCGCTTTTGTTTTCAGCGAGCCTGATTCATTTGAAGGGTAAGTAATCTCAGAGATATTTTTCTACAACAAACTTTATACTCATCTTGATTTTCAACTAGGAATGTTTTAAACTTCTAGATCAAATCGGTGTTGACTATTTAGATTTATAGTTCTCGTATCGAACACAGTTTCGCTGCGCGTTATAGAGCCACCCTCCCTTAACGAATCGCAGCCGGTAAATAAGTTACAATAGTTACCGTTCGTTGTACTTTTTAACACTTCTAATCTCGCGATATTTCCTTTTGCCTTTAGATGTGTTTTCAATCGAAACTTTCTTTTTCGTAGTGACACTGCCCACTGTACAATAACTGTCGAATAACGTCCTCTTCGGTTGAAAATTGAAATTGAAATTTGCGTCAAGATGTCCTTTGCGTCAATACTCGTTGGACAAAGAGTTTGTCTGTCTGTTACGAACTGATTTATTACAAAAACAAAAGTCTCAATTTATTGCAATAAACATAAGGCAAATAAAGAAATTTGCCTGGAGGCCGACGTCCCATTGCAGCGACTACACATATCAACTGGAAATTAAAAAGATTGAATTGAAATAGAGTTATATCAGACTCCGCAAAACCCTCCTTAACCTTTCTTGGAAAGATTGGAAAAAATATCCTAAAACAATATAACACTACGGTAGTGAACTTTTTGTTGTTTTCTTTTCTTCATGAGCTAAAGGCCTGAATTAGATTACAGTGCTCGCCCTTTTTTGAATTTTAAGGGATCTTTTGCTGCAACCGTCTGAAAGCTAAGTCAATAAACAGTGCGAAATATCCCCCAAAGACGACAGTACATTTAAAAATCTCCATTTTCTTTTTCTTTTGAAATTCTTGCAAAACTTTCAATGCCTAAGATTTTGATTCTCTTTGGATGTTTTTTTTTGCACAATTTTTAAAGAACTTGGAAATAGTCATAGGAAGGTAAAAAAAAAGGTCTGATTTAACTAAACATTTCCTTCCGGAATTTGGTAAAAGTGTCCAACTATCGAGGCTAGGTTATAAACATGGATTGTTGGGGGGAGACGACGGTTTTGCCCTGCGTTGCCTTTTCATCGTCGACGAAAATCGACAAGTTCTTGAAATGCTGGAAATATTTGACATTTTCCGTATCCCCTAGCAATAAATGAGTTGCTAGTAAATCGGATCCTTGTGTTTGCGCACGGTTGTTTTGACTGAAAACAGCACGATTTTGGTGAGAGATCACCGCCTTTTCGCCGCCATTTTATAGAAATGGTTTTAGGTAGTGTTGATACGAGGGAAGCGTACGTTTTTGTATGATTAACCATGAAATATGTGATTAAATCTGCCGATTGACCTTTCACCTTAAGTAAGGTTTATTGTGAAATTGACATCGCGCAATGGTCTGGAAATATCACAAAATTAACTACAAATCGCCGGGAAATGACTCAATACTGTTAGTAAGTTGTATTTAAGTGTGTACAGCTTGTTTTTCTACTTGTTTACGTTTTGGATAACCAAAAAATACGTCCTCAAAATATATGTCAGTGGAAATGGAACTTATTTTTACAGACCTGTTGCTCTTCAGGGGGATGAAACAAGCGACTTTTCAACTACATAAATAGTCACCGTTTTCTCAACAATAAAATTTGCTGCAGCGATTTCTTCGGCTGATCTAACTGACAAATCATGGTAGTTTACTGTAACTGCACAATTCATTCCAATTTTACGTTCAGTGGCCAAAGCATCCAACGGAATCACCTTTAGGAATCTTGTTTATTGAATTAAACAAAGTGCACATAACTGTATTGAGCGAGTATTTTATTGAATTTTTGCCAAATGGTGATTAGAGTTAGGAAATTGATTATTGAGTGCTGAAAAGATGTCTAGATACTGTAATTCTGTAGGAATCACTTTAAGACAACAACAGTTATGAATGCTGAAACACCGTAATTCGTTTAACAGGCATAAGCTGTACCGCACTTTTCCCAAGAATAAAGATGACGTAAAGTTCTTGGATAACCTTCTCAAATCAGGAGAGGATGGCGTAAGTAGTAAGCCACAAAACCTAGGGCTGTTCGTATCATTGATCCTTGCGTGACGCACGCGCGATTAGCACACGCACTAGGACACTTAAATTTGCGCACAATGATCGATAGCAAGCAGCAGTGTTTAGTTGGATATTCGCGTTTTGAAGATATTTTTTTTGCGTGTTAGTTTTGACACGTGATCATTTTGGTGGTGTTTTGGCCGATTATTTTAAGGAAAGGTTTTTGTTACCGCTTCCTAACAGCGCAAACCAAAACCAATCACTTCATAGAGCATGATCGGTACAATGGAACGTAATGAGTCTTAGTCTACGAGAAATCCCCACTTAGTAGTACTTTTGTCCTGTGCGTTTCTTTTGCCCGCGGGACTTGAGCATGCGGGCCGGCGAGGGGTCTTCAGGGAGTCTGGCACTGATAATAGGTACCAGGCTCCCGGCAAAACTTTTCCCGACTCGTCTCAAATCTTCCTGCGGGCGGAGAAACGTTCACTCTGCAGTGCTAATAATGAGGATTTACTCTCTTGCTAAACGAGCCTCAGAGGACTCGCCTGAAGTGCAAAGGAAGGTGTGTTACCAAATCGCGAGTGATTTATTTCTAAAGAAACTATGGTGCTGCGTCGGTGGGAGAGTATAACAAGTTAATTTATTATTATCAACTGAGTTGATAACATAAATTGGCCAACATAAAGAGTGTCAGAGCTGACGTTTTGAGTGTTAGCCCTTCATCAGAGCGAAAGACGAAGGGCTAACGCTCGAAACGTCAGCTTTGAAACTCTTAATTAAAACGAAATCCTGCAATCCTCCTGAAGTCTGTGAAAGGATTAGATGTGATCGAACAAAACTTTTCAAGGATCATTTCTTAAGGATTAAGCCTAACTTGACGATAAAATTGTCTCTCCTCAATCCTCTTTCTAAATACTTTGGTAATAATAGCAGTTATGAAACTTTCAATGCCTGTTAAAAAATAAAAATAGTTTATATGAAACTAATTCTCAATTTCAGATCGATTTTTGGACATATCCTACTGATTCTCTGGACCCTGTTGAAATTCACGTCGAGCCTATTGCAATCCAAAAACTTGAAGGTCTTTTAAATGGTGCTGGTATTTCCTTCCAAGTTTCACAAGAGGATGTGCAACATGCCATAAAAAAAGAACAGGCAACCTCAAGGGCTTCAGGATTTGACAGCAAATATCACAAGCTGAGAGAGGTAAGAAGTACACCCAGAGGGGTGGGATTGGGTGCTAAATCCCCGTCAAATTTGCGGGGTAACTCGTATCTGAAGAATTAATTGTTCGAACCGCTTGTGGTCCGAAGATATCGACCTACAATCCCCTACTTATCGCCTGTCGTCCATCCTTTCGGAAGAAATTTCTCTCGCTCTTTAATCTTCCTCTGCTTTAAAATTCAAAGTAGGTATCCAATTATTTTAGCCCAAAATCAGCGCGTGTGCACTGTGGACCACCATATCATACGGAAAAAAATAGCATAAAGGAAAGGTAAGGTTAAATTTTACCCAAGCGAAACTATTCCGTTGAATGACAAATTTTCTTTCCCGTGACAAAGCTGCTCAGTTTGTACTGTGGTTTATTTTTTTTTATGTTTTCCAACCGCTTCTTCGACTTTGCATGCCTTGCGTACCTATGTCTTTTACTCGATAATGTACTTTTTCATTTCATGTAGTTACCGTCATATTGCGTATCAATTAAACCATTTGCACTATTTCATGCTATGCCCATTATTTTTTCTTTCCTTTCGGTAAACATTTGGCCGAGCAAATAAGCAATTAAATTAAAGAGCGTTAGTATTTTTGCATAAACTTACTTTACAGATTCACTCTGAGATACGAGCACTGGCCTCGAGACATTCTGATGTGGCAGGAACTTTTAGCTTGGGAAATTCCTATGAGGGCAGAGAGCAACTTGCTATCAAGGTATGGCAACGAGATAAGAAACTTGCACAGGTCTTTGGTATCGGTGCTCAAAGAAGCTTTATGAATTGGCAGTCTGTTTTTGATTGGAGGCAAAACGCTTGTCAAACTAGGCTTATTTAACAAATTTTATCTACTTACCTCCTCAGTCACAGTGCTTGAACTATCCCTAGAAAGCACAGTAATCACCTGAAAAATCTTGTAATTTATAATAACGTTTCTCATGATTATTTTGATAGTAATAGTAATAGTTTCTTAAAAAAACTGTAAAATTTCCAGAAATCACCCTTATTTTCGAAGAATCAAGTAAGCCAGATTTGAAATATAGGGTTTTGTTGGTTTGTCTGTTTTTGTCAATATTGTTTCATCGGTGAAAGCTTCATTCTTGATCATATTTTTGTCCAATTTTCGGCTTGTTTTCAATACCAATTCCATTTCCATTTCTAGATTCTAAAAGGCTCTGCGGCCAGCAAAAAAGGTCTGTTCTTCTTCAACTGTGGAATTCACGCAAGGGAATGGATAAGTCCAGCTACTTGCATGTACATGATACGACAGGTGAACAACATTTGATAAGTTTTAATGTTTTGCATGTGCTCTAACCTACCAGTAAAGCCGGGCTCACGCTTCCCTAAACTCTACGTGTTAGGACAATTTCTTTTGCATATATGCCGATTTTAATAATATCTGTTGTAATAACTTGGTGTTACTATTGTCTCAGCATATACAAACCTCGTGTAAATCATGTTTAATTTCGCTTTGCACCGGATAAATCTCTATCCGATGGATAGCGCAGGTTGTCTCGTTAACGCTTATCCACAAGATATAAATCCATCCGTTGGATAGCGTTATGCACCCTTTGGGCAAGTGGGCCCAGGAAAAACTACCTCAGCTAGGCGAGGCAGTCTCGTATACAAACTTTACCTTAACCTTTAACATTTATGATTGGAATTATGTCATCCGTTTCCCAGATGTTGGAAACTCGAAACTCCAATGCCGATGTTCGGTTTATGCTCGACAATTACGAGTGGGTAATTCTGCCAGTACTGAATGTAGATGGATATGAGTATACACACACTGGGGTATGTAAACATAATAATGACACACAACCAATCAGGAAAACTATTTTCTACCACGTGATACAAATCAACCAATCACTTAAAAAAACGATGAAGGAAAAATCAAATCGCCATCTTGGATGCAAAACCACCCATATGGTTGGTTGATTGTGCCACGTGGTACTAAATACTCTTCTTTGATTGGTTGTGAACCATATGAGCCCAATATACTATTCCTACCAAAGTTTAAGGAAAAGTATGCTCCCGAAGCCATATAATTTTTCTTCTCCGCAAGCAAACTATTTCCTTTCAACAATTAGATTGTTAGTGATAGATCAGATTGTGGGAAGTACGAGGCGCAGCCGGGAGTGACACTAATGTAATGATGTGAGTGCTTTACATAAATGGTTGTGAGGGACATATCAATGAATTCGTTTGTAGCCATGAGGGACGAGCAACACATATTATGCAAATATTTTCGGCCCTAAGCTTCAAGACCCGGCTAATTTTGACTCTAAAGGTATTTTCCTTTTGCATAGCAAGAAAAGCTTATTCTCAGTCGCTTTATGTTGTAATCATACGAAAAGAAAATTAAGGAACACTTTTAAAAAATTTCCCAATCGTTTGACAATAAAGAGCCTTTTAAACTGGTGATTATTTCCTTCATTTTCATGGCCTTTACGTTTCATTTAAGGGCAGAAGTGGAAGGATAACTTCAAGAGAGGCCCTCCTAGTGGTTAAAGAGCATCAAAAGGATCTGTAATTAAACACTTATTGAAAACCCCTCCGTGACCCTTCCTGCTTATGCTTTAACCTTTTAACTCGTAAGAATGACAGGCATCCAATTTTTCCTCACGGTATCACTATTGAATCAAACATCAGGGTCGCGAGAATAACGAAAACGATCATCGGAGGTCTTGATTGTTGATCTGATTCTTCACGTTAGTCACATAGGGAGTCTACAGAGCACAGTGAGGGGAATATACATGTTGATATCAGCGTGTAAAGGCTTGAATCGAGTACTCCTAAACATTTTTTTTATCTGTCCTTACCCAGAGTATGCGTAAAGTAGACATTTGTTTTGAATCTAATCTATCAGAATCGCATGTGGAGAAAAACGAGACGCCCAAATAAGGATGGGAGTTACGGAGCTGATCCAAACAGAAATTTCAATTATCATTTCGCAGGTAGGACAATTTAACTTTTGGTGATGTCTCAGTGAAACATAAATAGACTCTCAAACCTCTTAAAGATAATAATACAAAGTCAAAACTCTTTAAAATCCTCAACTACCAGCACCCAAATGATAACTTTTTTTGACAGTTGTCTGCCAAAGTCTGGGTCTTTTTCGGATCAAGCGTTTAAGCTAATTAAGATTGGCCTGGTTTTTTCCGTTTTTATTATAGAACAACTGTTTAGGTTAATTTTCACGATCAACTCTTTTAGCCCGCATATGAAAAAGCGTGAGTAGCAACCGCTGTCATTTTCGCGGGCTTCAGCTGCTGGCCAAGACGCTCCATGTGAACAAACACTGAAGAGTTGCCGCACTGAACTTATGAGTGCGGAGAATACCGATGAAGACTCTTCCCAGGAACTCCTTCAAATATTTGTTGCAGCGAAGAGAGAGAGGTTTACAAGCAGCTCCCTGTTAAAACATTTATTTACATTTTACGAGGATAGATATCATATCCAGTGCGAGGGACAAAGAGGTAATTATTGTGTTCTTACTAACCTTCCGATATTATGAATTATTCAGGAGTTGGAACTTCACAAAGACCAAACAGTGACATATATACTGGAGAGCGACCATTTTCCGAGACAGTGACCTACAATGTTGGGAAATATCTCTATGAGCGTAGATACGAGCTGAAGGGATACATTGATTTTCATGCATACAGTCAATTGTGGATGAGTCCGTGGGGATACACCAAAGCGTACCCCCCAGAGTACGCGAGGATGGTATGCAAATGATCAAAATAATGGCACCTAGCATCTCTTTCAAGGCTGCTCCGGTTTACTGTATTTATTAGATTAAACGCCCATCCTGTAGATAGGGAGAGTAAATAAGCACCAATCCCCGCCACTCCCCACTTCCCCCTCCCCCACAAAAAAGGGTAACCAAAGTGCACAAGCGGAGTATTAATCGTTATTTATTTTCTGTCTTATAATCTCTAAATTCACTGTTATGGCCTATCTTCACATTTTGTTATTATTCATTATAATGTTGCAAAATGAATTTACTCCTTGTTGAACATGGTAAAAATTGAATAAGCCCCCAGCCTCGAACAAGCGCCGACCTCGAGTGAGTGCTTACCTCAAATATGTGCCCACTCGAAAGGTCCAAAAATTCAACAAGCACCGAGGGCGCTTATCAAATAAAACAGTTTGTTTTAAAATTCAGATGAAGAGTAATGTTTATTAGAGAGAGAGAGCAGACTTGTTGTAATTGGAAAATTATGAGAGATCTAGCTTATGCTCAAAATGATTTACTGTAATTGGCAGTCTCACCAGAGACGGAAGTCTTCAAGTTGCACTAGTTGCCTCATCGTATATTTACAAAAGCCTACGCCCAATAAAATTCAAAGTTCCTTCCGCGTTTTACATTATCTATACAAGATAGAGTTACTGTAGGGTTGTGTTTGACTATCCAAGATGATTTACCACTGATGCTGTGCCATTTTGTCTTATTTTGTAAAGAAAAAAGCCATGCAAGCTGCTGTCAAGGCACTCACAAATGTGCATGGAACCAGCTACAAATATGGACCGGCTGCCATAACCATTTGTAAGTATGAAGTATTTATAATATGGCGCGGTAACCTCGAGGTAAATCCGAGCGTTCTGATTGGTTCCTTCTTAGTCGGTATTTGCCCATCCGGACCGTTTCCATGGAAACGGTCATGAGCTGTGTCTTTTAGTTCGCTAAAGCCGGAAAAATTCAAGATAAACAAGTTTAGTCGGAGCGCCATATAATAGACTTCTTGCTAACCTCGTTTGCTCGATCCGTACTGAAAAGTATTGGCCCTTTTTCGTTTTTGTGCGGCCTTGAGCCAATATTTCCCACACTTGGTTCGTAAGAAGTTATTAGAAGTATTCAGAGACTCAATCAAATGAAACGCTTTTTTATCCTTGAGGAACCCAAGCCACAGATACAGAACAATGCTTCATTGAGCGTGTGAACAAACCCGAGATTATAATGGTTTCGCTCTTCTACGTACCGCGAATGGTCTGGAAAACTCGTGCCACTCTCTTAACTAATCAGATGCGAACTAAATCTAACACCGATCAAAACTTGATCATTCGCCCTGACTGTTGCCTCGGGAAGTTTACATGTTTTTGAATCTGTTTTCATTTATATTTTCAATAGTTCTGACCGACCGATTTGACTGCTTCGGCTTTGATGTCACGAAACTCAATTAAAAAGAGCTTAATTAAGAGGATATCGTCATAAGTGATGTTTTCAAATGAGTGAGTGAAAACCAAAACCGAAGTTATCATAACTGATAATCAGAAAAAAAAACCTTAACATCGTCAGTCTCCAATAAGACTCAAAGTAAAAGCAGGCAACTTGTTTGAAGCTCAGGAAAACGTGAATGACCGAGGCGCGATTGTTTTCTAGTTTTGCATCCAATTGGTTGCATTAGGGGATCGCGCGAGTCTCCTTGACCAATCACAGAGCAAAGTTGAGCATATTTTGTAAGGATTATTTTCGATACTCAGTTGAAAAATTGCTCTGAGACATCACTGGTTTTATTTCGTTCCCAGATCCCACCACTGGTGACACAACTGACTGGACATTCGGTGTCTTAGGAGTGGTACATTCCTACTGTGTAGAACTCCGGCCAAAAACTTACGGTCAAGGGGGATTTATACTTCCCCCGGATAAGATTATCCCCGTGGGGCAGGAAACATTTGCAGGATTAAAGGCTCTGACGAGAAACATGTAAACAAGAACAAGTGTTAAATGAGGGAATTTTTCCTGCTGTGAGTTTCGTCTTTAAGTTTCCTAGAAAGTTTAATGGTGAATAAACTACAGATCAAGAGAAAAGTTGAAATTGTTTGAGACTTGAAACATTAACCTGACTTCAAGTTTATATATCCATACGTTTAGTTTGCAAAACATACCACTATAGTAGCGGCTGAACGAAAAGACCAGGGGGGTTTTATATCACGCAATTCGTTTATTTGGGCCCCGTTCTACCACCTGAGCACACGGGACAGGCTACAAGTTTATTAGTGTTTTCTCCTTCAAATCCTTTCAAAATAAACAAGCAAAAGATTTACAAAGTAGTTTTCCAAAACAACCATGTCAAGACCTTGTCCTACGTAGCCACTTTGAATTTTAACTTATGAATGAAAGATGTTAACATTGATTCCTTTAAGAAATACATGCTTTGGAGTTAAGCCTTGAGGGAGGAATCTACACCCTTAAGAATATTTAGACATGCAACTTGGGACTTGTGAGAGATGTGATTGCTTATTTGTCCACGCTCTAAATTTCGCACATATATGCTTGCTGTTAATCTCCTAGCAGGAACGTTCCCGCACGAGTTTTTCTTCAACATGAGAAAGTATGAGGCCTTGACGATGATAGTTATCAGTGCCAGACCCTAAGCAAACCTCTTCCCAACTTGTCTTAAATCTTCCCGCGGGCGGAGAGACGTGCGTCCTGCAGCACTAGTGATTAGGGCCTATTCGCAAGTTCTTTTGAGAAGCCACAGCGAAGGCTTTATCCTAGGCGTTACAAAAATTTAACTGAACGTGTCAAACGCTAACTGTGTCTGATCCAGCTATTTCAGGAATAGTATCGCGTCAAAACTGATCTTGAATTTCCTGAACTAGGTTGGAAACATACAGAAGAGTAAACTCTGTAGACTTACGGTCACATTTGATAGAGACACAGTGATCTTGTTCGGTTCGTTGTCACAAATCAGTATGTTAATCAAAACTGGATTCCGACATCTTCCTATGGCGTTCAGTAAAATGAAAACGTCGTTTGAGTCTCTTAGTGATTCGATATAGACAAATTCGTCGCCCTCCTGCGAAATCCATTGAAGTAATTCCATGAAGTGCGTTAGTCCCTGCTGAAGCTGCTTCTGTTGTTTTGGATCTTTTTGGTTAAGGATGATTTCCTTGGACGAATCTTCCGCTGTACAGCTACCTTTTAGATAAACCATTTCATAATTATCTTTCCAGGCCTCCTCTTCCCTTTTGCTGTTCTAAAATTAATAAGGAAAAAAGAAATCAATTAGGAAAAGTCAAAATTATATCAGGATGGCGTTGACATAACTGCAAGTGTTAGCTCGGTTTAATAAACACACTGTTCAGAGGCGGATCTAGGGAGGGGCCCCCTTTTTTCGGGTAAAAAAAAAGGGATTGCAGAAGGAAGAAAAGCCAGCAGGGCAAGCGACAAAAACCCCCCTTAGCTCAAGGTCTGGATCCGCCACTGCTGTTTCCAGGCTATATTTGCTCTCCTTTTTTCTTTTAATAACAAAACGTTGGTCTTTTTCTGCACGAGCTTCGCGCTCTACTGAAGTACTTTTACATGACAAAAAACCAAAACCTGCTTAGTGGGGGAAGGGTTGGTCTAAGTCCCAGGCCCCGACACAAGCTTAACAACGCTTAAGCAACCTCAGTGCATTGTTTAAGGAAAACATAACCCCAAAATCACTTATTGATAATAAAGAGAACAAAACTAACAGCAAATGCACAGCCACTGGAATCAAAATTATTTTTAAAAACTAGATCAATAGATAATGCAACTCACGAGTTTTCATTGGCTTAGCCATATGGGTTATGAGCGTAGAAAAAAAATAGAGTTTGCAAAACAAAGTTGAGAAGATTTATCTACACTCAAATAATTGCAAATTAATGTATTTTCCCAAAATCTCTTTGGCTAAGACGGCATGCGATACTTTGCAATACTTTGTCAGATAACTAAACAAAGGGCACAAATTTTTTTATATAACAAGCTCAGTTATGCACGCATTCTGATTGGTTCTCACTTATGATCTATTGGAGGACAGACGTATAGATGACGTCATCATTAAAACTTTTTAAAATTATTTATTATATAAAACAAATAGATTCCAAATTGCCGTGCGTCTGTTCAGTAATAGATCACAGATGACGTCAAAAAGTGTTAAATACTGGTATAAATAATTTCTGATATTGATCAAGTTTTTCCTCTGTGTTTTTTTTTTTTTTTTCATCTCTATTGGACTATTCTTTCCTACCTCAAAGTGGGCGTCTGTCCGACGGTCTTCTGTACACATCGCTCTTCGAAGTTCTTCTTCAAGGTGCTTCCTTCCAATCTTTCTGAAAGGCACATAGTTAGAGGGGCTGAAATGACACGCCACGAACTGGCCCTCAGCGTAGAGGATGGGTGTTCCTGAGAAAAGACTCTTGCTGTCACTTTTCAACATGTTGTCTGAAATGATAGAAGTAACTCTTAGTTTTTCAGCGAACAGTTTTGTGGGGTTCCCTTTATGTACCACCCGTTCGATCGCAAAAGAAGCGCTCCTTGATACCTTGAAGGCTGAAGACTTTGCATTCGACAAATTAAACTGAGACACGGATCATCGAAAGAAATCCACAAAACTGCGTGACGTGATCATAGGTAATGGTTTCGTATGACGTCACCTTGTAAATGTTGACCTCCCAAATCCAGGGCCTTTTTCAGTGTGATAAAGTCCATATGGCTGGGATAAGAGGATAGAAGTCGAGGGCTTACTTTGTCGAATTGCTAAAGCAAATCTTTCGCTAGAGCTAACCCGGGGTGACTTTTCACAGAGAAAGTACACTCATTTAAATTTGTTGTCAGTCAGGCTTGTTACTTATGAGAAATTGAAAGTTGGTTTCGCTTTGGATATCATGACATCGCGGTGAATACCCTTCCCATCGAACAGCTGTCAATAGGAGGATCAGGTTAAATTGATTAGCAGCGATTGAAAAGAGAAAAAAAAACTCTAGCCTGTTCCCTCCTTTCTTTCCGCCGATGTATACACCTCTCATGAACAGAGAGTTCATATTTGCGTTTTATTTACCTTAGAAAGCTGTCAGTGATTCTGTTTCTTGTGCTAACAAATTCTCTGGCAAGACGCGACTTGTGTTCATCTCTACAAATTGCTACTTATTTCTAACGTGGCTTAAGGTTTTCTAATTATTAACACTTCTAAATATAATTTTACTGCTTTTGCTTACCTCAGAAAGGCATCTAACATTCAGCTTCAAGTCCGCTCCGATATGTACGCCCGGCCAAAGATTTTTCAGAAATTTAAATATTATTTTGCGAGATCCTTGTTTACGTGCTGATATTTCCCTACTTGATTCTTGGCGGAACTTCAGGAAAATCTAACAACAGTAAACGTCGTTCCATAGGAAGTTCGAAGCGAAACGAAAATTAACTGCGTTACAGTTCATAGTCTCTACTTAAATGCTGACGGCTTAATATGGAACGAAAAACGCCACGTCTTGCACAATTAAGGTCAACATGTCAATATTTATCCTTTCTTAGGATATTATTGAGTCACAATGTAAATATAGGTCGGGGGAGGGGTAAATAAATCGGTTATCACATGATTCTGCCGACCGCACGTGATCTCAAGAACATTCGGTCACGAAATCGTTCAAAAAACCATTACCTATTCCGTAAATTCTCTCCCCCCAAAGCTTGGTCCAAACAGTCTCGTGTGTCTCCTTAGCAAAAAATTCGTACGCACACTGTTTTTCAAGAAATCACCACCATCTATATCTAGATGAAAAGTTAATTAAAAGCGGAATTCGAGACATCATAGGCTATTTCGGTTACTAACGCCATTCCGCCGAATGATCTGGTATCAAATGTGATTTCTAATGAAAAGTAACTGCACATTTTTCATCAATGTTCGAGCACTTCCTTGTTTCCTTATTGCAAACGTGTTGCATTCCGAGGGCATCATGAGGGAACGTTTCGGCTTAAAACAGGAGGACGCAGTTGTTCCTTATTATTCGGTAACGTTCGGGCCAAATTTCACGGAGCTCCATCAACTCTTCATACCCTATGAACACATTTAAAGAGGGGGTTTTTATTAAAAATAATTTTTTGAGAGAATTTTCGTCTACTAAAGTGTTAGACGCCTATTTCGCCTTCTCGGGGGATTCACAGGCTAGCCAAAAACATAGTAGAACCCCTGATGTTCACAGTAAGTAAAATGGCCCTATAACCGAAAATGATCTCTGTCAGTACTGATCAGTCACGTTTTTGCCTGTGGCTTCTGTGGTCACGTTTTTCGGTGGTCACTAGGGGACCAAAGGTAAAAACATGTTGTCGCCACTCTTTCAAGGCTCAGTAAACCATGAATCCTTACCACTCAGAAGAATGTTTTATTTTTCAATCGTTAAACTCACAAGTTTTCTGTTTCTTTTTGGGTTCTGGTTCTGCTTTGGTTTTCAACCAAATACTTTTTCCTCTTTTTGGATGTTTCATGAAAAGGAAGTGACATGTCTATTTTCGAAAAAATTACAGCAGATCGAAGGTACACAATACTGAGTTGTAAGAGGATCTTCCCTCGTTCGTTTTTATTCTTATTTATGACGTATCTACACAGGAAAAATAAATAATTTTAAATCAAGATTAAGTCAAACCTGTTGTTACTTAGCCGAAACAAACAGCATTTTCATGAATGAACCAACCAACGATAGTTTTAAAGCGACATTTTGCTATAGACCTGAGTAGAGTGTTGAGGCTATTCCGCAGTTTACATTTTTCTTTAGATAAGTAAGACCATGATGCCTCAGTAGCTCGTTCTTTTCATTTTCATTTTTTTTCCAGTCGCACGTGGTGAAGCTAGTTTGCTCTGAAATTGTGATTTGTCTCTCTTGTATCTGTTTCCTTCCTTTCATCATATGGTAAGTTTAGATAGTTTCAGTACATGTTTCGAATTTCGCTTCGCTACGTAATCTTTGTTGTGTTTCGCAGGTTATTACGGCTTGTAACGAGTTCGTAATCCAAAATGAAAGGCTGTTGTGCTAGCGATTTGTGACGCTCTCCGCCCGATAAATAAAGACGTTGCGTTTGGAAGGCTGTTCGTGTGATAAACCCACGCCCTGACCTGCTTTATATGTCCGGCCCGGACATCGAGTATCCAGAGTAATATCCATCTCATTGAACATTAAACATAATAATATACTTTGATTTGGTACTTTTGATTGCTTCTAATATATGTACATACCACTCAACCCGTCTTAAAGCTGTGATGATTTATTCTGATTAGACAAACATTGCATTGTTCCTGATTCCGATGAGAATCTCGTTACGTCTCTCAGTATAATCAGTGGATCAAAGCCTCCAGATGACGGAAGGACGTAGTAACTAAGGGTCTATCGAGTCCACTTTTATCGATTGTCTTACTTTGTGAGGAGCTGATGCAGGCCTCACTCTCCCGTGTAAAGACTGAACTAATACCGCAGCGTGATAAGTCTGCGATAAGGGCAGATGGCGTGACAGGAAACCATGCACTTTGACTGGACAACAACCCAACGCGATCTCGAAGTAACCGCGTCGATAACTATGATTGGTTACGCCGTATATGAAGGGGTTGACGCAGCAAGAGACAAACACTAAGGTAGAGGTCCAGTGGTATGATGGGAAGGTCATGTCTGTGATCTCAAACAGTGACAGTAAATGTAACACTTGATACGGTATCCAAAATGACATCATTGAGAGTAACGCAATCTTCACCATACGCATTCTTCCTTGGCGACTGCGAATGGCGCGGCCATTGGGTAAAACCTGGTTCTTTTGGATTCGTGTTTTGAAGAGCATGTGAAAATAGATTCCCGTCATCATCCCTGAAGGTACAGCTACGTTCAGAAGCAGCTGAATCACCGCCAATATTTTCCTGTGTGTTACTGAAATTGTCTTCCCGATGCCGCATATATCTAAGTTATCAGACTTACTGTCATTAAAGAAAATCTCAAAGAGTCGTGGTGTTGACGATAACAACGCAAGGAGCCATATGGCCACAGATCCACCAATCAACCGTCTCTTGTTCAAATTTGTTTGGTAAGCTAATGGTTTGACCACAGCACACCAACGTTTGTACGTTAGGACGAGGCAAATATACACTGAAGCGTTGCTGAATGTGAACGCAATCCATGTTAACCAAATAGGGCAACAGGAAACCTTGGTCTGTAAATCGTGTTCACCTTTCCAGTGTTTCCACCCGTTCAACGTGATCGTTGAAGTAACCAAGAGAAGTATGGCGTTCAATAAATCAGTGATGGCCAAGAGTAGCAAGAAAACATTATATGATTTTTTAAGCAAAACTCTGTTTTTCGCAAATAAAATGCAAACTAACGAGTTTGCACTTAACGCCAAGCTTGAAATAACGGCATAAGCCACGTTGATAGCTTCTTTGCCGTTCTGATCATCAGCCATTTTTGTTCCTTCCTTGCAAAGATTTTTTAAGCCTCTGTTCTTTAAAAGAGACTTACCGTCGAAGTCCCCAACGCCTTCTTCTTCAGTGACAAATTATATAATGGAAGCATTTGCTGATGAAATCCAAGTAAACTAATTTCGCGTCAATGAAATGACGAATTTGGTAAAACAGCGGAAGTAACGATCGAGATACTGTGTATCGCAAAACTCTTTGCCTGCGATAATACTTTGCTTACGTAAAATAAAACGTTTCGTACAATGAAACATTTATCAATTTTGCGGAAAATCGCTCAGAACTAACGCTGTGAAAAAGGGTGTTTCACCGACAAGTTAACTATCTGCAGATCTCGATCTACCCTACGGCAAAGTTCTGATGATGTGACTGATTAGTTTTACAAGTGAAAACGAAATAAAGTGGACCAAAATTTATTTTAAGCCTTCGAAAAAAACACAGCTTGGATTGAAATGCCCATTTAAAAAAAAAACTTTTGTTATCATAAATGGATAGAAGCAAAGAACGGCTACGTGTACAACCTTGAAAACTTTTCAAGTCATCACACATTTCTTGAATATTTTGGAAAGTTTAATAGTCTAACGTAAAAAGGCGGTAGTACCAGCGCGGTTAATGACAATTTTGTTTTCGTATTTAGTTCCTCATCATATATGAGTGACCCAAGGGAAATGTCTCATTACTGATATCTTTTTCCTGAATTTAACTTATTCAAAGAAAAGTTTTACAGAACGATCTTGTGTGTCAAATAAACTGATGATTCCACGTAAGGTAACAAAGAAATGAACAAACAACAAACGAGCAAATTTATGAAAGATATCTTGGGGAGCATTTACAAACAGTCTCTTGTCTAAGTTTAGATAAAAAAAGCAAAGAAATCAATAATTTTCAACCGACTGCGCGTTCAGAATTCTAAATAGTTTTTACTAACCGTGTTTGAACCCAGAAATTAATGAAAAACCTACAATCTGTATTTGAGATATTTAAACAGAGTTAATAATTCAGTTACGTCATTTTTCTTATTAGATAAATGTAGCTGAAGTTTTTTTTACACTTCAAGGTAAGAAAATAAGCTTCGCGTAGGTTTTCACTAGATTAGATATTTGCCTCTTTTTAGATTTCGATCTTACGATCTGCCTCTTACAGAGTATCAAAAAAACATGGCAAACACTTTTGAATATTCCAGAGTTAAAAAAGTATATACAACAGCAAGTCTTTCTTAGCTGTTGCAATTGTCGATGAAAGATTTATCCTGTTTGTCTTTTTCCACATGGCAAAGAGATTTCCACAAGGTTGCCGAAAGAGGTCTGGTTACTAAACTTCTTTAGACCGAGTGAAGACTGGAGAGTATGAACTCAATATGGCGGACGATCAGTAGCGAATTTCTTGCCACAGCAATAATTTTAAGATCCATCAACGAACAAAATGCTTCAGCATTGAGCGTAGCTTTCTGAAAAATGCTTACTCCTGTATTCGAACTTAGCCAAGACGATGAGTTTGTTTGTGTGATGATCAAGACCCCATATGTCAAGGTAAGCGATTCACCCAGGATCTTCACGCGTACGTATCGTAAAGGATAAAAACACATGGAACGATTTCCTAATCAAATCAACCTGCTTTAGAAATAGAAAATAGCTAGTTATTCCTTATTGTAGTTCTTTTTTATCATGTTTTGCTTTGAAAACTTAGATTTTTTTGCAACCTGTAGATTGCTGATGTCGATTTCTTCATCAATGACACAGAATTTAAATTTTATGTCAAGCCATACTTTCTGAGGTAAGCTATCAAGATTGTATATAAAGCAGAAATAGAAAAAAGACTTTGACCTGGAACCTGGAATAAAATTGTGCCAGCGTGAAAACAAAAACAAAACAAAACAAAAATACACTAATTTAATCAGTATTCAGGATGTGAAGTGTTTGCATGACAGCTTTCACTCCAAAGATCTCATGAGTAATTCTCCTTATTGTCTGCTTTACAGATCTTTTTATGTTACTTTGGAGAATTTAGTTTTTGATCCACTAATAATCTTCAAATTGATATTTTTCTCCATTTTCATCACTTATCTGCTTGGTATGGTATTTCTAATGTCAGGAGAAATTCTATGTTGGTCACTCATGGGAGTTAGAGGATTTGCATGGGGTGGCCACAAGGGAGGGGAGAGCTAAACATGGCATACAGAGATACAACAGAAGCAACTGCACAAGTTCTCTGATTTGGATCACAACACAAGAGGATTCCTCAAAAACTTGTTTATCAACCCTTGGGTGGATTTTTGACTCAACCCTTTAACTCTCATAAGTGATAAACATTTAACTTCTCCCTGTAGCAAACAGGTAATAAGAATACTCAAAATTTATCAGCCAGAAGTTGATCTAACACTGAATTCTCATAAGTAAGTTACAAGAAAATGTGTTGCGGCTGGAGGGGAGAATTAACAATCAGATCTTGGGAGTTAAAGGGTTAAAAAAGAGGAAATACCCCAAGCAAACTTCAGTCCACTGTACTTTCACCTAAATTTTAAGCACTGGTCATCATTTGATTTTTTATGCAGTGTGGGGTTGAAAATAATTATAGATAAATTACTTTTTTTCCCAGGCTTAATTTACCAGGAAAGATTTCTAAAGATGGAAGGGAGTCTGCATCTTATGATGTTGAGAAAGGTGAGATGTATATTCTTTGTGTATCCAACAGAGGCAGAGGCCAGTTGCCTGTGAGACTATATTGTCACTGACCAATAGTTATTATTTGTTAACAAAATTAGCAGAAATAAAACATTTTGTAAATTTCTTACAAATACCCTTTTTTTTTCAAACCTCTGAAATGTCTTACTAAATTTTTTACCACCAATGGAAAAGGTTTTTTGTAGTTCGGAACATCTAAACAGTGTTAAAATTAGTTACTCTTCATTTTTGACTTTCCTTTTACCATAGGAACATTTTCAATAAAGCTTCCTAAGCTCCATGCTGGAGAGACCTTTGAGAACTTGGATCTGTTAACAACTTTACTAGCTCCTAAAAAGAAGGCCTCTTTAAATGTTAAGCCTCTCATTGAAGTTGTTGGTAAGTGTAGTTTATTAATTTTGCACATTTATGATCGTGCTAAATTGTATTCTGTTGGACCACTGTTCTGTGCAGGTATAGTTATTAAATCAAATGACAGCCACTAATTTTTTTATTTTTTTTAAGAAAGTGATACCAAAACAGAAGTTGATGACCAAGAAGATGAGAGCAACAGTGATGAGGAATTTGACTGGGAATTTGAGCAACATTTACCTCAGGTAACATTTGCTCCAAAATTTTTGGAGGATAATTGTTAGCTTTCAATTCTGACTCAGATGGTAAAATGCTCTCTCTTCATGTTTGCAGGATAATGCAGAATTTACTCTTGGTGAAACCAAATATGGATTTGCCAACCAAAAGGGTGGAATCTTTAAAGGCAGAGAGGTACTGGGCTTGTTAAGTAGTCTTGCTATAGGATGGGAGAGCATGGGTATTGATGCTGCAGTGATAAGAGGACTTACATGTACAGGGTACATCATCTGCATCCTGTACTATATTACTGTGACAGATAGGGTACATCCCTCTGATGAGGATGGGTGTGGTTTCTTGTTGGTGTTCATCCATGCTCCAGGCTCTTCCGGCCACAACTATTTTTTTCACCTATTAATAGTTTCTAATTTTTCATTTCATTTCAAATTGTCTAATTTTAATTGTGATTAAAAGTTAAGGTCTCACTGAACTCACTATTATTATTACAAGGCCACCACCTCTCCTTACTTATTTTGTGTATGTTGTGGTTGTTTTTTTTTATTTGTTTATCTTGTAGGAAAATTTCTTTCAAAGTTGCAAATTTTGAACTGGAGTTTCAGATGTAACTTGACATACTGGTGTTATTTAACAGGCAGAGCTTCTTGAGATAGCTGAAATAACTGATCCTGATTCAATGGCACCAAGTGAGAGACAAGGAAACAGGCAGGCAGCTGAAGATGCCAAGTTTGATGAGGAATATTATTTGTAAGATAAATACCTGCATACAGCAATGACTTAAAAATTGAGAAACCCAATTGTGTTAACATTTTAACAATTTGTGTGCAACAAGGTATTTGAGACAGCTTACTTTTTCATGGCTTCATAAATTTTATGTTGCCCATATGTCACAGTGTAGGATGTTAAACAGGTAATGACTGATTACAGGGAAGTTTCCTCTTGAGATAGAATCATGTAATTGACAGTGGTCCTGTTAAGCTATTTGGGTAGGCCTTAGTGCACTGAAATGAAGCTCCACAAACAGATTGAAATAACTGCAGTGAAATTTTCATTATTGTCGTCAAATGGATCTGTTTTAGGCTATAGGCACATACACTGTCAAACGCCTCTGTTGGTCCATCCTGTTTGAATGTATGGCTACAGTTATTGTAAGTTACAGTACTTTCCTTCCTTTTCAGGGCAGATTATTTCAATGTTGATCAAATTCAACATCTCTTGGATTACAAGCCTCCTTGGGACACTTACTTGCAACAGCACAAAGAAAACTCTTTTGAGGTAGTGCATGTTAATAGTCCATTTCGCATGCAGTTGCATGCTTGGTTGCCAAGTCTTTGAACAGGAGTGAGGCTAAGGGTGACCTTGTTTTGAATTAAATGTTGCTGCTTTTAAGGAAAATTTCGTTGTTATCATGCCAGCTAGATACTGTTCTTTATCACAACAAGGTCACCTTCAGCCTCACTCCATATCAAGGACTTGGCAACTAGGTACACTACTGTTAAATGCCATACAGTATTATGGATTGGAAAAAGTTCTGCTTTTAGGAATGATTATGTTAGAGAGTTTGGCAACATTACAAGTAAATATAGCCACATCTCAAAAAAGTTTTTTGAAGATCACCAAAAAACAACCTAGATAATCTGGTTTGATTTGGTAGTTTACATTACTCATCAGTCAGACAGGAACATATAAGGATTGAAAAAAAACCTCAAATCCATAAAAATATTGTTTCTTTTGACATAATAATAATTTTAATAGTAATAATGATAATAAAAATTTTGTGTTGTTATTGTAACCACCTAATGAGTAGCAGATGAACTTTGTCAAGGCAGATTTCTTGTAAACTAAGACTGTTAATATTGTAATGGAATATTTTATAATTGAATAACTTTCAAGAGTTTTGTTGGTTGTCGTTACAAATGGCTTTACCTTTTTGCCAGACAATCAACTGTTTAAAATTTGAACACTATTTTTCAGGATGAGGCAAAGCATTCAAATGAGCAAGAAGAGGAAACAGGTACTCTTTGTAATCATTGCTTGTGAGCATCCTCAAATGAAAGTTATCTAGTAAGAACTGATGATCTTCATGGTCTAACTTCTTCTCTTAATTTAACTGCACTGTTCATAAAACAGGCTTTGAGAATACAGATTTTTTGTATCAGTCGAGAAAGGTTTATGTTGATTTGATACAAGTTGTCTTAAATAACCTTCTAAAAAGTGTAGGCAGCTGAAGGGGAGAGTTTCAACTTAGAACTTGGGCATTAAAATATTATACTATTGTGGTGAAGCTGAAACACCTTGAACGTTCTACCTTAGTCTGTGATTTTGACAGAATATAACGAAAATGAAACTTCATTTCAATGTAACCCATCACAAAGATGCTCCATATCATGGAGAAACTTATTTTTATCTTATAAGAGTTAATGAACCTTTTCATCAATTTACAAGTTCAGTGTGTGAGTGGAAATTTACTTAATTTTCTTTTGCAGTGCAGTTTACAGCTGAAGAGAAGGACCAGCTGAGAAGACTTCCAAATAAAGATTATATCCTTTTACCATGTAAAATATAATCCAGTTCAAATTTCTGAATTCTACTTGAGTAGCAAGTATTGTTCGCCTCAGAGCAAAAATCTTGAGTTTGGTTGGTAGCTTGGGGTAAAAGAGTGAGTTTTATGTTTAGAAATTTTCTTCTGTGGTATATACAAAAACAAATTTTCAGCTATAAGTTAGTGTCGGTGCAGAAAGATAGAAAATACCAATTTTAGTTTTGGTCTTGGAGCCTGGTGCATACAAATATGTACCACTAATCATCTCCATTTCCATGGCTATTTGCTTGCTATGAACTGTATAAATAACTTTTGATTATTTTGATTAATTTGTTTAAAATAGTAGTTGTTATGATACTATGAGTAAATTTTGATTTGAAGCTTGCATCATTTATGTCGTCTTTTTCCCTACAGTTGTTTTTATATTAATTTTTTTATTCATGTGCAGTATCCATGTTTCACAATGCATGCATTTGTTACTCAATGGTTGCTAACATTGTCATATATGAGAACCCTTAACAAATTATAAACCTTTTTGATGACAAAGAGGAGCTACCACTATTTCTTGGCCTTGTTGATATCATCTTTGCTTATGCTTATAATCATCGCACCACAGAAGGAGAGAACACGGTAAACAATTCAAAAATACAGTGTGTACTGGTAACATAAATAAATGCGAATATATGAAAGTCATATATTTTAACTGCGGATCTTCGCAGTAATGAATACTACGTAAACAGTAGTGAAAAGAAGGCCTGAAAAAAATTCAGGCCTGTACGGGATTTGAACCCATGACCTCTGCAATACCAGTGCAGTGCTCTACCAACTGAGCTAACAAGCCAAGTGGGAGCTGGTCATTGTGTTGGTTCCAAATAAACCCATGAAGTGGTGAATAAACGGCTTTGAATATATGAAAGTCATATATCTGAACTGCGGATAAAGACGTGAATATGAAGGCGATCTTCACCTCATGGGTTCAAATCCCGTACAGGCCTGAATTTTTTTCAGGCCTTCTTTTCACTACTGTTTAAGTAGTGTTCATTACTGTGAAGATCGCCTTCATATTCACTGGTAACACAGTTCACAGATCTTCCCTGTTTACTTCAAGCTCAAAGTGTTCATTTCCCTTTCATCCATGCGGACTTGAGTGGGCATGGCTTCATTTGGAGCATCTCTTAACCCTTTGACTCTCAGATTAAATTTGTAATTCTCCTTACTGTCAACCACACAATTCTTATAATGTTAGTTCAGAGATTTTAGTATTGGATCAACTAATTATCCCCAAATTGATATTTTTCTTTATTCTCATCACTTATCTAGTTGATATTGTATTTAATATTGTAAGGAGAAATTCTGTCTTGGTCACTCATGGGAGTTAAAGGTTAAAATCACACTTTATATAATAAGCTCAGTTATGCACGCATTCTGATTGGTTCTCACTTATGATCTATTGGAGGACAGACGTATACATGACGTCATCATTAAAACTTTTTTAGTTCTTTAGCCGTGCGTCTGTTCAGTACTAGATCACAGAGGACGTCAAAATGTGGTAAGAACAAAAAAGTGGCACGCGAGGCGCAGCCAACTTGGAATCTATTTGTTAAATTGATAATAGCATAAATACTTGAGATCCACCTTATATCGCATTAAAACTAACAGTTCTTTTCATCTTGTTTAAAGAATTTTATACGTAATAATTAACAAAAATGTTGTTTGGCAGGTGGAATCGCCTTGGACCATTTCACGAATTAGCTCCACGTTCTCATGGTTTGATGTAAGACAATTTTTAATCTTTTACACACTACTATCAGTCTGCATATTCTCCATACTGTTCATTATACATTTCCAGAAGTGCTGACAAGGATAATTTTCTCAACAATCAAGAGCTCTTTAGTTGGTGATCATTTCCTTGCGTGGAATCTATTTCTCAATTACAACCTGAGTTCCCTAATATACATCACGATCACATACCACCCCTCCCTAAATGTTTGTAAGATGTTTGCGTAGGAGCCCTGTGCTAGGAAATTCCGTGTGCGAAGTCAGATATTGAATATGGAGGCATTTATTTATTTATTTAATATTTAATTTTTTGGTTTTCTCAGTCGTTCAGCAGCATCCATGATGTCATAATTTCTTGTGCCCGCCGATCTTTATCGTATCCTCTCTATCGACACTGGTCTTTGGTCACTGCAGTTGTTGAAGACACCAAAAGAATATTTTCCCTGGGTATGTAGCCGTTAAGTCTTTTTTGTGTGAAGCATAACTGTTTTTCACATTGCGGAATTAAAATTCTCAATATTCATACATTTTACATTTTCAACATAAGACGCATGACGTTGGAAAAGACAAAAAAGGCCTTTTGCCCTCGTTTTCTTCTCGGCTTTCCGGCACCCCTTTCCTCCCGGAATTATTTATGGTTACCATCGAATTGTAAGGAATTTTGGGAAGGTCAAAGGGGGGAGAGGGGTTACCTGCAACGGAATAGTATCCCATCGAGGAGGAGTAGCAATACTCGTAGTCGTATCATACTCTAGAAGCCGGTATAAGCACTGACAATATCGCGCCAATATTGGCATTACAATGGGGGTTAGAGGTTAAAAACTTCATTTCCTGGCAGGTCGTCGACAGCTATTGAGATGTCTACTGGAACTCCATGCCCTGTGTCGCGAAGAAGACCCTTGGTTTCTGTTAAATGATCTCTATTTGACGGACTACTGCGTCTGGATTCAAAAAGCTAGGTAAGATGTTTTTGAGTCATACGAATCTCTGTGTACTGTATCTCGGAGGTCGGGCGTTTCCAAGCACTATGAATGAAGGGTGTAAGATTCTAAAGAAACTGTGGTGCTGCATTGGTGGGAGAGTATAACAGGGTAATTTAATACTATCAACTGAGTTGATAACGTAAATTGGCCACCATAAAGAGTTCATGCTCGATTGTCTGGATTTGGGAGAAGATTGACTTAATACAATGATAGGTACGCGTATAGGCTAGCCTTGTCAAGGCGTTGCCTCATTACGATGTTATTATTTTATCTCTTGAAACAGCCGAAAGAAGCTTTCTTCTTTGGCGAGAAGCCTCGAACAGGTATTTGACAATCATTGTATTGCGTCTAGGTCCACGCACTATACGGACTCATATATACTACTTGTAAGATCTTATTCCAGTTTCCGTTGCATGAAGCCGCAGTTTTCTTTTCCCTATTTGTAGAGCTCTTAGTTGGTAAGAATTACCGTAAGAGTAAGGTTCCATGTTAGAAACCACTGAAAACTTTGGTTGGAGTTCACAGTTGGACCTGTCGATCAAGACGCCAGCGCATTTATCTTTCCGCGAGCGCCTCTTCCTTCGAAGTTCAATTGTTGCTGAGTTGCGCTCGGAGCACTGTCCACAAAAAAGATAATGAGATAAGGTGAACTTATCAGGAAGAGGGTATTAGCCCTTTAAATTCCAAGATCTGATTGTTAATTCTCCCCTCCAGTTTTTACGCAATTCCTGGCAAATAGGTTAGGAGAATTTGGTATTGGATCAAGATAACAACTTCTACCTGATAAGTTTGGGTACTCTCATTTGCCCTTTGCTGGATAATGTATGGATATTATAGGGAGAAGTTTCATGTTAATCACTTTTGGGAGTTAAAGGGTTAATTAACTGATTTCCAAAATTTAAAGCCTTGGGCGCACACTGATAAAAATGGGGCGAACTTGTTTTACTTCAAGGGGCGATTTGGCAATGGTGGTGGGGGCGAACTTGTAATGGGGCGAGACCTACATAACCAGGAGGAAATAATGGGCCATTGTTTTCTTCTGCCGTGACTCATTTCTAAAGATATGTGGTGGTACCAGCCAGGAGGGAAATTCATTTATCAGATTTCGCGAGTTCAAGAAGTCAGGGGCGGAAAAGACGGGGTTATTCCTTCTTTTCTCAGTTTTCGAAGCCATAGTAGCTGCCTGAAAGAAAAATGTAACGTGGTATTTTGAGTAAAATGGAAGCAAAAGTGCGGCAAAACTCGTCAATTTTAAGTTTTCCTTTTATGTCGTTTAGGTTCAGATAAGTAAAGGCGACTTGTCTTGGCAGTTAGAAGAACTGGAACTGGCTGCATGTTTGGTTCAAAAAGAGGAGGAGAAAACTGATTCCTTTGAAAATATATGCGATACACGTGAAACTGAAAGCAACGATGAGAGCTCCGAAAGTGGGGACGATGATGATACGAGCGACGACGAAGGTGACGACGACGGCGACGGTGATAGCGACGACGAAGATGACGTAGGCAACAAGGACGACGATTACGTGGACGATCTCGACGAAAGAAATGAAGAAAAAAATTCTGCAACTGTTGTTGAGAGAGAGATTTCAGAGGCTGGTCCTTTACTGAATAAGGAGATTAAAAAGGATTCAAATTAAACTCCTATTAGTTACAATTCTGCTGATCTGCAAAGAGGCTTTTGGTTACAGACATTGACAACAGCTGTTGGTCGCACGACTCTCCGCCCCTCCCCCTCGGAGTCCCACAAATGTCTAGCCAGTTTCACAATGGCCAGGAGTCGATGGATCTGCGATAAACTTTGATCATTAGTCAGCATTAATCTGGACTGACCCGGTTCAAATTTCTTTTTGAACCACGCAGTGTTAAGTGTCTATTGTTCGGGTCCTGACATCAAAACAAAGAAAGGTTAATTTTTTGAAAATTATAGATATTTAGTTATTTATACAGCACATACCAAGTTATAGTTCTAACATATATCATTACTTAACTTAACTTACAAGGCTTACATTTCTTACGTAACAAGGATAACTAACAGAACTAGTCTTCAGTCGAACCGGTATTCAGCGACACCGTATGAAGCGGTCATACTGTATAAGCAATGGTTGTCAAAGTCCCTAATTTGTTTCCCCTCAATCACTATAATTTTCACCTATGTTAAACTGTTGCGGTCACCCTTTACCAAGTTCCAACGATCTGATTGTATTGTCTTCCACCTGTATTAAGCGGTCACTTACAGTCCAACCACTCAAACTGAGAATAATCTTTCAAGTAATTTACAATCTATGTTTCTATTCCAAAATCAAAGTAAGTAAGTAGTATTTTTGAGCGAGATTTTGTATATTGAGTGGTCAACTTTGGCATAAAATGGCGTTTTGTACCGTGTTTTACAATACCCTTATCTGTGGAACCTGTATTAAGCGGTAAATTATTCCTCGTGGGTTACCGCCTATTACAGGTTCGACTGTAGTTTACCCAGCGAACACTGATATCCAACATGCACCTACAACGGGTATACTTTCACGCCTTAACAGATATACATTACTCGCGCAGACTACTGTTAATTTTGAAACAACTCAGGTCTGGCTAGTTACATAGCAGCAAACAATGATTGGATCTGTGATGGCCTTTGATAACATTTGTATAGTTATCTATAGTTGTAAAGTTGTATTGTTATCTATTTGCCGGTAGATAACATCAACAGTCTTAGAAAACTTGAATGACACAAAACTTCAAAGGCCCCGTTGCTCAGATCGTACCCTCAAGTCGGAGAGGGCTCGTACGGACATTAAAAGCAGAAACAAGCTCGCTCTACTGCATCGTGCAGTCCCTTTTTTAGGCCCTGCAGATTCTCCCCAGTTCAGATTTGCAGTTAGAACTTGGCAGCACTGAGTTTGCTTTTACACCACGCTTCGAGAAGAGAAACTTTGGTGAGATCGGGAAAAGTTTCAAATTTTTTTCAAGGCTCATTTTAAGCTGTCAACGACTAAAATCCTGAGGTATATCTGTTCTCACTGACCAAAAATAAAGGCTGATAGACTTCACGCATCTTTCATGCCGTTCGGTTATTCACATTTCTGCTGCTTCCTTATTTCATTTCCTGCTGGTTTTTGTTTGTTTTTTTTTTGCTTCAGCAAACCGAAAGCATAACAAAGCTTTTGTCTGCCACTTATCAACCACAGTATTGTTTGTGTGTTTCGCTTGCGTGTCCTAAGAGTTTAGCGGCGCTTTCTGGAAGAGATTTGCGGGGCATACAGGTCACTCAAAGATGCAATCCACTTCGTAGTAACACCCTCTTGACTAAATTCACCAGAATTCTCTTCCAGAAAAAGTGAAAAGAAGAACTTATGTTCGGAATCACAATATTTGAAAAAGTTGTTCCATCACTGCTCTGAGCGTTGTCCATTGTCGAGAACAATAGAAACGTGACTGGAAGCATGTTGTTTACTCTAGAAGGAATCAAAATGTTGCAAAGTGATCATTTTGATAAAAAAAATACTTGACCTCTCAAATTGCGTAATTGTCTGAATAGTAACCAAATATGGACTATTGTGTATGTTAAGTTCAGTCTCTTGTAAACCTCGTCCAGGCGAGTCGCACAAAAATGGCGGACAAGAACGGCGACAAATCAAATCTTATTTTGAAAATCCTGCTCGCGATCTTTGTTCTGCTTTCTTTAGCTCTGCTTATTGCGTTAATTGTGGTCGCTACCAGAAATAACAAGGACAGCACTGCAGAAATTGGAGATTCAGCTCCCAATATTGGAGACTGCCCCGAAACCACGGAGCTGAGTGCACCATCTAAGGCCTCACATGGGTGGAGAGAGCTCTACCAAGACTTATCCAAGGAGGAGATTATTGCAGTACGAGACTACATCATCAAGCAACCGTCCCTGAACGTAACAGCCTACGAAAATGCCAACATCAACGACAACTATATTTACTTGATCGAGCTGCAACAACCGGTAAAATCTGAAGCGCTTGCTTACCTTGACACGAACAACGCCCCGAAACCTGCACGGAAGGCTCGAGTGGTTTTGTACAATGGGGGGAAAGCGAACCCGGACGTGACGGAATATCTGGTGAGTCCAGTCGAAAAACCTAGTCAGCACAAAGAAACGAAAGGCCCTGGTCAGAAATATCCGATCCCATTCAACACGCGATTCCCAGACCCTAAAGAGTTCGATTTCATGGGCAAATTAATTCGCAATTTAACCTCGCACCCTGGCGTCGATAAACTCCTCAAAGAGAGCACCGACGGTTACTCGATGTTGGATTGTGTGAAGCCAAAGTGTTTAACATGGGGCTCGGCTGCTCCTAGTACGTTCAAGATAAACGAGCGTAAAACATGGACTTGGTTGATGCGGGATTTGATTGGATATTACATTCATCCCGTGGGTTTTGAAATGCGTCTGGATACAAGCGGCAACGACTTGTCCCTCTGGAAAGTGGATAAAATATTTTACAACAACGCAACTTATGACACTGTAGATGAATTAGTGAACGCCTTTGACAGCGGATCGAAGATGCCTGTTTTCAGAGCGCCGGAAGAGAACGGAAGATTCTCAACTTATGAGCGACGTGGGAACAAAGAACCCGCCAAGCCACTTCGAAATCCTCAGCTCTACGAGCCCGATGGCAAGCGGTACACGGTCAGCGGACGTCACATAGAATACATGGGCTGGAGTTTTTGTTTCCGGTCGCGGACCTCCTCCGGTATCCAACTGTTCGACATCCGGTTCAAGGGTGACAGGATTGTCTACGAGCTGAGCGCGCAGGAGGCTGAGGCGTTTTATTCCGGTTGGGCGCCGAAGCCGATGTTTACCAATTTCCTTGATACCGCTTGGAACATGGGATCCATGAGTTTTGAATTGCTTCGTGGTGTGGACTGTCCTAACACAGCAACGTTCTTTGATCTGACACATTTTATTGGTGTTAAAGAGCCAGCGGTGTACAAGAACGCGGTCTGCATTTTTGAACAAGACATGGGGATTCCCCTACGACGACATTATGACACTGATTTTCAAGGTAGCTACAACTTCTATGGTGGAGTCCCTGGGAGCGCATTAATCCTTCGAACAGCCTCGACTACATACAATTACGATTACGTTCTCGATTACATTTTCTATCCCAATGGTGTGTTGGAAGTGAGAACCACAACCAGTGGTTACGCACAAACTACTTTCTACACCCCTGACGAAGACCCCTATGCATACCAGATCCACCCCAAGATGGCGGGAAGCCTACATGATCACATTTTTAACTACAAAGTCGACATTGATGTACGTGGCACTAAAAACTCCCATCAGACTGTCGAGGTTGGCCTGGAAAACATCACTAATCCTTGGTTCCCCGGCGACCGACACGTACAAAAGATCCTGAAGCGCCGAGTTCGAACAAATGAGCGCGATGCAGTGTATCATTTCAATTTTCAGACACCCACTTTGTTAAATTTCTTTAACAGAGAGGAGAAGAACGCCTTCGGTGTCCATCGTGGTTATCGCATTCAGATCAGGGACATGATGAAGCAGATGATCTCCGAGGCATTTCCCATGATAAAGGGCGCGGCTTGGTCCCTGAACCAGATGACGGTCACGAAGCAAAAAGACTCCGAAGAGAAGAGTTCCTGTATGTACAATCAACTAGACATGGCTGACCCCGTGTTGGACTTCACAAAGTTTTACGCTGATAACGAAGGCATCGAAAATGAAGATCTGGTCGCTTGGGTCACCATTGGAATGATGCATGTCATGCACTCGGAAGATGTCCCCAATACAGCAACCCCTGGGAACTCTGCAAGCTTCTACCTGAGGCCCTTCAGCTACTTTGACGAGGATCCATCCATGGGGATGTATGACGGAGTCGTCATCAAGCCTAAGGCTGGTGGTGGCAGTGACATCGACACTCTGGGATCTCCAAAGACGCAGTCAACCTGTGCCCCTAAGAATAAACCCATTGAGTTTTTTGGCCGTTATGGAAACTATTAGAGAACTCCCTCGAATAGGACATCTTCAAAGATTCCAAGGTTTACGCAGAAGGTATTAATTTTCTCTGGATTAGACGGAAAAATAATGAAATAGAAGTGTCTTAGATGTAGCTGAGGTTAATAACTTTTAGCGAGTCCTCTATACAGTAAAACGTGATTTTCAAATCAATAGAAATGTCTTCGGCTTGACACAACAGTTATATCTCGCGTTGCGTGACAGCCCAAAAATAGACACCCATCTTCATTCTGTGTAGCATCAAAGACTCTATCAACTCTAACAGACTAATCTTTTTCCATAGCTTTGGGCTGTTGAAGGTAGTTTCACAAATGTTTCAGCAAGTGCTTCATGAACTGTTAAGGTGTAGTAGTTTGTGATTGAAAATTAAAGTCGGCATTTTCATCTTATTTTTTGTTGATTTTTGTTAGTTCAGAAGTAAATGGTCAGGGTGAAGGGGGGGGGGGTGGGGGGGGGGAAAGAGCGGTGGCGCCGAAAAAGGGCCGGTGGGATCAAACGAAGGATGGAGAATAATTATAACGAGTTCATGTACAGCTCTGACGTCATGATTTACCGCCTTTCCCTTCCCTCTTAGCTCTTTCAAAACCCAATCACCACTAGCAGGAGCCCTTTATTGTAATAGGCTCTTGCCACTAAATGAAGAGTAAAGAAACGTTTCGTGGACAATAGAACTTCTGGTAGTAATATCAAAGAGTTAGAATATTGATCTTTGAAAAATGTTGCTATCTTTGTCGATATTTAACGGTACAAATTCAAAGTACAATATCGAAAAGAAGGAAAAAACTTTTCGATTTTTAGGCCGTTTCGTTGTACATGTACTGAAGAAACTGAAACATAAAATGGCTCACTTGAAAACAGTCAACGTAATCTTCATACCCTAGCGCTAGCTTCGAACAAGCTTACCAGGGCTTTATGGATCTCGGCCGTGATGTGTCTCTTTCAGTATCTCAACATGACAGTTAAAACCTGATATCATCAATAATCTTGTTATATGTGATCTAGGTGTCTTGAAGAACAATTGAGAAATGGATAACTTGAAGGACTTGGAGCACTCTTTAATTTTAAAGAGCTTTCTGTGCGTGTATTTCCGTTTCTTTTGAGCATACGTATTTTTGCTTGTTTCCAGTATAACTTTGTGGTGGTCTGCTAACTATCACTAACGTGAGAAGCCACACATTATTAAAATGGGCGCGGGAAGAATGAGGTAGAGGGCAACCTGCATTTTTCCGCGTGATCCGTCTTCTTTCAACCTTACGTATCTCCTGTGCTCAATATACCAGGATATCAAGTATGACGAGGCTATTTGGGGACTGAGATAGAATCATGTGCAAAGCGAAAAAAATTAATCTTATTCAGGTATGCTTAGTCTCGTACCACTTATATCACTGACAGTCTGACGGACTGCTTAGCTTAACAAACGAAAAACCTGAGTACAAAAATATCGTACAAACAAGGAAGTGAATTACGTTTGTCGTGAATCCGTCCTAACTGAAGTGTACGTATATTCAGTTCTTACTCCAACTTGTTTTTCGGAGGTTTTCGTGGTCGAGCGGCGCGCGCACAAATTCTTTTTCTGGGAGTGGACAAGATCATTCAAAACTAAATCCGGCAATCCATTGTTTGTCATTTTCCACCCATGACTGCTAACAAACCGCAGACTTCCAAACAATTAACGTCTAAATGACATGCAATATATGAATCAAAAACACGGCATGGAGACTCCAAAACATATATATTAATTAAATTTCGAAGCTTCTAGCGAATCTTATTTGACTAGTAGTTTAAGGATAAATTGTTATTTTTTTTAACGAAATAATGCTTAGGATTTGATGGTATATAGTTCAGACGTGCTCGCGCCTTAGGCTATTTTTCTGAAAGATGACAAACAACGCTGTTTACGAAATTGAAGAAGTGACACGCCGCTGGTTTGATCAGTTGTTTATCTTTGAATAAATTCTTACTTTACCGCTAACGACCATCCACCCTACTGCCGTTAAAATGCCGCGTATGAAAGCCTT